CGTCGAGTCGTTTTGTTACTTCTGTGGTAACAAAGTTAATGAGGTTATCTACCTTAGTTACCGATTCTGTGTCAAGCTTGTTAAGGTTTACAGTTTTCATGAGGATAGTTAGAGGTGTCAGTTCACAGACCTGCGATCTGATATCGCTGATCTGATAATTTGGATATCTCGGTATTGGTTTCGATGTTTCCAGCATTTACTGACTTACTGTTTTTTATTTCCCTTAACTCAGCCTTAAGTTCTCCTATAGACAACTTTAGAAGTTCTATTTCTGAAGATAGTACTGAAAAAGAGCTTGATGGCTGGAGTTTTTCGATAAGCACATAAGGTGAAGGGAGGAGTTCTGTATGAGCAGAGGGTACTGAATTTTTAGGAGTAGTGCTAATACTAGCTGTCAGTACAGTTTTATCCTCAGTTTCAGCTCGACGCTTACGGCATACAAGTGAGTTATGTGACTCACTATAGCCGTTTGTAGGGGGTGTGTTGCTTGATGTAGCAATCAAGAATTAGACACCAGTTTTACAGGGGATTGGGTTCGTTGCTTTTTACTTTGATTAACCATAACTATTAGAAATGAGAGTTAGTGGTTACAAGTATGGAAGTGGTATAGTACTTGTGCAAGTACTACAACAAGATAAATTTTATGTAACGAATCACGTAAAAATGTAACGCAAACGTTGAACGTATCGCGATATTATTATAGCATGTTTAACATGTCACCTGGACTTCTTCAGTTTTGTAACCAGCAGTCGTGACAGACGGCAACTAGCACTTGTCACCTACTTTGACATTTCTAAAGCATTTGACCGTGTTGGCCATTTACTGCTAACAAATAAGCTGAACTCCTTAGGAATACGTGACCCATTATTAGGATGGCTTGAATCATTCCTTAACAATAGGTCCCAAATAGTTGAACGCGGGTCTGCAACCTCCAAACCTAGCCCTATCACTTCTGGTGTGGTACAAGGTAGTGTCATTGGACCCCTCCTATTTACACTATACATCAATGACATATGCGCCTGCTTCTCGCACGGTAAACCATTTATCTTTGCAGATGACCTAAAAGTAGCCCATACATTCCAATGTGATGACTTAGGGTACTTCGAGAATGTGGTGCAAAAGGAATTAGATAAAATGACTGCTTGGTCGTCCTTATGGAATCTACAATTTAACCTGAACAAATGTGGCTGGGTCTGCTTCGGCACACCCTCAATTGACCTGAAATTAACGCTCCAATCTGCTAACCTAACAAGACTCCGAAGTGTCGTTGACCTATGCCTGAGGTACTCTAGTGACTTGACATTCTCCGAGCAAGTAGCATCACGGACTAGAAAATCGAGGATGCTCTTAGGATGCATACTCAGGAACTTTCACGACAATGAAGCCAAGCTAATTCTGTACAAAACATGTGTCAGACCACTACTAGAATACTGTCCATTTATTATAAGCAGCACTCGCACACGTGATAAGGAATGGATGGAAAGTATCCAACGATATTTTACCTCAAAACTACTTGGCTACGATTATAAGAAAGACTACAACTCACGCTGCATGATCCTAAAACTTGACCCACTTTGGACAAGGTGACTTATTATAAATCTAATACTCTTCTTTAGGGTCCTTCACAAAATATCATTCTCAGGTAACAGGGACATACAATTCGCACAGGAAGGTTCTTACCATCTGCGTAACTAAACTTGCACAGTGACAACTCATTCCTTTAAGTCAACACTCCGTGAAAAATACTTCACAGTCATTTCCAATGCAGTTGAAGATTGAATGATCAATTCATTGTTGTTTGCTCAAAACCAACTTCCCCAATTTTCAGGGAGGCATCAATACGACAGTCATCGTCTCATCGGTCGCTGTTCAGAAAGAAGTCAGCAATAAACCGTCAGAAGTAATATTGTGATTTATTATTGTAATATTTGTTCACAGACCTTAGTGGTAACATTTTTTATATCTTGGTGTTACAATAAAGAATTCTCGAGTGGCCAATCGGTGTTTTGGTTTTTTGCGTCCGTTATTGCTAAGCGTTTCTGAAAAACTTCAAGGAACAGCGTGAGCCATAGCGTAGCAAGAGCTGGGCATTAACGGTTTACGAGACGTGACTGACAGTCATGTATTCTAAAATATGGAATAGCCTGCCCCTAGATGTCAGAACTTGCTCTTCGGTTACAAGTTTCAAACGCTCTCTATACAGACTGTTTCACTCTACTGATTTTAATAATAAACTATTTACTCCTAGAACGAATCAACTACTAATCTACTTCAGCACCTAAAAGACGCACTTCAACACCCTTAGCAATCTAAAAACTATAAATAAACTAGTCGCATAGATGCATAAAAAGACTTAGTACGGAACATACAGGAATAGTTTACCCTTAGAAATAGGATCTGTCACTATTGTAACCTTCAAACGCTTGCTACATAAACTTTTATCCCAATGACTATCCCTACCAGATCCCATCACTTATTTCTAAAACGCATCAGTCATTAGAACACTAAAACGCTCAGGCTCATTAATACACATTATGACACTAAATAAACTCTAAGACTTCGCATAAATACGTGAAAACACAACTACAATATAGGTAAATGTTTACTAAAGTATAATATACAATTGACATAAACATTTATACATGCATAAAACATTAATGTCCTTTTCATGTTCACATGCTTTCTCTTTCTGGTATTCTGCTATTGTGCATCAACTCCTATTTATCTTCTGGTTGAGGTCGAACAACCCTGCATCTAAACTGAAATGAAGATTGATTCCAAACTGTCTATCTCATAACCACTCAAATTCCATGAACGATCCAATTCTACCATTTGAAGACGCTGGCGAACATGCTGTAAATGAGTATTCATGATCTGAAATGAAGAAGCAACTGGTTTTCAAACAGTTTTCAACATTTTACTCAATCTACGAATACAGTCCGCCATGCAGACACAAATGGCGCAAATGGAGAATTCTGGAATCGACCTTGGCACTATTTGATGCAGCAAAACAACCCAACATGACCTTATCTAGTTTTCGCATCCACGATCAAATTTCTTTCCTGTTATGAAAGTACGATAAAACTGCTGAAAAATGGAACAAATATATCACTGATCTCAACATAATACATCAATAAAATTTAAGCCAAGGGTGCTGTTCACAACAAAGTTATATAGGAGAGTTGACTTCAAGCTTTATTTATCCCAGATATCTGTATTACATCCATGTGATGTCTGGGATTTTGTTAATGTGAAGACAACAGTTTTATATCTCTTTATGTGCTACACAAACAGACTTTATAGCAGACTTTTCCGCCTGACTCTAATGTGAGTATTTGCAACCGAACTGGAACTTCATCATACATGAAATCATGTGTAATTTATATGATAACTTATCTACGCCTGTACAATAGGTATGTTCCTGCATTAACAGGAATAAATATATATTATTATCGTTAAAAATACGAGAATAATGATCCAAGTCAATGAGAGGTTGAGTAACAATATATTACCAAAAGATACAGCAACGAGTTATATTATTAAAAAGGATTATTTGGATATAAATTTTAAGTCCTCTGCTACGAATTATTAATATAATCCACGGGAGCGTTCACTGTTGGAGTTGCGCCTGCTTGAAGGTGCTGTGTGCCGGTTGTAGAGTTGTCTTCGGATTAGGATAATAGAATCATGCGATAAATACAAACTATACATCACGGTATGAGTGGAGCGAGTAAGCAGAAATGGCCAGGAAGGGGGCGAAGACTCCAACAGTATAGTGTATTTTCAGCTGTATACGGAAGTTATATGTATTTTAACAAGAGTCGTTTTAAACAAAATCATGTACAATGTCTCTAATTTCTACAACTAACAAAAAGTGTACAATCATATTGTTACGTACTCTACAGGTTTCATGTAATCGTGATACTTACCTCAATGTTGGTTGGTTGTCGTATGCCTGCAACCACGTGCTGAAAACGAAACGAAGTTGATTTTCCCGCGCTACCTGTAGGACAGCTGCACAATTCAATAACTTTACGGCCTGGTTCAAACAATGAGTGTGTAAATATACATATGTATCAAATATTTATCTGTTGAAACATAATTAACTTGTAGACAACCTACGATTTGAGATTATATCATACTTCATCGTGCCTGTAAAAATGGCATGCATTTTCATGTAAATTTATATGTTTATATGAAAATATACATTATTATTATACTACAAACAACATGCAGTTAACCCCGACAGCACTCCTTATGGAGTCAACCAAATCTACGACTGTCGAGTGGTGGTATGAACTATGCAGAAGGTTACCGAAGACCAGGAACCCTTACCTCACAATCAAGAAGCGGGTACAAAGAAGCCAGATTGGTTTGTACTAGCTCGTAAAAACGATAATGGACATTGGAACCGAGCTCAACAGTGACCCAATTTTGGCCCGTCAAAGTTTCCGCAGATAATGGTGTAGCTATGCTGGAGAAATCGCTATATATATGTTATAAAGACTATTGTGGATTCGGAAGATAGATTTGGTTCTCCAGTTTCACCTAGATAACTTTTATTACTTACGCCTTCAAAAAGTTTTTCGTGACATTCCGTTAATTCACTAGACTTCGGATATTCAACTTGATTAGTCGCCAGCTTAGGTCGTTGTGGTTTATATACATTAGACTGTTGTATTGCCTTAGGTTCAAAAATATATGCACTGAAGTATTTTTCGCCTATGCATCTTAAAGGTAGTTTGAGTGTAGCCGTAATCGTATTACAAAATGCATGCTTCCTTCCAGAAAACCAATTCATGGGTGATTCAAAGAGTTGAAGTAGTAATATGACTTAAATTGACACCCAGCCTTCAAATTATTTTTTACTGGGAAAGCGGACACAAACAGGCCTTCTAAACAAATTCGTGATCTAACCAGCATATTGAGTGTGCTTTGTTTTACAGTCTTCTTCCCTCGTGTTTTGCGGCATATTGAAATCGCCATTGCATGTTATCGTTATGACTTGTAGACATAGGGCAAACAATTACTTTTTCGAGAGACCACCGGTTTTGGAATATGTTTCAAATAATTCAAACAATCTCAATTGCGTTGATTGTTTGAATTCTGTGATTTGTAACAATTCTCTTGAAATTGATGCTCGCGATGCATATATCAGCAAATTCTTAAAATATTTCGAGAGTTCAAAAGTCCATAATGAGCCGATGGTTTGCAGACAGAGTATACTGGAAAAATTAGTTAAGCATTTATTGGGTATGACAGTTATTCTATCAACTCTATGCGCAGTTATTCTTCCAATAGCCAAGTCTTCGTTTGCTCATAGGATATTGTCAGGTACTTATGTGTTCATATAGAGGAGAAGGTTTAAAATACTTTAGTTCTGAAGTGCATTTTCTGTACTGCTACTGAACAGATGAGAAAGAATATCATGACAAATCTTTATTACCAGGTTGGTAACTCCATGTTAACTTATTTCTAGATTACTTATTTATCTGATAAAAACCAAGACTACACCTGCTATTTAGAAGCATTCTGCACTTTGCTGGACGATTTGACAATTCGTGACGTGCAGTGCACAGGTACGTTTTAATTTATGAGTTTTACGTCAGACACTTTAACAAATTTTGTTTGCTCCTTGCTCAGAGTAATCTACTCTTCTCTCAATGAGTCCACCATTCATTATATGGATTCACTTCTAAAATGCCTGCCAAGAGGATGTCTTGAATCAGTGAAAATTTATTTAAAGAAGGTTTTGGAAGTTATTTCAAAGAATAAAAGCCACAAAGTTGTGGAGGCAGGATTAGGTTAAGTCCATTTCTTTAGTTAATCTGATGTAGGTTGCCTCCTGAAACTCTGTTGTATATGTAATGGAAGCTTTGCTGATATTCGCTCATGCAGGGAGTTCCCAGTTGCTTTGCGTGCTCTACTCAGTTCCCATGATGAAATTATAAAAGAAATAACGATCAATTTTATCGAATTTTTACTTTGTACATTTGGAGAAAAGGCATCTATGTTCGTCTGTACTTGTGGAGTTGTTGGTATGTTTCCACTTATTTAATATGGTTAAGAACTTCTGTTTGATGCTATTTCGCCTAAGAAGCCTTACTGCAGGTAATGCATTTTCTTCAAATACAACCATAATATCAGCACCATTTTAAAGTGCCTAGAAAGGATAGGCCCACGAACAGAAATTACAGCTTCTAGTTTTCTGCCTTATGGTAAGTTTATTTACCTTGATTTAGTGCGGCAACATCGGCAATTTACTAGGAATTTGTCAAATTATTACAATTATGAATTCACCCCAGCAATATAGACCCCGTGTTATTTTTAGAAGTATAAGCTTATTAAACACCTATATTGTGCAGTAAGTCTACATATAATTACTTACCTGTAAATAGTTACACTGGTGCCGTAGATTTATTCATATCTTCATCAAGCTTCAAACAACTATTACTGATTATGACTGACATTTTGGAAAACTGTGATGCTGAGTTAGGACTGACTGGAACCATTTGTGTAGCTAATGCCTTCAAGTGAGTGGTTCATGTAAAATTATTTGTAGGTATGGGAGACAAACCATTGATATACCAGTTGAAGAGCTGAACAAGTTCCTGAATTCTGTTGGAAGTGTTTTACATAAAAAATCTCACGATTCAAAACGTGAGGTACTGAAATCAACCAGCGAAGATGACGAACATGCTGAACTAGATAAGGGAGTTATAGGATATTCTCCACTATGTTCAATGTTGGCTGCTACGTCGAGTTTACTCCACAGTATGCACAGGTAGGTTTTAAAAATAAATAATACACCTTTAGTTACTTGTACTCTGGGAGGAACATACACTTGAAACAACCTGAACACATTGTGGAAGTCGAACTATCTTTGGCACATATATTCTTCGTAGTAGTAATGAATGCTTTCTCTGTAGGTTGTTTTAATTGTCTTTTACTGATATTCTTTCAAAGCATTTAGACACGAAGAACATCACTTCTGAGTTTGTATCTACACTTATGGAAGTAACGGCAATGTACACGTATGGTGTTTGTCAAAATGTCGTGGTTGCTGAAGTCATCAAGTCTTGTAAACAAACGCATAGACATTTTGAGAAATTTAGGAGCTGTGTATCATACGTTTTAGAGAGTAAAATTCGTAAAAGTTTTAGCTTACTACTTCCATTTGTTTATAAGATCTGCTTTTGGGTTGACGAAGAGAAGTTTGCCAGTGCTTCTAGCTGTTTCGGGTAATTTTTCCATATTGCATCAGATAAAAGTGTGTTGTTTAGTATTGCCAGTCACAAAATTACATACACTACGAAAGAAGCTTTATTAACTATGGTGACAATAAACTCCAGTACATTCAGCAATCTCGGATTGATTTCAGAAACGACTAAAAGTTTAGCAAGTTTTCTGGGAGACGATGACTTGATTATGTGGGCAAGTCTTTTACTTCATGGATTTAGACATCTTTCAGGTAAGTTCGTTCTAATGACAACTTTGTTATGGAATTATGTTTTCAGTAATGTCAAATATTTCACCCTTAGCAGATGAATGGAAATCAGTAACTAAAACGTGTACAACATTAAGAATTTCTACATATTCATTTTGCTGACCTAAAATTAAGACTTTCAGTCAAACACTGATATAGCCTTCTGAAGCCAGGCTTATAAAATGGCCAGAGGATATATATATATTGATGAGAAAGTTAAATTACTTAACTGGCATATTTCAACCCAGAGATTAAACTTATGATTTAAAGATTGTGTTATTATGGTGATTGTGATACGGATGGAGACTTATAAGGGGTTGTCAGTGATATTCACCTCTTGAAATGCTCCCATATGACCGGGCGTCTTACATAGCCTCTCCTGAGGAAGTCCTACTCGCTGCCTTCACGTGGCGGAGGTGTTTTTCACCACCGAAGTGAGAGGGTAAAAGCGGATTCCTGGCGCTCTTCACCAGGTTGACTGTCCATTGGATGAGAGTCTAGGGGAGATGGCTAAACCCTGGTTCCAAACCTCCAACGACTGGCGTATGAAGCTCACCAGAGCTCACCGGTAGGCAGACGTATGGACAAAGGGCTTATTGGATGCCCTAGATGTCTGGCCCCATTCAAAAAGGCGTATGAACCGGACTCCGATCACCAGCTGGCTTCCAATGGATAGTGGACTCCCTACTCCACTTCTACTGCCTTTTAGGTCACACTTGGTTGTGTAAAGGCTAGAGCTGCACTCTCAAACAAAAGGCCGAGCGATTCTGGGGACATCACTTGTACCTAATTCCCATGAAACTTCATGAATCATGAAGCTGGCTCATCCTCCCGTAGGAGATAGCCGAAGTAAAGTAAGTGATATTCAAGAAGAAAATATTTACATATTCATCAGGGCGTTTTATTCTCCACATAGCTAAGAGAATCACGTTTGTGGTAGTTCAAGTTAATTAAGACTAATATAATGGTCTACTGAAGACAGAAGCGTGTAGTCAATCTTATGGATCCTGAGGCCATGTTATGTATGCTATAGGGAAGCTGTAGGAGTGAATTCAAATAGTAATGTGGCTTTGGTAAAATGCCTTTTCTATGCAATATAAATACTTAACAATTGTTTAGTTTGCTGGTCACTGAACTAGTTTATATCAAGAATATCTCACCGTACCCTGACTGGAAGACACGAAATGAAAATTCAGTACTTTTAAGGAATTTTACAAATTAACATGGCGGAAGTCTTTTATTTGTCGCAGAAGGGAGAAAAGCTATCTTCATATATTTATTTATAAAGTTTAGATAATTATGAAATGTAAGTATTATTTGGCTTGGAGACAAACGTTAAGATAGAAAATAAAATAGAATTGATTAAGTGAATTGGATTACGTAATACAGTTGAGTAGAATTCAGAGTAGGTCAGGTTGGCAACAGTGTTAATGAGTGGTGGTTAAAATTAAATAAGGGTGGGGTTAGAGAATAATACAGTTGAAAATAAGTAAGTTAATCGAGTGACGTAACATAGTTGACTAGAAATTGGACGTGGGTCAAGTTAGCAACATTGTTAATGAGGGTAGAAATTACAAAAGGGTGGGGTAGAGAATAATATAAATGAAGATGTGAAATAATAAAATGATAAAATAAAATGAAAAAGACAAAATAATACAATTAGTAAGACTGAAATTAAGAAAGATTACGTCCATTGTAGATTTAATGAATGAACGAATTTCTTTTGTATGCAGAGTTCAGGATTTAGCAGATGAATTGCCATTGCTTCTGCGATGTGGAGAAGTTTGATCCGTACACTTTTAGCAAGATTGCCTTGTATTCTGTAGATAACTTTGAAGTTTGTTTCTGGTTTGACTTGGTGTCCAGAGTCGATCAAATGTTCAAGGATCGAGCTGCGAGGGCATCGGTTTTCTCCTTTATAAAACCATGAAGGTAAATGTTCGTTGACGCGTTTGGATAGCGAACGCTGGGTACGGCCGATATACCTGGCTCCACACGAGCAGGTGAATTGGTAGATGCACATAGATGAGGCCAACAGCGGTAGCTTATCCTTCACGTTCATACGAATCATTGGTCTCGTGGAGAACGTCAGTCGTAACTCAGCTGCAGGGAAGGTTTTCTTCAATGAGCGGGAGAGCCGATTTCTCAGTATTTCTGTAGATTGGTCTCCATTGAACTGTAGGTTCATGTAGAGGAGTCTTTTTGGAGCACTGGGTGTTGGCGGCTTCTCTGGTCTGGGTTTCATTGATTTTGTGATAAATCTTTCTGGATAGCCATTTTCAAGGAGGATTTTCTTAAGAGTGTTCATTTCGTCTTCTATGGCATCCAGGCTGCAAATTCTACGTATTCTGTGGCTTAGTGAACGGATTAAGTTTCGTTTAGTATATAGAGGTACCCAACTGTGGAAGTTAGTGAGCTGTCCGTTCCACGTTGGCTTTCTGTAGATGGATCTTTTTAATGTACCGTCTTGTTGGCGTCTCGTTAGTTGAACGTCAAGAAAAGATATCTTTGAGTTAGACTCTTTTTCTAGTGTGAACTGAATCGCAGGGTGGCAGTTGTTGAAGAACTTCAGGATATCTTCTAAATTATCTTCGTTGTTGCAGATGATGAAGGTGTCGTCGACGTATCTCTTGTAGAGTTCAAAGTTGTCAATCATATTCTTTAGGCAAGTGTTTTCGAGTTTCGACATGAAGAAATCCGCAAGCAGAGGGCCTAGTGGTGAGCCCATAGCTATGCCGTCCTTTTGACGATATATTTCATTGTTAAAGGAGAACTGGACGTTTAGGGTGCATCTCAGCAGAAGTTCTTTTAGGTAGTCGGTGGGTATGCCGATGTTTACTCCTTCTGAGTGGATGAGCTCGCATATGTGACAAATTGTTTCAGTTAGTGGAACATTTGTAAACAATGAGACAACATCTAGTGAGATCATCGTTTGATTAGAAACATTGACGTTTTCGACGCAGTTGACGAATTCAAATGAATCTCGCACTGAGTGACGGGAGACTTGTTTTCTGATTGGTTCAAGTAAGTCTGCTAGCCATTGGGCAGTGCGGTGGTAAGGTGAATTAGTCATGTCGAGGATCGGTCGAAGTGGAGTGCCCATCTTGTGTACTTTAGGAAGTCCGTAGAGTCTTGGTATATTTGAACCAGATGGTCTCAGGGATTCAAACGTTTCGTTGGTAATGAATGATTCGTTCTTTAGTTTACGGAGGATGTCTGTTAGTTTTTGTTCAATCTGCTCCGTCATGTTTTTCTCGTTGGCCGGTTTGGTGAATTTAGATTCATCAGATAGAATGGTCAACATTTTACTGATATAATCCTTACGGTTCATGATTACGATTCCTCCACCTTTATCAGGACGTATCAGCATAATCTCTTCATTGTTCATCAATTCTTTCAGCTCTTTGTAGTGTTTCTTCGTTAGTACGGATCTTCCGTTTGGATTGCCATTTATAAATTTGTGGCAACAGTCGAGGACAGTTGATTTGAATTGTTGTAGGTTCTCATCGGACGTTGGTATCAAGTCATAGGTTTGATTAATCAGGTTTTCAAATTGAACCAGGCAGTGAAGCTTGTGAACACTTCGTGGATTTTTGCAGAATTTCGGACCAAGAGATAACACCTCTAGTTGCAGCCTGGATGCCATAGAAGACGAAATGAACACTCTTAAGAAAATCCTCCTTGAAAATGGCTATCCAGAAAGATTTATCACAAAATCAATGAAACCCAGACCAGAGAAGCCACCAACACCCAGTGCTCCAAAAAGACTCCTCTACATGAACCTACAGTTCAATGGAGACCAGTCTACAGAAATACTGAGAAATCGGCTCTCCCGCTCATTGAAGAAAACCTTCCCTGCAGCTGAGTTACGACTGACGTTCTCCACGAGACCAATGATTCGTATGAACGTGAAGGATAAGCTACCGCTGTTGGCCTCATCTATGTGCATCTACCAATTCACCTGCTCGTGTGGAGCCAGGTATATCGGCCGTACCCAGCGTTCGCTATCCAAACGCGTCAACGAACATTTACGTTCATGGTTTTATAAAGGAGAAAACCGATGCCCTCGCAGCTCGATCCTTGAACATTTGATCGACTCTGGACACCAAGTCAAACCAGAAACAAACTTCAAAGTTATCTACAGAGTACAAGGCAATCTTGCTAAAAGTGTACGGATCAAACTTCTCCACATCGCAGAAGCAATGGCAATTCATCTGCTAAATCCTGAACTCTGCATACAAAAGAAATTCGTTCATTCATTAAATCTACAATGGACGTAATCTTTCTTAATTTCAGTCTTACTAATTGTATTATTTTGTCTTTTTCATTTTATTTTATCATTTTATTATTTCACATCTTCATTTATATTATTCTCTACCCCACCCTTTTGTAATTTCTACCCTCATTAACAATGTTGCTAACTTGACCCACGTCCAATTTCTAGTCAACTATGTTACGTCACTCGATTAACTTACTTATTTTCAACTGTATTATTCTCTAACCCCACCCTTATTTAATTTTAACCACCACTCATTAACACTGTTGCCAACCTGACCTACTCTGAATTCTACTCAACTGTATTACGTAATCCAATTCACTTAATCAATTCTATTTTATTTTCTATCTTAACGTTTGTCTCCAAGCCAAATAATATATTTATTTGTTTATGTATTTGTTTTTTATCTTCCTTTATTCTCTGAACTTTATTTTCTCTCTCTTCCTTCTGATGAAATATGCTTATATATGTTAGTTTAAATCCCACAGAAGAGCTTTTTAAGTTATCTTGTTAAGAAGAAAAGTATGAGTGCTGAATACGTATGGACTAGAACTTGAGATGAAATGCACACACACACACACAACTAAATATTCACGGCGTATTTTAGGATCTTTTGACTGTGATACTCTTGGAACACCCGTAAATAATTATTATGTTGACTTCCTAATTTAAGGAGCAGATTACGAGTATCTTGGAAAATATTTGGGACTGAATATGTATGAAGAAGATTGCGTAGATATTTGCACTTCAGCTGTTTCAGTCATTTGTACTCTTCTCAATCGTAGTATTGACTATATCGACAGTTCAAATACAGTGAAGTCTAATACTAGTGAATATTACAATTCAAGGTTTTTTAAGTAAGTCATATGTAAAACTTGTTCGGTTTAAACATTTAGATTTATTTGTTGATAAAATTTAATGAAAGTGCACTTAAGAAAATTTAGAATACATTTATTTGAATTTACCTATCCCTTCAACTACTCCAGAATAATTTCCAAGTATTGGTTTTGTAGGGATTTTGTTTGATTACATCGAGGATTTAATCATGAGCTGACATCAGTTAGAGAACCACTGGAAAACCTGGGAGTGACTGGCCCTATTCAGGAAGTTAACCTGGGGTTCTAGTGGGAAGCCGTGACCAGTAGGCTACAGCAGGTTGTAGATGAGGCAGTAACTCATCGAAGAAGACATTGCGAAGTGGTCGCGCCATGTCGTGAACTGGCAGAAGTTAGAATTCAAGGGCCATTGGATCGGGTCCCAGTGGCTTAAAGGTCTACCAGCTGGCTCGCCTTGTAATCAGATGGTCCTGGGTTCGAATCCCGGTGGGTGCGTACTGATGAAGAGTCCCAAACTAGGACGAAACAGTTGTCCAGTACTCTCAGCTGGTTTTCCAGTGGTTCTCTAACTGATGTCAGCTCATGATTAAATCCTCCATACCCCAGTGTGGTGAGAGCAGGCTGCTAGCCGATTGGTTGGCACTAATCTACGTTAAGGTCTAGGTCACTAATATGGGCCGTGAGAAAATATGAACAAGCCTGAGTCAACAACCAATCACAGCAAAGTTAACGTGGCAAAATATGATTCGCAGAGAGAACTCTATTTGTCAAGGAATCCCGAAACAACCAATCAGAAGCCTGCGTTTGTCTACCTAAACAACCAATCAGATGACTGCGCTTGTCTATAATAATGTAGTTGAAAGATGTATAAATACGTGTTGATTTTCATAATAAAACGATCTGTTGCCTGGCCCTTGTCTTCTGTTGTTACACCAGAATAGTTTACATCTTTGGACAACATATTTCACCAAGTTTTACTCGTTCTCAAGTTAAATGATTTATGAAGTGTGGTAAATAGTAGTGTATATACACTGGAAAAAATGTCCCTAAAAATCGCACTAGATAATCGCATGGGTGTGAACATCCAATTTCTGGAGACTGTAAATCGGTTTCTTTACACAAACTAACAGACTGAGTACTAATAAGAAATGTGCGTTGATGGCAAAGCGGTTGGGACGCCTATCGACCATGCCCATGGTCTGGGGTTCGATCACCGGCCACCGATGCACTCCTTTACCTCACGAAGTCAGTAATAAAATTGGCAAAGAGGGAAGGCTGGGCATTAGGCTAGCAACCTCATCCTTCAAAAAATAAACACTGTTACGGCAACTTCAAGCCTCTAGCCTTTAAGCCTTGTGTTCCACTGGGAACGTGAAGGAATATAAAGAAAAAACTAATGAGAAGAGGTGACCAGTAAAATTCATCAAAGCAGAGAGGTACGGTGCAGATACCCACCGATGTGTCGTATAATAATCACACTGGTGCCATCATATTGCGGAACGTTTGAGGTTTAAAGTCATTGGCTATTAAATTTCAGCGGAGTAGCTAGGCAGTGATGTTGTAATATTCTAATCAGATGAGTACAAATTTCTGAAAAGTTCAAAGCTATGAGAAACACAAACTTTCTAGTGGTCCTTGGTTTTCAGATATATTCTGAATGGTTTCAACATTTTGCAAAATATACTTTGAAACAGAATCTTACTATACCTCAAGTATTTCTAGTTGAAATAGGTTTGATTATTAATTCTGCTTTGTTTCATCTCATGTAATGTGGAATATCTTTTTGAATTAACAAACATTTATTCAGTCTAAATTGATTTTTTCAGGGATACAATATAGAGTTATCCCTATAGTAGGAAACAATAAACAGTAATAAGCCTCACTGTAGTTGTGACACTTAACAAATCAAGTGCTTATTCCACATTGTTAAATAATCCTGCATGAAGTGTTCCAGAATGACAATTGCTGAAAGTAGTCGACCAAGTATAAGTCATGTCACAGTGTGAACGTAACATGCGTGTGATAGTTCAATTGGTTGTTCAATTTACGTTAGCATCAGTTACCTAGGTGGCAGTATATATATCCCAGCGGTATCAAACCAATTTCCATACATATATATTCATCCTGAAGGATCACGATCTGACTGGCTTCCCCAAAGCCGTTTCGCTGAATCTTGAGTATGGTATCTATTCTCTTCATAGTTGACACGATTCATTCAGATGATGTCACATCCTCTGTCTCATTAATTTTTTTATCGAAAGAGCACACCTGGACTGTATGGGGCTGTTTATGTATGGGACGTAGCACGTATCCTGAACTGAAACAGATTGGGACTTACTGTGGATGCCTTCTGAAGTTTTTATTACTGAACTAATGAATACCCTTTACTCAAATAATCTGAATTGTAAGTATGTGTGTCTAGCCAAGATTAAGCATCGTCATTACAACCGTCATCAAATGGAGTAACAATGCAAAAATATTCAAATTAATTTCCAACCCCATACTTCACACATTCTTTTACTGTGTGAAGAAAATTTCATATTATTGATTTTTGCAATTTAGGCATCGTGTTACCCTAACGTGTGAAACACTGAAATTGATTATCCAATTTCCCAACAAAGCAGGTGTCAACTTCTTTCAACGTATCTCAGTTCTAGTCACTGTGGAATTTCTCATCACATATACGGTAAAGTGATATTTTATTACGTGTAATTAAGAATTAATTGTAGTGTTTGCCAGGAATAGGTAGTTCTTTGGATTATTCTTCTATGAGTGATGAATATGAAAAAGGTAGGTCATTATTCCAAACAGTAGCGCATTTACCACACTTTTAACCGAACCTATGAGAGATATCTAATTAAAATTTTTACAACAGTTGAGGCTTAAATTGAAGACAGTTTGTTGTGAAACCATCTTGGAAATTCCAAATGCTGTAACTCAAACTATTTCTGTCTATAAATTTACGTAAATTATTTTTTTAAATAACTGATTTAAAGACAGTAACACAGACTGAACTGCGGCATACAGGGAGAAGGATTACGCAATAATACAGAAGTAAGCACTTAGAACTGGTCTGAAGCCAGTTATGCTAGTTCACATTCGTCGGTCCGAAAAAATACCATAGTAATAATAATGATGATACAAATAGTAAAGCAAATAAAAGAAACAACAGAATACATAACTGTGTAGTAAGTGAGCGAATCGCTACCAGAGTATAATGAGATTGAATACGGTTTCGATTTTGCCTACACATTTTAGGTTTGAGTCACTCGATGGCATTAGACATTTAAGTAAAGCTGGATTTGTTTGCTGATGCTTGTAAATACAGTTTGGATACCCACCTTAGTGTTTATTCGATTATATGTTACCTAATCATGGTGGTAAGGGGCTAGGGATTTTCGAAGCTCAGACATTCTGGAATGTGTCCGGAGAAAATAATGGATACTAACTTTTCTGTTCATCCAATGTACTCTCTCCAGTACGTAGATGTGAATCTGTAAACACAGTTGGCGTTGATTTTAGATGTATACCTGTCAACTTTCGATAAAGTGTACGTCTAATGGTGCTGTGAACAGGAACAAGGTTAGCTCTTAGATAAGTCGGAATAAGAGTAAACGGCTAGTAATATTCTTTCATGACACTCTAAGCAGGTTTGACTGATATTTTATAACACGCTTATGACCTGAATTTTCTGTAAAACCCTATATTTAGCAATTCCTAATCGTAGGCTCAATAATCATGCGTAGACTAAGTGGTGCTCCGGAGGCACAAACACGAGAGGGCCAGGCAGGCTTTAGACCAAGAAGAGGATGTATTGATCATATCTTCACCCTCCGACAGATTCTAGAACATAGGCAGGGACTGACTTGCTACCAGGGAATAATCTCGTTGACTTAGAATATGCAGACGATATAGTCCTCCTAGGCGACGACTCTGACAAGATGCAGAGTTTTCTAAACACCTTGAGCCGCAATTTACGAGTGTTTGGCATGCGAGCGATTTGCTCCCGCCAAATGCAAGATGATGTTACAAGGCGGGACTGCAGCGACTCCTAGATTAGAAATAGGGAGTGAAGTGGTTGGTGGAGCACGTTGACCGCTTCACTTATTTGGGAAGTACCATCAGCCAGTGCCAACGGGTTGATCTGTGACGAAATCTCGGCACGGATACAGGGGGCTAGTTTCGCATTTGCCAGTTTACGCCGACTCTGGCGTAGACGAGATATTCGACTATCGACCAAAGGGCGGGTGTACTGCTCATCAGTCCGCTCCGTCCTCCTTTATGGTTGTGAGACCTGGCCACTGAGATTGAAAGACATGAAAAGGGTGACTAGCTGTCTTTGATGATAGGTGCCTGCGCTCTATTTCCCGTGTAAAGTGGCACAATAAGGTGAGCAATACTGAGGTTAGGCGTCGAGTTCTAGGTAAACAGGGGAAATGAATCGACGAAGTTGTGAAGTCACAAAGACTGAGATGGTTAGGAGACGTGTTACGTATGCCTAGTCATCGCCTTCCTCGATGAGCAATGTTAGCGGATATAGGGTCAGGCTGGAAAAAAGCTAGCGGCGGTCAAACAAAAACTTGGCCTCACCAGTCAATGAAATCCACAACAGTTAGTCTAAGCCATGTAGGAAGGTGTAGACTGGCTTCCTGGTTGGGGTCCTCGGGACGGTAAAAGCAAATGGTTGGAAACAATTGGTGACATGGCTCAAACTTATCGTTCTCAGTTGCTAGCGCAGATGCATCCACTCCTTGTGACTTATGATTTTCAATGGAACTGTTTTGTTCTTCGTTATTACTCCCCGCCTTTGTCTCACACCTCTGCTCACTGTCTCTATTATGCTTTTCTTGTACTTTCTTCTCTTGCTTCGCGTGCTACACGGAGTGTGGCGACTTGAACTTCCGCACATTTGTGCAAAGTTCTATGTTGAAAACAGACAGACAGACCACTTGTATTGGCATAAGTGTTCAGACACAAGTTGTTTGATCAATACTTCAAAAATACAGTTATGGTACATTACCTCCTGATTCATTACTGCTATTTAAGACTTTAGTATATATCAAAAATGTCCACGAGTTTTCTGTCGATATTAGATGTAATAAAAATATCCTGCAAAGTTCATTCTCCCAGTTTTTATACGAGTTAGTGCAAAACTCGACAAATATATATATATATATATATATATATATATATATATATATATACATAGGATATGAGAACATATAAAGTTGAGTCGATCCAACAAAGAATCTTCACAGACTATCCTAATACTAGTTGAATACACTGATATCGGTTGTGAGCAGTATACCGTTTTCTATTTATTCATAACTGCAAACTTTGTTCAGTCAGGTAAGTATATTATCACTTTTCATCAGTCTGTGTTATGGTTTAATAAGGTAAGTAATGTTGACGTTAGGCGTAGAGTGTTGGGCAAAGAGGGAAAATCAATCGACGAGGCTATAAAGTTACATAGACTAAGATGGCTAGGTCACGTGCTGCGCATGCCTAACCACCGCCTCCCCCGACGGGCATTGCTAGCTGATATAGGTGCAGGTTAGAAAAGGGTAAGTGGTGGCCAAACAAAAACATGGCCTCATCAATCCATAAAATCCTTGACAGTTAAACTGAGTCAGGTAAGGAGATGCAGACTCCTGGGTTGGGGGCCTCGGGACCCTAGGAATCAATGGCTGGAGACAATAGGTGACATGGCTCAAAGTTGTTGTCAATGGCGCAGATGTATTCAGTCTCTGTAATCTTTCATATTCCTCCTTTCTACCATTACCCATTCTGTTTCACTCTCATACTTGTCAAACTCTATTGATTCTCTTCACTCATCTTCTTGTCTACCTCTGTGTGCTATTTGGAACGTGGCAACTCGAACTGCTGCACTTCGGTGCCAAGTTCTATGTTGAATCCAGACAGACAGACAGTGTTATGCTCATTGCTCAATTGAAAATAAGCAGATACACTTACGCAAAGAGATTAGGCAGGATTTGTTTTCAACACAAGCGTGTACCATGAATTCTGTCCATGTTTATTTACCCATCTACACAGTGCTGGAAAAGTATACCTGTATCAGAATTGATGAGCACTTTAATTGACGTTGTGTTAAACTTCTTTCTTTTTTGGGGGTGAGTGGGTGGGGAAATATCGAATTTGGAGTGTAATTATCAGCTTACACTTACTGCTTTTAATGTTTTAGGTTTGAGTATTTTGTCTTCGGCACTGCTCGATCGCCTTCAACCTGTACACACTTTGGCTTTGTTACGCACTCCAAACTTTTCTAATTATTTAGAAAATTCAAGTCCATGTTGGATCGAAATGGCTCAAAAGATTGTTAGTGAAATGTTTTCAGTTTACTGTGTTGTTTACTTCATTGTAAAGCTGTGGTGTCTTTTTTGTTTTACTTTATAAGAGCTTCTCATGTAGCAGGAGAAGATAAGAGACCTGGTAACAGACTTTTATTAGTGAAAAATACATCATATTTATGCATTCCTGACCACATTTATGATTTGGCTGACTAGGTCAGAGCAGAATGAATCGTTCTAAGTGCTAAACGAGATTGTTCATTGTGGTTATTTCACGACTACAGCGTACACGAAATCCGGACTCGCGGAATAAACAACATTTCCACCTCTAAAACCACTGGCTTAAAATGTTGATTTGAATTCTGACCGCTTCCTATCAATCTGCATCGCGTCAAACTAACACTTTGTATAACAAATATAATGCTAATGGGGTTGAAGGATGGAGTGTTGCTGACAAATACGATATATATATATATATATATATATATCGGAGTTATTATTCGATTCTTAAATCAGGTATACCTCAACCCCTCCTCTTACAGTTCATAAACTCTTGCATCCTACCTATTCTTCTTTATTGTTCACCCCTGCTTATTCTTTCCTGGTTTGCTTAAAAAAGACTATGTCACAATTCGTAGAATACTGAAGACGGTCAGTAGGGTGAGTGGTGTCCCAGTGGACCACATAGTTAACGTCATTGTCGATGAGCACTTGGTTTCGTGCAATAAATTCGCTAAAGGAATTTTGTCTGACTTGGAGCATCCACTTTACCCTCAGCTTCCTTTCACCTTGCATCTCCTTCTCAGGTTGAACAAGGAGTAACTTCATAAAACTGTATTCTCGCACGTCTAAGTATAAAAGTTCTATGATATCATACTTGTCACGTATTTTATGTGATAAGGAAAATAGTGTCAGGCAAGAATTAACTAACCTTTTTTCATCTAGTAAATAAACAATTTCCTCCATCCATCCTTATATACCTTGAAGTGTTACTTTTATTATTTCTATTATATTTATGGTCCTGTTGCTTCTTTGTTTGTTTAACTCTCATAATTGCAAACACCAACTTATCTCCATGACTGCAGTAATCTTTGTTTTTCCCCTCACCATATCATGTAAAGAGAACATTATATTCAATATTTTAAACATGTTAGGATTTCTATACCACATTGCCAATACTGTGTGACACAAGCAGCCCACGGCAATTTTCACTTGTATTCTTATTATTATTACCCTAGCTGTTATCATTGTTATTGCTATTACCATTTTATATGCTGCATGTTTTTGACACTACCTCTATTGTGAATGTGGAAAATTTTCTGTGTGATTAATTTTATTTCTTTGTGATTTGAGGAAATTAGATGCAGTAATATTGTGATTAATGCTGAAAATTCCATTCTGTATCACAAGTACTGTTTTGGAATAAAGTAAATTATTATTATTATTATTATTATTATTATTATTATTATTATAAGCCTTCGATTGGTATTTAATGACGAAAAGGTTGATGAATGTCTAAGTTATTTTTTTAAATAATCATCCAATTATTAATTAGGTTATGAATTTCTATGGTAAATAAGAGATGAAGACGACGAACCTACCTGCATTCTTACATGCTTACTTAGTGTTTATAAAATAATGGCACTTTAAAATAAGACCAAATATACTCTGTGAAATTTCCTATGGAGTGAATTTTGTGTCGGTTTTAGTGCTTTTACGTCAGTGTAACACTATCTTTGCTTCAAGATGTAACAAACATTACACTGGCCAAAGCGGGCGTCCCCTTCGAATAAGAACCCAAGAACACAAGTCAGCCGTGAAAAGACATGATTATAAATTCTTTAGTATCAATGCATACAGATAATTATGGACATCAATTTGATTGGGATAATAATATTAAAATCTTAAACAGAGGAAACACAACACCAAATGTGCAGTCAGGGAATTCCTAGAAGCCTGGTACTCAAATGAAAACGCCATTAATAACCACGTTAATATAGATGAAATATATCAACTATAATAAAAAGCAAAAATCAGGTGATCAGAAAGTTTAAAATCCCAATCACAATAGAAAACGGTTAATACACACATATGTGAAGATGGTTGGTCACCACCAGGAGACGCAATTGTATCATCCATCATTCATGGAGATATTTTTAAATCATTTAACTTTATGCTAAATACTGCGCTGAAGATGTCGTCCAGAAAGACGACGAAAGCTCAGAGAACACTATTAATTGCAAAAGATAACTTGTTTATCATAAACTTAATATGAATCTTAACCATTCCAGTTGACAGTGACGATTTAGTTGTAAGGCAGATTCTATAGTTAGGTTATAGTCTCTTAGGTACATCTCCTTCAGGTGGACATTTAATTTCAAATTTACTGAGAGTAAGTCTGTACCATCGTGGATCATATCGTATTGACTTTCATTCATTGGGGGAAATACAACATTTTTATAATGCTGAACATGGATTACACTGTCATAAGTGTTATGGCTATAATTTTGAAATGGTGTCGATGATTTCTAGTTTAGCATGTGGAGAAAAGTCTGTAAAAACCTCTCAGTTGTATAAATGTATATTAAACTCAGTGATTTTAATAAATCGACCGTTACATGGAAGATTTAATCATGAGCTGACATCAGTTAGAGAACCACTGGAAAACCAGCTGGGAGTACTGGACAGCTGTTTCGTCCTAGTTTGGGACTCTTCATCAGTACGCACCCACTAGGATTCGAACCCAGGACTTTATTTTTGATTTTGATTTTTGATTTACAGCTTGATTCCAAACTGTATTTGCGGTACAAGTATGGAGTTTTCAGCACGGATATCGGTAGCCCAAATTTTGCAGGCCGACCATAGATATCAGATGTGGTCGGTGAGGGCTCGAACCCCGGGCCATGTGCATGGTCGGCGAGAGTCCTAACCACTGTGCCACCGACGCACAATCGGTTACAAGGCGAGCTCATAGACCATTGAGCCACTGGAACTCGATCCAACGGTCCTTGAATTCTAACTTCTGCCAGTTCACGACATAGCGCGACCACTTCGCAATGTCTTCGTCGATGAGTTACTGCCTCATCTTGCACCTTCATGATTAAATCCTCCATGTAATAAAAAAAATCCCTACAAAAATCCAATACTTGAAAATTAATTTGATGCTCACTAGCGACTGGCCCTATTCAGAAAGTTAACCTGGGGTTCTAGTGGGAAGCCGTGACCAGTAGGCTACAGCAGGTTGTAGATGAGGCAGTAACTCATCGAAGAAGACATTGCGAAGTGGTCGCGCCATGTCGTGAACTGGCAGAAGTTAGAATTCAAGGACCATTGGATCGGGTCCCAGTGGCTTAAAGGTCTACCAGCTGGCTCGCCTTGTAATCAGATGGTCCTGGGTTCGAATCCCGGTGGGTGCGTACTGATGAAGAGTCCCAAACTAGGACGAAACAGTTGTCCAGTACTCTCAGCTGGTTTTCCAGTGGTTCTCTAACTGATGTCAGCTCATGGTGAAATCCCCCATGTAACCAAACAAAATCCCTACAAAAATCCAATCCTTGAAATCGACCGTTTACAAAACACAGGAAGTAAGATAAAATAAATTGACTGAATTGAAGAAGGCGAGATGAAATTACCATTAATTAGTAAGACAGAGTGAGCCTCAGTACTCGTGGTAAATTTACCATTTTTAATACTGAATTCTAACCAAAATAAAGAGCACGAGTATTGTTGACTGTTTTATCATCTGAAGGACCTAATTCAATGACTTGATCAACTATACAAATGGCTTTTCAGCGCTGCAGCCTTGACACACGTTTACCAGGCCAGTGTACGTGCAGTCGAGCACGTAAGTAAGTGCATAAGGGGCAGCAATCCTATGAACGCCAAGTCTAACCAGATCGCTTAAACAGTGTAAAATGGAAAGGCTGTATATATATATGTGTGTGTGTGGGTGGGTGTTTCCCTACCTTGATATTCTCAGCTACACATTTCTTTATTTATGATTTAACCATCACTTGCAAAAGTTAAACAAAAGGTCACATAAACAATAGTTCATTGAGTAGTAGTTATAACGAACCCACTATTCAGATCTACTACACTTCAATTAGAAGGTAATTAATGGGAAAGCCACTAACAGTTATAAGATAAAAGAAGTGAATATGAATTAAGTACAGAGTGTGACGTAATGATGAAGATAACAAAGCTGGATTGCATCTGCGTACATCTGTGAGGTCGACTTCCAGGCATATATTATCGACAATTGTTAACTATGAACTTCATCTGTCAAGTATACCTCAGTTATGCAAGATATCCGTCTGTACATAGCTTAAACAGGCAGCCAATGACTTCTGGGATTGATAGTATGTCTCTGATATGTATCCACATAATATGTGTGTTTGTTTCTTTTTTTTGACAGTTGTTTTGTTTTTGACAGTCTGTTACATTTTGCTATGTATATATGGATCGATATTCCATTATAATTGACAATATGTTTTTGTCTATCCACTAACTAAACAAATATATCTGACCTTGTTGTCAGACATGACATTACAACAATCATGTTAAGACTGTCTATTGATTCGTTCATTTTTGAACATTCGCTCACACACTTGTGTGACATTGATTTTCCTGGTTGTTTGAAAAGAAAAAATACAAGTATCATCGTGAACCTGGTGGATTTCTGATTTCCGCCTTCTTGCGTCAGGACTATTAATTACTCGGCCAGTACATAACAATAATTTGGCGACGGGGAAAACTATGGATTCTTCTAAATTGGAATTATTGTTTGAACGACAAATGGAATTAATGGAAATGTTCGTCAACCAACAGACCGATTCAACTTCACCATCAAGCAATCCCAATCATACCATGCTACCATCTGTCAACGACGTTGTGAACAGTATTTCACAGTTTAATTATAACCCAGAGGCTAATGTCACTTTTGACACATGGTATCAACGTTATGAGGATTTATTCACTGTTGATCTCGCCTCACAAGACGATGCCTGGAAGGTGCGAGTGTTATTGCGTAAATTGGGTCCCGCAGAATATGAACGGTACTGCAACCTAATTTTACCCCAAAAACCACGTGACAAGTGTTTCGATGATACAATAAAGCTGCTGCGTGAACATTTTGGAGACCACTCCTCATTATTCAGCATACGTTATCGTCTCCTCAAGCTGACAATGAATGAAAATGATGATTTTCTTACTCATGTTGGCACAGTCAACCGAGAATGTGAGGGATTTCGACTCAGGTCTTTAACAGATGATCAATTCAAAGCCTTGATTCTCATATGTAGTCTTCAATCTCTTCGTTTCATAGATATCCAAACTCGACTCCTCAATCAGCTAGAGCAAAATCCTAAGTTAACACTACATGACATAGATGATGAATATCAACGGCTGATTAATTTGCAGAAAGACATACACCTGGTCGAATCAACACCTTCGAGAAGCTCTGATATTCATGCATTACGAAAGAGCAAAAATCTCTCATCATACAGTCCCGACCCACCTAACGTTCCACGAAAGCCTACACATACTAGTCCAACCTGACCAAATACCGCAAAGAAGACCCCACCATCACCATGCTGGCATTGTGGCGCGTGGCACTTTGTAAAGTCTTGTCCATACAAAAATCATCGTTGCAGCAAGTGCAAAATCATCGGTCATAAAAATGGATTTTGCCAGTCTTAACATGATTGTTAATTATAATGGAATATCGATATATATATATATATATATATATATATATACATAGCAAAATATATCAGACTGTCAAAAACAAACACACATATTATGTGGATACATATCAGTCTCATTCTGGTTGCTTCTACCTAGTTAATCGTGCTTTATAGCAGATAAATGTAGAAAGTGAGAAAACATGCCCAACGCATGTCTTACACAGCTAACGCAAGTGAATTCAATAATTTGTGTGGTTTTACAAGTCGAATGTATACACAGTGTCAATATATAATTTATTATTGTTATTATTATGTTTTAGATACTACAGTGTCATTCTGATGAATTATTGATCGATGAACAGGCATTCTTACTAATTCCAACAACTTACACTTTATTATTTAACACTTGGGTGAGTAAAACAAATTAGCAATCCACTACTTTTAAAACTGGACAACTTCCAAAAAAACACTCTTTGTATACAATTGGTGGATGGTGGCTAGCAGTGGAATCCAGGATAACGCGCATTTCGTCCTATTTGGGACTCGTCAGCCACTGGATGTACCTGCATTTCTCAGTGAGTGATGATGTTCCCACCGAGGCTCGAACCCAGTGCCCATAGTTTCAAACGCCAAAGCGTTATCCACTAGACCACTTGGGCCACGAGAGCCACCTCTTGTGCAACGGGTCATATTAATTATTGAATTGAATTCTTGATTTTCGATCAGTCGACGGGAAAATCAAAAATTCAATTCAATAAAGACACTCTTTATTTAATGCCAGGTGTAGTCAATTGGTGTATATTCACCATCGATGAGTCTCACAATGCTTCCTTGTTCTGACGGACTCATTCAGCTCGATAGCTCGATAGACAACTGTTCACCTGGATTTAATCAAGTCAGGTAATTTCTACACTTCAGCTTAGTTCTATTCCTGAGTGAAGAAGGTTACAAAACCTAATCAAGGAATCTCCTGACACTTGTAGGGCAAATTTCGTAGGCTAGTGATTTTCAAAAGATGACTATTCACTTATAAGTATTGTGTGTATATCTCAAGTGTGTAACACACATCCAGTATCGGATATACGAAGTGCCAGCTAGTAGGGCCTTTTATTTAATCTGATATCGAGTCTGGGCTTTGAAAGCCCCAACATAACTGTTTTATCGGGGCGACTACAAGCTGTGTTTTTTTTCCAGATGAACTCTGTCATAAAGCAGTCACAGAATTCACAGCTATAATGAAGTAACTGCCTGGAGAATGAAGAAGATGAAGCTTGGAGATCAACAGAGAGAGAGAGATTGTGTGTTAATATGGGAGTGTGTGTGTGTGTGTAAGCGGCTGCTGTATTCTGACTGTACTCGACGCGAACGTTAAAATTCTTTCCTGTTATACTTGAGTGAGAAAGGAGAAAGACGCTAGTGACTAACGAAAGAGCCCAGTGGATGGGGATGGAACGCTTGAGACCGATGTCCAAAAAATCTGTCTGAAGACAGGATTTTGATGGAGCTCTGTCTTTCCGCAGAGCTGTCGACTGTCATATAGACTAAGTCAAGATGTGCAAATTTTGGGAAGCAACATTTTCTGAAACCTCCCCCCCTCTTGTTACTAAATCACTGCGATAGGCTTTATGTTTCAAATTTATGTGAAAATTCTTGTCAATTTTCAATTTGTAGACAGTATTGTACAATTGTTTGTTGCAAGTCGACAATTTTGATGTACTTCAACGTTTGGTGGTTACTTTCGAAAAACGATTGATCATGTTGAAGGTTAGTTTGGTGTATTTTTTTGTGATTTTGAGTCTTTTTATGCTTTATGTTCAATATCTTGACTGAAAATAAAGCTTACGGTTAACGCAATTGGACACATTACAATTGATTTATACAGTGAAATCTCAGTGACACAATGATTACACTGAAACAGTAGGACTGTTTCATTGAATATTCGAGCATTCCCATTTTGCTTCATGTGATGTAGCTCTTGATAGATAAACAGTGAAGTGATTGACTGATGAGGTTAACGGTGTGTTTGTTATTATTATTATTATTATGAATGACATTAAACGTCTATAATTCAAGTGTAGTATACACACTAGTGAAGTAAGTAAGTCCCTTTCATCTATTGTCGCTAAAAACGCCTTTATTTTACGTGCTAACTTGTAAAGTAGTTGAAGGAATCAGAGAAGTGGCAGGCAATTTCAAGTAGTTCTTCAGTCATTTAGATACCTCAGAAATATATATATATATACTGAATAATGCATTTCTGTGCATTTAACTGATTATTTCTGAATAAACTGTCTTTTTTTCATCACTTAACAACTGTGTATACTTGTAATGGCTTTTTGAAACAATAGAATTCCTCTGCAGAATATTGATGTCTTTTCACAGTACCATTCTGTGAACAAACTGGTCACACATTTATCTGTTTAAAAATGTATTGTGGAAATGCATCTCTCCTTTTTTCAGGTAAAAAAAAACAAACTAAGTTTTTGTGAATAAAATGCTCTCCAAGTGTATTGAAGCGCTACTGGTTGTTTTCTTTTAATTGAGCATGTGTGTATGTGTGTGTGTGTTGAGACACTTTTACTCCTCTATTAAATCCTGCCTATTAGGTTATAAATTTCATCCACTTAAACAATTTTCGAATAAACTTGAGTGTTTGTCATGAAAAACAAAGTACACAAAATATTGGGGGGGGGGGGTATTTTGACGACGTATACAACATACACTAACATAGTGAATTTTTGCACTGCACTTTCTTTGGGAATCACAAATTCTTAAGAATGTCAATTTTTTTTAATTAAAAATTTCTTTCACAAGGAACAAGCACAGTCAGTAGAGGATTTGAAGACTTTTGAAGTACAGAGAAACCGATTCTCGCTTCGTGTTTGTGATTGTCTTTCAGTGTTACCGAATAACCTTTCAGGCTGTTTCCTTAAAGTCTTCTCTAATGGTATGTACGTGTTTATATTATGCATCCTTGGTTTCAAAATTTTCCACGTAATTTTAATATTAAATTCTTTGGTGTGTGTGTATATAGCAGTAAATAATAAAGCTTTATACATTTGGTTCCCTTGATAAATTTTGATAGAGAAAGAAAGACCAGATTTACAGTATAAAATGATGCCATCATCATTCTATTTCACAGGTTCTCGTCAGCTGCACACCACTGCCTGAAATTACAATGGTTATAAATAATAATAACATTTCATACTTCATTGTTTGAAAGGTAACAGAGAAGACATTATAAGGTGAACAACGCATCTGGAATATAAGTATTATAATCTAAGTCACCATCAATTTATATACTGTGCGTCAGTGGCACAGTGGTTAGGACTCTCGCCGACCATGCACATGGTCCGGAGTTCGAGCCCGCACCGACGCACATCTGAATCTATGGTCGGCCTGCAAAATTTGGGCTACCGATATCCATGCTGAAAATTCCATACTTGTACCGCAAATACAGTGTGGAATCAAGCTGTAAATATAAAAAATAAAATACTGTCAAACTATGAAGGAAGAAAAAGGGCGGGGGGTGAGAGAAGACAGAAAACAGAAAAATTTAATAAACAGTGTCAACATGTCAACTCAAGAAGGTCAAAGTTCATCAATTTGAAAACTTGCTTAGTGAGTTGAGCTCACTAGTGTGTATGACTAATCAGTGTAATGAAAGTCATATAGTTACCAAGGTAGTGAGAGATTGACCACACTGTCTTTCTGTATGTATAAGTTTGGTCTGTGTGACGTTTGATTGCTGTAATTGCTTCAGCAAATCGTAGTAGATTCGCTGTCCTTTGTATGTTTAATATTATGAAGGACTTGAAGAAATCTCGACAAAATGACCCGTATCCACAGAGTAGGTGTCTGGTAATTACACTTTGTAAATATCTGCTTCCTTTTAGGCATTAGTTTCTTAAAATATGCTCTGAAAACAGCGGATAGAAGCCCTTCTTTCTGTCCTTCCAATGTACTTGCTGCCGCAGGTACACGTAAATTTATAAATACAGTTGAAGGTAACAACATCAGCAGGGTACTTATCCAGTATGAAATGTTATTATTTATAACCATTGTAATTTCAGGCAGTGGTGTGCAGCTGATGAGAACCTGTGAAATAGAATGATGACGGCATCATTTTATACTGCAAATCTGGTCTTTCTTTCTCTATCAAAAAATAAAGCTTTTATTTCAGACAAAATATACGATCAGATAGTACAGAAATTTTCAGCCTATCTACTTCCAAAATATTTCCATCTTCTATACACAGGATTCACAGGTGAACTAATAATCTGAAGTATAATCTCATGTGGGGGGGGTGTAGTGTGTTGGTGCAACATGAAAACTAATTAAATATTGTGCGCGAATTCATTTAGCGGCTATTTCATATAAAGCTGTGTGATTAAAACAACAACAAGAACAAGAAATGTAGAAGTTTAAGTGTAGCATTTTGATGGATGTGAATTTGATCGCCCAGTGATTTTTAAGCAGACCACTATGCAATATTCGCCTCCCATGTGCGATTATGTCAAGATAGATTCAAATTTATCATTGCACTTGAGAATTTGTTTTCGAGTCAAGTTATATGAGAATAATTCATTTACATAACTGAAAAGAGTATGTATAAGTCAGTGTCGATTTGTGATCGAAAGAATGCCTATAAGACTAAATCTTGCGTAATTCTATATACCTAATAATAAATATTGCTTATTCCAAATTTCATGGAGCATTTCACCATGAGCTGATATCAGTTAGAGAACCACTGGAAAACCAGCTGGGAGTACTGGACAGCTGTTTTGACCTAGTTTAGAATTCTTCAGTAGTACGCACCCACCAAAGGAGTTCGAATCCAGGACCTTCTGGTTACAAGGTGAGCCAGCTGGTAGACCATTAAGCCACTGGAACTCGACTCAATGGTTCTTGAATTCTAACTTCTGCCAGTTCACGACATAGCGCGACCACTCATCTTCAACCTTCTGTACCCTACTGGTCACGGCTTTCCACTAGAACCCCAGGTTAACTGCCTGAATAGGGCTAGTCGCTAGTGAGCATCAGATTAATTTTCAAGTATTGGATTTTTGTAGGGATTTTGTTTGATTGCATGGCGTCAGCTCATGATGCAATCCTCCATGCAATCAGACAAAATCCCTACAAAACCAATACTTCAAAATTATTCCAAATTGACACAATTCTTGTCAGAGATGAGACTTTTGAAGTAATATGTGTAAGATAAATAAATATTCAAAAAATATTTTTAAGAGTTGATCACTGGTTGATATCAGTTAGAGAACCATTGAAACCCAGCCACATGGAGTACTGGACAGCTGCTGTTTCATCCTAGTTTGGGAATCAACGGCAGTACTCACCCCCACTGGGATTCGAACCCAGGGCCTTTTGGTTACAAGACAAGCTCGTATACCATTCAGCCACTCACTGGGACCCGATTCAGTGGTCAGTGCATGAATTCTAAATTCTATCATTTCGTGATTTATCGCGACCCCAACCTAACTGATGTCAATCCGTGCGTGATCAACTCGTAAAAACATAACTAACCCTTACAAACCAAACTATAGAAAATTAATCCGATGCTCGCTAGTGACTTACAACAAGTTGGCTTTTTCTGAGCTCTAGTGAGAAGTCGTGACCAGTGAGGTCCAATTAGATATCACGTGTGTGGATGGACGCCTTACCAACGACAATGATTGGGGTCGCGTTAAATCACGAATTGGTACAGGTTAGAATTCATGCACTGACCATTGAATCGGGTCCCAGTGAGTGGCTGAATGGTATACGAGCTTGTCTTGTAACCAAAAGACCCTGGGTTCGAATCCCAGTGGGGGTGAGTACTGCCGTTGATTCCCAAACTAGGATGAAACAGCAGCTGTCCAGTACTCCATGTGGCTGGGTTTCAATGGTTCTCTAACTGATATCAACCAGTGATCAACTCTTAAAAACATAACTAACCCTTACAAACCAAACTATACAAAATATATTTCTGTATGTGCTTTGCTATATGCTTCAAATGACTCTGAACACCACAAATATTTGATACAGGTATCGATTGGATAGCTTCCTGGAACACAGTAATTATTAACATGAACAGACATTGGTGTAAAAAATGTAGGCAAGCTGAAAAAAATACACTTTTCTACAAAAACAAAAAAAACATTTTGCCCTTTGAAATCCTTAGCTGATGAAATTCTTCAACTAACACATTCGATGCGTACGCTTACACTATATTGCGTTCTTTTGATTAGCCAATTGTGGTTACACAACGTAAACCAGTAGCGCTAAAAAGAGAGAAGCGTTTTTGAATACCCCCAAAAAATGAAGATTCACAATTTAATTAACTTCTATTTTTTCTAATAGTACGCGTATTGTATATCCTTTGTTGATTTCAAATGTACAGAGAGAGAGAGAGAGAGTAAGTTAACTTGACATCAGGCTTGTTTTACTGTTTTCACAAAACTAATTCGTTCTATATAACAAGAAATAGTCTATTTCCATTATGTTGATAAACAGCTGACTTATCTGATCTTTCTTTACAAAACTAACAGGCTGTTGAATATATATTACTTTGTTTACAGTTGATCTAAAATATTTGTACGTGAAGGTGTTAAAGGTTGTTTGCACACAGTTAGAAGAACTTTTCCTTAATACGGAATTCATAATGATGGTAGCACAACAAGGTATGTTCTTCTTGCTATTCTTCATAATCTCTCGTCAAAATCAACCCTTTAGTGATTCAATTTCTAGTAGATGATCAGTGTACTGTGACATCTGTACTGAGAACTGATCTCCTCAAAATACTTTTACACCTGTTGATGAATAATGAAAATGGTGAACGAATACAGAGTGAGTGAATACAATTTTTTTTTCTTTTTTCTATTTTTATGCTGTTGTAATAACAAAAGAATATCTTGTCTAACTGTTATGTACTCGTCGCCAAATTATTGTTGTGCACTGGTCGAGAATTTAATAGTCCTGACGCAAGAAAGGCGGAAATCAGAAGACCACTAGGTTTGCGATGATACTCTATTTTCCAAAACACCAGGAGAATCAATTATATCACACAAGAGTGTGAGAGCAAAAATATATATGGATGTCCAAACAAGTGAGTGAACAAATCAATAGACAGTCTTAACATGATTAGCTAATTATAATGGAGTATCGATCCATATATACATAGCGAAATATAGCAGACATGTCAACAAACACACATATTATATATAATATAAGGGGAATATACATTGTTGAAGGAGACAGGTTCATCAAAGTGAAATGGTCACAGACTAAGAGAGCAACAGAAAGAGAGACCATCATATATATATATATATGGATACATATCAGTCTCCTTAAATTCATGTCACTTTGATATACAATTTTATAAATTTGAACAAGGCAATTAGAAGAGAAATTTCACTGCGAGATGATATCGTCATTTCGTAGTTTCCGCTTTACAACCGCTTTACAACTAACATGGTTAACAATAATAATAAAATAAAGTTCAGGAAAATTACTCAGTTAAATAAAAAACACAAAAGTACATACTAATGACCAATCATATTTAGATAGGTCATGCAGTCCAAGGTAGGCGAAGATTGAAGTCTATTGATTTTTGTACACACAGTTTAGGCTGTATGTGATTAATCCCCCAAAAGTCTGCTTCCATCACCTTCAATAACCTTGAATTAGAGTTATGTGAAATAATTGTGAAACAGTCATTCATATTGATTGATTTTGTGACCAGACATTAATAAGTGTTTTGCAATGGATGATGCTGGATTTCTATTAAGATTAATCGCGTTAGGATTTTCGATATGATTTACTAGCCATTTTGGAATATGTTCTTTTCGACGACATTGGAACATTCTGTTAGTTCTACCTATATAGGTGTCACCGCAGCTGCAGGTGAACTTGTAGATACAGTTTGAAGTAGAGTCCACAGAATTTCGTCCTTTAATCGTAGGAACAGGGATCGAAAATGTTCGGCAAGTGAGAAAAAAAAGAACATATTCCTAAATGGCTAGTAAATCATATCGAAAATCCTAACGCGATTAATCTTAATAGAAATCCAGCATCATCCATTGCAAAACACTTATTAATGTCTGGTCACAAAATCAATCAGTATGAATGACTGTTTCACAATTATTTCACATAACTCTAATTCAAGGTTATTGAAGGTGATGGAAGCAGACTTTTGGGGGATTAATCACATACAGCCTAAACTGTGTGTACAGTCAAAACAATAGACTTCAATCTTCGCCTACCTTGGACTGCATGACCTATCTAAATATGATTGGTCATTAGTATGTACTTTTGTGTTTTTTATTTAACTGAGTAATTTTCCTGAACTTTATTTTATTATTATTGTTAACCATGTTAGTTGTAAAGCGGTTGTAAAGCGGAAACTACGAAATGACGATATCATTTCGCGGCGAAATTTGTCTTCTTAATGCCTTATTCAAATTTATCAAAGAGACTAATTGTTTTAACAATTTTATAACAAAAGTGTTAGATGTCAAACTATTCAAAGTATTTTTTTCAAGTATTGATTTTTGTAGGGATGGAGTTTGATTGGTTGTAAGGATTTCATCATGAGCTGACATGAGTTAGAGAACAACTTGGAAACTCACCTGGGAGTACTGCACAGCCGTTTTGTCTCAACAGTTTAGGACTCTTTAGCAGTACGCGCCTACCTTATGGCTACAAGGCAAGCTAGTAGACCACTGAAGGTGAGACAGTAACTCGTCGAAGAAGACATTGCGAAGTGGTCAAGCTATGTCATGAATTGGCAGAAGCTAGAATTCATTGGCTGGCCATTCGATCGGGTCTCAGTGGCTTAATGGTCTACGAGCCCGCCTTACAATCAGAAGATCATGGGTTCGAACCCTTGCAGTGGAGTAGGTGCGTACTGCTGAAGAGTCCCAAAGTAGCGGGATGAAAAAGCTGTTCAGTTTTCCCAGCTGGTTTTCCAAATGGTTCTCTAACCGATATCAGCTGATTCTCCAACCGATTCAAAGTATATAATCTATTCAGTATAAGTTGACAAGTATTACTTTTGCGTTTAGTCAGTGCTCAACACACAAAACTGCGTCGATAATTTAGTAGACTTCTAATAGTAGTGGGAAAGTGAAGATACTGACAACTATAAACTAGACTCTGTGGACTTCGCCGTAATGAAAGGTGTATATTTTTGTTTGGGTAGGATGAAATCGACAGAAAGTGTTTCAGTTCAGGGACTACCGTAGAACTTTTTAAAAAAGATCCTATTCATAATTCCAAATTAAATTCAGTATGCAAATATTTGAACTGGTATAGTCTAATTCCCAGACACTGAACTCTTCACAATGTAACTCTTTTCCCAGCATCTCTAATCGGTCACTAGTGTTCAGACAAAAAAGGTAAAATATTTCGTAAAAAACTGAAACAATTTACAACAATGTTTACTGATTACCCCAGTTTTCGTTCTAACTCTTTTGTTTTTCCCCTCTTAGTTGTGAAATTATTATGTTCAGAAATTAAATACAAAGATAAAAGTATATTTTATTTTACACAAAATACTATTGAAAATTCTCCTGATGATCGTTTGAAAACACACTGTACAGAATTTCAGATTACTGCTGTAGAAATGGATGCTATTTTAGGAATAGGAGCTTTGGTGAATATGTGCACAAAAGATATACCAGTAAAGTGTGAATTAGCTGACTGTATTAAACCGGTGAGTTAAACACAGTTTGTTGTTGTTGTTAATGTTGTTTTTCAAGTTCCATTTATATCATAGTGTGAAATTCACAAGTGTGGATTTGTCATATTGTCGTGAGAGCAGGCCGTGAGAAAATATGTACAAGGCTGATTCAACAACCAATCACAGCAGACTTAACGTGGCAAAATATGATTCGCAGATTTTTTATTTTTTTATTATTATTGCTCTCTTGGGTTCCTAGTGGAACATAGGGCTTCAACTGCACGTCTCCATTTTCTTCTGTCTTCTGCAATTCTTTTCGCCTGCATCCATGTTTATCCATCTTCTTTCAACTCCTCTACACACGATCTCCTCCATGTCACCCTTGGACGTCCCACACGCCGCTTCCCTTTCGGGTTCCACTCGAGGGCTTGGCGCGCGATGTCATCCAGCGGTCTCCTCAGCGAGTGTCCGATCCATCTCCACTTTCTCTTGCATATTTGTTGGGCGATTGGTTCTTGCTTTGTTTGTTCCAATAATTCCTTGTTGGTGATTCTTTCCGGCCCGGCCATCTGATCTTCAGTATAGAGCCAGTAAAGACAGTCGTTGATAAAGGTTACGTCTGCAACAAGCTGTAGAAAATATTCTTTGTGACCCACCCGCCAAATTTCTGTTCCGTATAGGAGAACTGACTGACTTGAAGTTTGTACTGAAAATCCGGTCGACCGAATTTTGTTGGTGATTCTGGCTGAGTGACGAAGATTTCCAGATTGGTTGTTTCAGGTTGATAAATGTGTTTCTCGCCCCCACCCTATTCTCGCTCGATTTGACATCCTCGTCCGTTCCGATTGCCTGTAGTTGAGACAATGCTCCCTAGATAAGTGAGTGAATGAAGTAACCTCTTTCAAATCCCTCCCGTTGATGGTGATTGGCGCTGGATGTTGCTGCTGTTGTTGTTGGTTGGCTGGTTATTTTCATCACCTCCGTCTTGTCTATGTTCACATAGAGTCCTGTCTTCACCGGCTGCTTCTTCGATCGACCAGTTTGTCGGTTTTCGCTTGTCTCTAAGTCTTCGATTTTGTGTGACATCAAACATAAATCATCGCCGCGCGAAATCCAGGTCTTCTAGGTTCTTCACATCGGTCCAGGATATTCCTGTCTTCTCGTTTCCCACTCACTGTTTGACGCATAATCCAGTCCACCACAATTAGGAATATCATTGGTGATAGTAAGCACCCTTGTCTGACTCCTGTGTTTACTCCAAACGCCTTGCTGATTCGCAGATAGAGAACTCTGTTTTTCGAGGAATCCCGAAACAACCAGCCAGAAGTCTGCGTTTGTCTACTTGCATAAGCTATAATAATGTACAGGATATATATATATATATATATATATATATATATATATATATATATATACGTGTTGATTTTGGTAATAAAACGATCTGTTGCCTGACCCTTGTCTTCTGTTGTTACAATATCACCACGTATCGTTGTCGTTATTTACGCTTATTATTAATTTATTAAATATTCCCATAGTAAAATTTAGAACAACACATTTAAGCGAACAATACTGTTTTCAATTAGATCTCATCAGGCTTAACTCTAATATATATAAGTTTACAAATAAAATTCAAATATAAACCAGTCATGGTGTTTTGTCTATAGGATAATACGATGGTGAATATAAATTGTGCAGTTAGTCATAATAGTAGCAATGATAATATTAATAATAGTAATAATAATAATAATGGTCTTATCAATAATAAGGATGAAAAAATGAGGCAATCTGTGATAACACGAATAATGAAAAACAGTATGATTAAACAAACAATTGTTCAGGTGGAAGTAGTCGATAAAGGCTAGTAAAAACAAATGAACCGATTACGTAATGTTAGATTGTAGGGGGAAGGAAATGAAACACGTTTATAATGAATATAAGATAAGATTAAGGGATGATAAGAAAGGGGTTGGAAATATAAATAAAGGGTGGTGTAGAAGTCTTTCGTTGGTTATGTCTTATTAGGCCACGGGGGGGATAATGGCTGTACGAACTTCTTTTGAATGCATAGTTTAGGTTCAATAGTTCGAATGCCTATCGCCTCAGCTGTGTGCAGTAGACGAATACGAAGTCTATTAGAAAGATTCGGAGGGATACGATGAATTACTTTGAAGGCTTTCGTTTTATCGAATATATGACCACTATCAATTAAATGTGACAGAATTGAGCTACGGATTGTTTTTGTCTGTCCTTTGCCAAACCACGATGGGAGATGTTCACTAACACGTTGGCTAAGCTATCTAGTAGTACGCCCAATATAACTGTCACCGCAGGTGAAGTTGAATCGATAAATACACATAGATGTGGCAAAACTATCAAGCTTATCCTTCGTTTGCGTCCCAATCATTCGTCGGCTAGAGAATGACAAACATAGGTGTGCTGCGTAAAATGTTCTACGTATGCTCCTTGAAAGTCTTTGGAATAGAATCTCACTAGATAAGTCCCCATTAAATTGTAACTTAATAAAAAAAGGTTTCTTATGTGCAGTCAGAGTCACAGGTTTCTTCTCTGATGGTTTCATATGTTTCTTTATGAAACTACTCGGATAACCCATCTCCGTTAATTCTCATTTTTGCATTATGATAAGTGTACACAGAGTCAAAAAAGATGATGTGTCATATTTTATAAACGTCTACATCAAGGACGAAAGTTATCATCCTTGTTATAGCGGCATGATCGTGACTCGTAGATTGATGTAATGACAATTTTGAAGCTAAGGGGGATCAAAATATACCATTGGAACTCTTTGATTTGTCTATAGAACATTATTCTTCTTTCATTTATGCCTAATATTTACAAACAAAATGATTAATAGATTCTATAAGAAAAGATTTCCACAAATTGCAGGAAGATATGCAAGTGAAAAGCAACAAGTTGACAGAGAAAGAAGCATCAAAGATAGGAAGGACTTCAGGTGAACATTAGATAAATCAGAGGTAGGTGATGAAGATTCCTGGCCAACACCAACAGCAACAACAATTAAAGATAACAATCAGCCAGCATAAATAGGAGGAACCTGAAAGAAACAACCTCCTTCACCTACCTACCTGGGAAGCATCGTTTCAACTACAGGCCGACGGAACTGACGAGGATATCAAAGCAGCGAGGATCGGGAAAGCAAGACAAGCTTTCGTTACTCAATGGAGATGCGCAGCTGAAGCCTTATATTCCTCTAGGAATTAAAGGAAATAATAATTAATAATAAGAATAATGAGAAAAGCGGATCCAAAAAGACGAGAATTTCTTCTTTCGACAGTATTGTACAGAGACTTAAAACAAAGGCCAAAGTCTTATAACTAGATGTTGCTGACTTTCAGCTGAAATCCAGCCACTTTTAGCCCAACCATATTCTAGATGAAGTACTGTCTTTGTCGAATAAGACAATATAAACTTTTCCGAATTGTACCATTATGTATATATACCACATGAATAATAATTACTTCTTATAGCTTTATTAATTAGCTAAAACTATTAATAACTGTGCTTAGTCAGTTTATTCAAACAATCATGCAGGAGAACTGGAATGCAGTTGTATACTATTATCGCAGTTGTTTTTTTTTAAAAAAAAAGAAACTGATGCTAACAAATGACATGTCAATATGTAAATGAACTGTTACGTAACACTGTTAGAAAAAGAATACTACAATATATAAAATATAAAAGAGAACGCAAAGAAATAGAATTATATGCAGTTGAAAACTGGTGAGTAGTTTCCGTAAATAACAGTTAACAAGTCTGTGCCGTATAGATGTAACAACAGAAGACATGGGCCAGGCAACAGATCGTTTTATTACCAAAATCAACAGGTATTTATATAAATTTCACATACATTGTTGTAGCCTAGTCGAGTAGACAAACGCAGTCTTCTGATTGGTTGTTTTCGAGTTCCTCGGACGGAAAGTGGAGTGGAGCCATCTATCTGCGAATGATATTTGCCCACGTTTAAGTCTGCTGTGATTGGTTGTTGAAACAGACTTGATCATATTTTCTCGAGGCCCATATTAGTGACCTAGACATTGACGTAGATTAATGTCAACCAATTGGCTAGCAGGCTGCTCTCACCACACCCTTAGTAACTTTCTAGGTTCTACAACACTGATTCGAAATACACAGAGATAAGATAAATCCATTTAATTGAAGAGACTGATATGAGATGAGACTCTTCACATGGAAATTACTATCGGCTAATCACAGGTTTGGAATTGACTTTTTTATGTGGAAGAGTTTCGTGGAAAACCTGATTAGCATACTTTTCAGTTGAAAAATAGGGTGTGATTTAAAAACAGTCGAAGTAAGGTTAATGACACTGAGTAATACTCTTGCACTGACTAGAAAGTGTTTGTTCAACATTTCACTTTCTAATAACAAAAAAGTTTCACACACACCTTTTAGTTAAGACAAGAAATCGTTTAGTATTCAGCTGTCATTGTATCTATGCGATAATAATAATATTATTATTGTATCCTTTAGTTCCCAGAGGAACATAGGGCTTCAGCTGCGCACCTCCATTGCCTTTGTTTTCTACCAACTTTTTCACCCCGCTCCAGGTCTGTCCATATGCTTTCATCTCCTCCTCGCATGACCTCCTCCAAGTCACCCTTGCACTGACGACCAACTCGCCACACACTTCCCTTTCGGGTTCCACTCGAGCGATGGTTTGTCTAGTGATGTCACTTGATGGTTAGTTTTCTCAGAGTATGGCCAATCCATCTCCATTTCTTCCTACCTATTTCTTTCACAATCGGTTCCTAGTAGGTTCTCTCATTGCCAGAGATCCCTGTTGCTGATCTTTTCTGGCCGGCCATCTGATCTTGAGTTTGAGCGAAGACAACTGTTAATGAAGGTCTGAAGTTTGTTTGAGATACTCTTTATGACTCGCCAAGTCTCTGATCCGTATAGTGAGTAGCACTGACTGACTTTACATTGGAGTTGAAAATCCGGATCTTATTTTTGACGCCGAGTGCTGTTGACTTCCACACAGATTTGAGAGTAATGAAGGCTTGTCTTGCTTTCCCGATCCTCGCTGCTTTGATATCCTCGTCAGTTCCGTCGGCCTGTAGTTGAAACGATGCTTCCCAGGTAGGTAGGTGAAGGAGGTTGTTTCTTTCAGGTTCCTCCTATTTATGCTGGCTGATTGTTATCTTTAATTGTTGTTGCTGTTGGTGTTGGCCAGGAATCTTCATCACCTACCTCTGATTTATCTAATGTTCACCTGAAGTCCTTCCTATCTTTGATGCTTCTTTCTCTGTCAACTTGTTGCTTTTCACTTGCATATCTTTCAGTTTGTGGGAGATCAGACATATATCATCGCTGGCGAAGTCCAGATCCTCCAAGTCTCTTTTTGTGTGAGTCCATTTTATGCCTGTTTCCTCATTGCCCGCTGTCTGTCTGTCTGTCGCATTATCCAAACTACTGCAATCAGGAAAATCGTTGGTGATTGTAGGCAGCCTTGTCTCACTCCCGTCCTCACTTTGAAGGTCTCCGTAAGTTTCCCGTTGTGAATTCACTTGGCATGCAGCATTGTCGTATAACTGTCGGATGAGATGTATAATTGTCGAAGGCACCCCATAGTAGCGAAGTAGTTGCCAAATCACCTCTCGATCGACGCTGCACTATCGAAGGCCTTTTCAAAGTCGATGAAGTTGAGTGAGATAGAGAGGTGACTTCCATTCCAAGCTTTGTTCAGTGATGATCCGTAGAGTGGTGATTCGATCAATACATGATTTCTTTCTACTGAATCTGGCCTAATCCGGTCGAAGTTTTTTATCCAGGTTGGCGTGATTGATTCTCTCCAGGATTATGCGGCTTAGTATTTTGCCTGGGATGGGCAGGAGCATAATTCCGCTCCAGTTTTTGCATTGACTTAAGTCTCCTTTCTTTGCTAGTTTGAATAAGTATCCGTTCTTCCAATCCTCGGGTACTTTGCCCTCTTTCCACACCTTCTTCAGCAGTGGCGTCATCAAGTCCGCTGTTGTCTCTGGGTCTATTTTCAAAGCTTCTGCTGGGAATGCGATAATAATAGGTTTTCATTAAGGAATCCCGTGTGAAGGAAGACATTTTGTGTAGATTTGTAAATATTATGCATAAAGTATGATCATAGTTTGTAGAATTATTCCCCTGTTGTTATGACGTGTCAAAACATGTTAAATTTTTTTTCATAAAGTTTGCACTTAACTTTTATGTATAAAAAGTAAAATGGATGTATTGTCCCTTTGGCAGTTGATATTTATGAAGCCTGAAACGATATTAACAGTTCTGAACCATGATTCAATTGCAAGCGGGTCTCATTTCACTAAAGCCAGTGCGCTTATTTGTCTGTCGGAGTCATTATATGGTGAATTAGCGGAATTTCTGTGGCCAGACTTACATTCACATGAGGACTATTACTGTGAGGTAGGATTATAATGTCAAGAGATTATGTTGTTATATTTTTAATGATTTTAAGTCTAATAAATTATAGTTATATATTTCAATAGTTTACACACAATGATAAGTTTTTGTTTTTTTGGTAAAATTTTGAGCAAAATTATTGCCCGTTGTTATGATGCTGGATCTTTGTCTCGAGGTAACTGCTTAACTACTGACCAGCGCCCATTTAACTGGTAAAGCAGAACACGCGATAATCAGCGATAAAACCAGAAGCATTTATTTATGACAAAAGTGACTGTATTTATACAGAAAATAAGGTAGATTGGAAATCAACCAATCCGGTTGAGAGTTTTGAATTGTGGAAGCGTCCAATCAGAAAGCAGAAACAAATGCATGTCAACGACACGCTAATAACTTGACTGAGACATGATAACGACCTGATAATTGCATGTGTTTTGCCTCTTCCTAAAACCCGTGATCACACCAACTGTTCGTATCATTTTTAATTGTATTAATTAAAAATGATAACGACTTCATTCCGTATAAGTGGGACATTCTTCCTTCATCATACTTTAATGAATGAACAATTCAGTCAGTTTTCTGACTAAGATGTCAGTCACCGTTATCGTAAAAAGATCTGATGGTAAGTTTTGTGAGTCATGGTACCTAATAGCGCTTTAGTACAGTGGAGTTCCCTGTTTCGTTTTGGGGGTCGGTAATAATAACCAGCTGTGTAGCAAGTACTGTGAATAGTGATGTTGGCTACCGGTCCAATGGACCAACATAGTTGATTATCAAAGAGTTCTGTCTGACGTTTCACCTGTGTCTCATTAGGTTGTTATCATTCGAGTAAAATCTGCCTTACGCTCCGTGTAGATGAAACAATGCTTCTTACAGTCAGTAACTCAGATGAACTGGAACATCCATCGACTGTTGTCACATGCAGCTGCTGATTCCATCTTACACGCACACGTACTGACCACCATCCTTTTAGATCTTTACGTCAGTAATGACTGGCTTCTTGAAGACTCCATCAGCCCTCGTCTTCCAGGTTTCAGCGATGGATCAGTTCACTCCTTATGTTTTTTTAGAACTTTCTGTGACGACCAGACTGATTGTCTGGGGGTACGTTAGCTAGCCCTTTACCCAATCTTTTCTTTTCGCCTAGATTTAGGATCGGCTGACAAACTAGTCGAGGTTTTATCGTATAAAACGGATATTACCCATGTGCTTAAATTCTTTCCCATGTTAAATATCATTCACTATATTTTCCTTATAGTTGCTAATGTGCTTAGTCAACGGAATCATGGATGTGACTCGGAGGTTTGCTCAGGAATTATCGATTGAAGTGTATGGTTGTTTCATCAAATATGTATATATAACAGCAAAACCGCAATCACTTATCAGTAAGTTTATTCTAATTTGTTCACACCGCAAAAAGATTTTTTCCTGATGGCTACTCCATGGAGCAATATCATCTTCGAGTATTTAAAAAGCGATGACTCAGCAAATCGTGTTTCAAACTTACCTATTTCTTTTTTGAATTTCATCGATATGGTAGGAGCATTTATATCTTGAATCCCAATTTTTAGCTGTTATCTACAAAAAGTCCTGCAGTTTATACAATTATCAGTAAACGTCAACTTAGGAAATTATTAATGATGTATATTCATGACGAGGATTTGCAAAGTTCAAATTTGAAGAGCCTTCTAAGAAGTATATCTGAAAAGGTAAGTATGCAATTTCAAGCAATATAAACTTGAAACAAAATAAGATTGCCTATCGTGAATTTGAAGTTTTAGAGGACGCAGATCAGTTTTGTCTAGAAGTTATGCTCGATTCAGATGATCAATTGCCTGCTGCTAGCATTTCTGATCGTTTCATTTCGTTTTATCGAAAAGTGTTTCTATCATGATATTTGAAAATTATGAAGTTTTTTTTTGTGGAATTTTATAACCCACACGCTTTCAGTTGATAAATACACATTTTGTTAAATGTTGTAAATCTTACCATTTTGTGTATTATATACTGATGATCACGGAATATATACACATTTGATCATGGGGAATAATAAATAAAAAAAACAGTTTGCAGTGAAGAAAATTTTCTTTGAGACGAAGTCATCATCAACTAGACAGGTGTACATTCGTGTGTTTATGATAAATGGGTGAGAAAGTTCCAGAATACTTTCCGGTCAAGGGTCAATTTAAAAAAAAATATTAGAATTAGGAATTAAAATACCCCTGTTTATTATGGGATTTTTTTTGGCGGATAAAATGAGGATATGAGTTTTGCAGTCCAACTTTATGTATAAGTTCAATTTTTTATATGACTTGGTGTTTCTAGTGACCAGACCATGAATTCCAACTTCTGCCAACTCATAATATATCTCGACCATCAACCTTATTCAACAGCTATACGACAACGGCACCTGCCAAGTGATCCACAACGGAAGATTCAGCGAGGCGTTTGGAGTAAACACAGGAGTCAGACAAGGGTGCTTACTATCACCAATGATATTCCTAATTGTGGTGGACTGGATTATGCGTCAAACAGTGAGTGGGAAACGAGAAGACAGGAATATCCTGGACCGATGTGAAGAACCTAGAAGACCTGGATTTCGCGCGGCGATGATTTATGTTTGATGTCACACAAAATCGAAGACTTAGAGACAAGCGAAAACCGACAAACTGGTCGATCGAAGAAGCAGCCGGTGAAGACAGGACTCTATGTGAACATAGACAAGACGGAGGTGATGAAAATAACCAGCCAACCAACAACAACAGCAGCAACATCCAGCGCCAATCACCATCAACGGGAGGGATTTGAAAGAGGTTACTTCATTCACTCACTTATCTAGGGAGCATTGTCTCAACTACAGGCAATCGGAACGGACGAGGATGTCAAATCGAGCGAGAATAGGGTGGGGGCGAGAAACACATTTATCAACCTGAAACAACCAATCTGGAAATCTTCGTCACTCAGCCAGAATCACCAACAAAATTCGGTCGACCGGATTTTCAGTACAAACTTCAAGTCAGTCAGTTCTCCTATACGGAACAGAAATTTGGCGGGTGGGTCACAAAGAATATTTTCTACAGCTTGTTGCAGACGTAACCTTTATCAACGACTGTCTTTACTGGCTCTATACTGAAGATCAGATGGCCGGGCCGGAAAGAATCACCAACAAGGAATTATTGGAACAAACAATGCAAGAACCAATCGCCCAACAAATATGCAAGAGAAAGTGGAGATGGATCGGACACTCGCTGAGGAGACCGCTGGGTGACATCGCGCGCCAAGCCCTCGAGTGGAACCCGAAAGGGAAGCGGTGTGTGGGACGTCCAAGGGTGACATGGAGGAGATCGTGTGTAGAGGAGTTGAAACAGTATGGACTAACATGGATGCAGGCGAAAAGTATAGCAGAAGACAGAAGAAAATGGAGACGTGCAGTTGAAGCCCTATGTTCCACTAGGAACCCAAGGGAGCAATAATAATAATAATAATCAGCTTGTGTCAACTAGGACTAAACATCTGTACAGTACTCTCAGATGGTTTTCCAATGATCCTCTAACCGATGTCAGCTCATGATGAAATCCTGTAACCAATGAAATCAAATCCCTGCAACCAGCACTTGAATAAGTGCTTTAGTGTTTTTGGACGTTGTGAGATAGCTGACTTGACTACATTTCTGTGTTTGACCATCTGTAAGACAAAATAATGTATGCATATATCACAAGAGAACTTGATCATTACTACAGTTAACTTGACTGTAGTCTAAATATTCACACGAATACCAGCTAACCAACAGTGGAGTTTTCGACAACTTCCTAATGAATTTTCCTCACCTTAACACTAACCAAAGAGAAGACTCATGCGGATGATATTAAAATGCCGTATTTCAACAGAGGGGAAGATAATAATAATAAACATATTCGAAGCGTTACAGACACTAAGCATACAGGAGTTTGGCTCTACTAAAATTGTATATTCTGTTTGCCTTTCTGCCTATCTAACAGGTATTTATTACCTATAAAATCTGAACTCTGGCTGGTTGACTTCTAAGTAATTCAGTAGTCGCACTTAGCACTCCCACTAGGCGATAGCCGTTGAATTTAGATAGTGTCTTTAAAAGACGGAGAATATCTGACAAATGTTGTCATGTATCTACCTGATATACATTTCGAACAACAGTCTGATCCCCCGCACATTTACTTGTCAAGTTAGTTTATGTGAAAAATTAAAGGCCGATTAAAATACACAAAGTGACAAAAAGGATTTAAGAATGAACAATTCAGTTGGAATCTCGGTGGATGCGTCCTGCTGAAGAGTCCCAAACTAGGACGAAACAGCTGTCCAGTACTCCCAGCTGGTTTTTCAATGGTTCTCTGACTGAAGTCAGCTCATGATGAAATCCTGAAACCAATCAAATCCCTACAAATCAACACATGAATAAGAATAAGAATAATTAACAGCACGTTTGGTTATTTGATTACCAAGGTATGCTAAGAGTAGTAATAATAAATTGTTTTTGAACACACAGAGTGAGGTGCTTACATTTTTGCGAATAGCTGTCGCCCTAGCCCATTTCAAAAAAAAATATACGGAAACTACACATGACTGCAGATTAAAATGTGTATGGTATAGCCTTGGTGGTTTAATGGCCAAGCCCCTCATTCCTACCAACTGTGTCTACACACTAGCAAATTGTTACTGCTGTTAAACCAATTCAGTAACCGTTATCCAATCAGATAACCAAATGTGGTGTTAATTATTCTTAAATCCTTTTTGTCACTTTGTGTATTTTAATCGGCCTTTAATTTTTCACATAAACTAACTTGACAAGTAAATGTGCGGGGGATCAGACTGTTGTTCGAAATGTATATCAGGTAGATACATGACAACATTTGTCAGATATTCTCCGTCTTTTAAAGACACTATCCAAATTTATAAAAGGGATCAGTTGTTTTAGATAGCTACTGACACATATTGTATAAACTTCATGCAATTCTTCTCATTAATAAACTTGAACAAAGCAAGAACAGTAATTTTACCAGGATAATATGAGCTCATCTTTTATTATTTAATCGAGGATTCTTCTCAACTGGTTACAACCTGAACGATAAAAATATGAATTACATTAAAGATTTGAACATACTTTTTCACGATCACAAGGAATAATTGGTAGAAATTAAAAGTAACATTAGTCCGGAATGATTTAACTGATTAGGAGTTACAAACACTGACTATTTATAGAATAATTAGACAATTAGCCTTAGAAACAAAAAGCAGGGTTGTGTGTATATATATATATGTGTGTGTGTGTGTAGAAACAAGGTTTAGCTAGAAGGAGCATAACAAAAAAGTAGATTACGTAACTAAAGAAAACGCCTTATCTAATAGCCAATAGAAAAAAGGAAAGAAAAGAAACAAGGTAGGGTGAGTCATGTTTAGATGAGAGAGTAGAGTTTTCTAAACATGGAAAAGGTGACTCATGAAAGTTGTGTATTTTTTGTTATCACTAGGGCAGTGCAAAATTCACCACTGTCTCTTTCTGCGTACATAGATTTGGTGGTTTAAGTCGTTTGATGGCAATTGCTTCAGCAAAGCATAGCAAGCTAGGTTTCTTTTGCTTGTTGGTTATTTTGAACGACTTCAGGCTGTCTACAATATGACCAGTGTTCAATAGATGATTAGCAATCGCACTGTTTAATGCTTGTGGACCTTTCAGTCTCAGGATCTTTGGTATGTGTTCATAGATGCGGACACTAACCCTTCTCTCTGTTCTTCGAATGTATGCGCTTTGGCATGCACAACATGTAAATTGGTAGACACAAGTTGGAGGTAACATGAGGTGGGTATTTGCCCACTTTTGATTGTCTCAAACAACTAGTTGTTTGATAAACACATACAAGCTTGGCGTCTGGATATGTTCTTTTCAGGGCAGCGTTCGGTCTGCATCTTATTTTACTTAGCAGTATCACCACCTTTGAATGTGAGCTGCAGAAAGATAGGCTTTTTATCTACTATGCTGCTTTTCACTTTTCCAACATGACGTCGTCTCCCATACTTGTCGATGAACTTTTGTGGGTAACCGTTATCGCGTAGGCATTTCGCCACAGTTGATAGCTGCTCTTCCTCAATCTTTTCTTTTGAACACAGTTTCCTCACGCGATCAAATAATGTTTTCACCAATCCCTTTTTGTAACTTATAGGGCAGAAGCTTTTGAAGTTAAGATAAACCGCCCTCCAGGTCTCTTTTCTGTGTATATATCTTATGATATTGCCGTCTTTATCTCGTTGGATACCCAAGTCAAGAAAATGGAACTTTTCCTTTTTTTGACCCAAATAAGATTAGAAATCTAGAAAATAGTTCAGCTACAGTACTACATACAGTTACACACAACCATACAATAGAGATGGGATAGGATGACAATTTTAGAATCCAATGTCACCGGGTGTATGGAGGGAGAGATTGATAACAGAAGCTTTGTTTATCGAATCAAGTGCAGATCAACACGTGTAATAGGAATGATTCAACACCTGTCCACCCAGATATATGGAAAATTCTACTACCCCAATGACGACAAGAAATAGGAGAGGAGAAAGAAAAAAATAAAACTCAAATCTCAAAGTCGTGTGACCACAATTGATATGATTATGAACAATAAATTGTGTTCGAAACTGTGTCATCCAGTATACAATACTGTTTCACTCATTGTGTGATACATTTTATAAACAAACTAATATGGAATTGCAAATTTATAGTAATTTGTCTTGGCAACAAAAGGAATATTTCCAAAGATGTGTTAATACAATTGTTAGTTTTTGACAAACAAATTACGTAATTTTGAAGGCGTTAATCGGTTAGAAATTAAAATAAAGTTACAAAAGTAGGTTGGGTGACGTAATCTAATTGATAGGGTTCAATGAAAAAATGAATGAGAGTCAAGTTAATAATCTGAGTAGAATTCACTTGAAAATGAATGAACATTTGCAGTCCGGAAACTATAGAAGAAGAGCTGAAGACCCTGAAAAGAATCCTTCTTGAAAACGGTTACCCAGAACGTTTCATCACAAAAGCTGTGAAGCCCAAAACACAAAAACCATCCATGCTTACTGCTCCCAAGAAACTTCTCTATTAAAATCTACAATTCAACGGAGATTCTTCAGCAGAAATACTGAGAAACCGCCTGTGCCGTTCACTGAAGAAAACCTTCTTCGCAGCGGAACTCAGACTAACTTTCTTTACGAAACCAATGATTCGCACGAACGTGAAGGATAAGCTTCCACTGGGGGCCTCATCAATGTGCATCCACCAATTCACCTGCTCATGTGGAGCTAGGTATGTCGGCCGTACCCAGCGTTTGCTATCCAAACGAATCAGCGAACACTTACCTTCATGGTTTTATAAAAGAGAAAGAAGATCCCCCCGCCACAGCTCTATCCTAGAACACTTGATCGAATCCGGACACCAAGCAAACCCACAAAACAACTTCTCAGTTATCTACACAATACGTAGGAATCTTGCCAAAAGAGTACGAATTAAACTTCTTCAAACTGCAGAAGCAATGGCAATTCACATATTGAATCCTGAACTCTGCATACAAAAGAAGTTTGTTCAGTCACTAAATCTACAATGGTCCTGATCTATCTTAACACCAAATACGTAATTTTGTCTTACCTCTTTCTTCTTTGTTTGTCTATTTCTTAATTGCATTATTTTCTACCCCCACCCTCTATTAAATCTCTACGCTCATGACGACTGTTGCTAACTCGATTTTCGTTTATTTTTAAGTGAATTCTACTCAGCTTATTAACTTAACTCTCATTCATTTTTTCATTGAACCCTATCAATTAGATTACGTCACCCAACCTACTTTTGTAACTTTATTTTAGTTTCTAACCGATTAACGCCTTCAAAATTACGTAATTTGTTTGTCAAAAACTAACAATTGTATTAACACGTCTTTGGAAATATTCCTTTTGTTGCCAAGACAAATTACTATAAATTTGCGATTTGTACAGCTTGAGAATGATATCGCCGAAAAGAGTAACTCTTTGCTGAACACCTTTTCTTTTCTGACTGAATGGGAATTTTCAAGCTACTAATATGGAATTACTTACTACTACAGTGCCCAAGTTTTACACATATATTTTTCATACTCCATTGTAAACTTAATATTAAGGTGGGCGCTGTCCAAAACTTTTAATACTTGAGATGCATCATTGAAAGAATTACAAATAATGAAAGTGTCATCGACATACCTGGTATAGAAGTTTGTCTAACTGACTACGGATTTTAACCTTGTTTGTTCTAGACTACTCATAAAGATATCTGCCAGAAACGGACCCAGGGGGCTTCCCATGGCGACTCCGTCAATTTGGTGGTATAGAGTGTTGTTGAACTGGACTGAACTCTACGTCTTTGGTACACATAAGTAAAAGTTGTTTGAGTTCGTTTTTGGGGAGAGGAAGAAATTTGGCATGTTCACATATAATTTGTATTGTTTCCTCCAATGGGATCTTTGTAAACAGTGAAGACACGTCAAAGGACACCATAAATTTATTTGAGATGTTTAGATTCCTTAATTGTTTAACGAACTGAAATGTGTCTTTCAGGCTGTAGACTGCTAATTTACCACGGATTGATTCTAACATTTCTGCTAGCCACCCAGCTACTTTGTGATACGGTGAATTAATCATAGATAGTAGTATTGGTCTCACAGGGATGTCAGGCTTATGCATTTTTGGTAAGCCGTACAGGTAAGGCAGTCTGGATCCCTTAGGCTTCAGTTCGTTGTAGATGTTGTTGTTGTTGTCAATCAACTTCTTCTTCTTCTTTAAAAGTTCTCTTACCTTCTTTGTAATCCGTCTTTCCATCGATTCGGTTTGATCTTTCTTCGATGGATCAGATCAGTTCGAAATGTTGATGAGTCATTCAGAACTGATCCCCCCTTCCATTTTTTTCAACTTCTATAGCCGTCTACCCTATTTCCTTACAGTTTTGGCTACTTTAATCGCATTTTTCTAGGTAACATGCAAGCGTGACACTAAAGTCAGGGGAGTGAGGTGTAACACAAGGCACAGGTATAACAGTCGAAAACACTGGCAGCAAAGTAGACGAAGTGAAGAATGCCTACTTTAAAGGATGTTTCAGTCTAAACAGTATAGTAGACAGATCAACCCCGCGTATTCACAGCAGCATACAAAAAATGCCGTCCTTTAACTTAATAGCAAACGTTTTGAAGCAATAAGTGCGGCTTATCAACAAGTCAGTGTTAACAACTAATAGTGTTCTCTGAGCTGGTTGGTTTAGTTGCGGAGCTTTCGTAGTCCCCTTTTCTGGACGGCATCTTCAGCGCAGTATTTAGCATAGAGTTAAATGATTTAGAAATCTCCATGAATGATGGATGATACATTTGCGTCTCCTGGTGACCAACCATCTTCACATATGTGTGTATTAACCGTTTTCTATTGACTTGGGATTTTAAACTTTCTGATCACCTGATTTACGTTTTATTAGTTGACATATTTCATCTATATTAACATGTTTATTGATGGCGTTTTCATTTGAGTACCAGGCTTCTAGGAATTCCCTGACTGCACAGTTGGTGTTGTGTTTCCTCTGTTTAAGATTTTGATACTATCCCAACCAAATTGATGTCAATAATCGTCTGTATGCATTGATACTAAAGAATTTATATCATGTCTTTTTACGGTTGACTTGTGTTCTTGGGTTCTTATTCGAAGGGGACGCCCACTTTGACAGCCGATTTAATGTTTGTTACAGTTCATACATCGAATTTATTTTGTAAATGGTGTTAATTTTATCTCTTTTTTCTATCGGATCTTTTGGTTTGCGTAAGATCGAATTAAGCGATTCGGCTGGCTGGTTTGTGTGCTACATCTATCTATATCAAACGGTTTCATTATTCTAGCCGTTATTTCAGAGATATTTCCGATGGATGGTAGGATGAATTTCTTTTTGGTCTTTGGTGATGGTTCTTTGTTGGTGCTTTGATTCGATTTCAAACACTTTTTGATGAAATTTTTTGGATAACCATTCTTCTTGAAGACCGTTTGTAAGTATTTTTCTTCCATTCTTTTCAACTCTGGAGTGCTGCAGTGTGTGTTTGAACTCTTCTAAACAATGTCTGCACACAGTTTCTTTTGTGAGTAATTGGATTATTGCTAGTATAGTTGAGTATTTGATCTGTGTGCTTTGATTTTCTATCTACTTGTGTTTCTAAATTCCCTGTGTTGGTTCTCCTGATTAAGACATCTAAAAATGGGATTTTGTTATCTAATTCTTCTTCTCTTGTGAATTTGACGTCTTCAAACATGTTGTTTATTAATTTATGGGAATATTTTAAATCATTTCTCTTAATTATTACAAATGTATCCACAAAGTAACGTGCCCAGATATTTGGTTTGATTGTAGGTAGAGCTATTAATTCTAATCTTTGCATAACGGCTTCAGCTATTAATCCTGATATGGGCGAGAACGCTATTAATTGCAAATGATCCACCTGAGTTACAAATCTTTTCTATTATTTCAAATTCAGTGTTTTCATTCATATTTGACGATTCAATAGACGGTTTTCTGTCATTTAAACGTCGGTATCGTGTAGCAGCAAAGTAAACGAAACACAACAAAAATGCTTTATTTGTGAAGTACTCCACATACAAATTGTGTACAAACTAAATACAACATTTAGAGAGTTGGTTAAAATCACAGAGTATCAAACAAAACTCACCGGATGCACAAAAGAATACACAAAAAATAAAACTAGAAAAATTGTAAATTAATGAAATCAGTACAAAAGATGAAGACTTAAAAACTTTAAAAAAATACCAGTAAAGCACTTAAGAAAACACTGACTGTGTAGCTGAATTTTACAAATGTGTCAGTTTGCTTTTTTTGGTGTGTGTGACACACCTTCATTAAATTAAATACACCAAGAGTCTTCAATCATTCGTTTAAATGTATCACAACCATTGACAGTCTCTTGACCCAAGAAGTAGTTTTGAGCACATTCACTCGACGGAAGTAGTGAACACAAGTCCATATAACTAGCGTCTGACTTCAATTGATCCACAGGACATTCTCCTAGAGCAATTGAAATAGCTTGATAATAATTTTCAAATTCTATGTATTCTAAACAATTTCGAATACTGATGAATTTTTCGAAGATATTCAATAGGTCCATCTGTGAATGTGCTATATTATTGCCTAAAATGAAATTGATTATCACAAGATGTAAATCAATTCTCCCAACAAATCTAAATTATTCATAATAATAAAGGTTGTTTAATGTATTTCCCAATGAATTAAAAACAAAACGAGATTGTTGCTCTTACTGACGTTTCGCTATTTAATGCTGCTGCTAATAGCTTTATCAAAGCAGTATTATTAAACCGGAATTTACAAAATACACTCAGCATATATATATAACAAAAAGTTAGGGGTGAGAAAAAATGTAGACTTAGTTCAACTTAAAAGGACATATTGAAAGTCAAAATAACAATGAAGATCGTTCAAACCAAATATCAAAGGTAATAGTATATCTGTTATTATATCAAAACAAAGTTTACTAACTTGATCATCGTTCGTTAGTCTGGGGTCATTTTTGGTTGTCAAGTTGGCGAATTGGTATAGATAACAAAATCAAGTGTAGATTGTTGGATTTAATCAGTGTGTAAAATTATAAAAGCAGTGTGTGTGTGCGTTTACATAGTGAACTTGCTTATCACATTTGCGTTGATTTTGCCACTTCATGGGGGAGGGTGTTGTAGCCAGGTCAGATTCTGTTTTAGTCCATCATTCCTATTCAGTTCAGGCAATTTGGATTCCACTTGATATGAAGTACTTCTGATGATATCAGACGTTCTTTGTGGTTTCTGAGGTTTTTCTGGATGACGATTTCAATATTATCAAAATCAATGTTGTGGCCTGATTCTATAGCATGTAGACCTATGGCTGATGATTTTTGAAGTTTTTCTAGTTCAATTGGATTTCTCGGTGGTCGAAGAGATGCTCTATGGTGTTCATTTCTTCTGATTTTGATTTCTCGAGATGTTTCTCTTTGTTTGTTTTGTTATCTTTACCAATTCTCCAACTTGACAACCAAAATTGACCCCAGACTAACGAACGATGATCAAGTTAGTAAACTTTATTTTGATATAATATCAGATATACTATTACCTTTGATATTTGGTTTGAGTGATCTTCATTGTTATTTTGACTTTCAGTATGTCCTTTTAAGTTGAACTAAGTCTATGTATCTTTTTCTCACCCTCTAACTCTTTGTTATATGTCAGCTGAGTGGATTTTGTAAATTCCGAGGTTCCTTCCTTGTATGGAATTACTGTTGATGATTTAGATTCCTTATTGTGGCATTCAAACCCACAAACACAATTAGAAAGATGCTTTGTCGGTTAAAGGATCCTGTGGAGCCTTTAAAACAAAACAATTTAGTTTATCTAATACCCTGCAATGATTGTGAAGTCAAATACATAGGTCAAACTAGTAGAACCGGGGCAGTGAGTCAGACTAGCCGAATTTAAAAACCTAGCTAAATCTAGATTAGTTGACCCAAATAAGATAAGAAATCTAGAAAATAGTTCAGCTACAGTACTACATACAGTTACACACAACCATACAATAGAGATGGGATAGGATGACAATTTTAGAATCCAATGTCACCGGGTGTATGGAGGGAGAGATTGATAACAGAAGCTTTGTTTATCGAATCAAGTGCAGATCAACACGTGTAATAGGAATGATTCAACACCTGTCCACCCAGATATATGGAAAATTCTACTGCCCATACGACAAATAGGAGACGACAAAGAAAACTATAAAACTCAAATCTCAAAGTCGTGTGACCACAATTGATATGATTATGAACAATAAATTGTGTTCGAAACTGTGTCATCCAGTATACAATACTGTTTCACTCATTGTGTGATACATATAATAAACAAACTAATATGGAAGTCTCAAGAATTGACATAACTATGGTAGACTTTTATTATAAGTAACTCGACTGTCTTTTAACATGTAACTTGTATAAAAAAAAGTGACAAAGGACATCTAATCGAGAGAATAAATAAAGTAAAAATTACCCAGTTGATTCACAGCCCATTTGGGAGCATTATAAAATCGTTTAATATCCAATAGTTGGATATGACCGAGTAGATTTGGATCCATTTTCAAAAATACCTGTGAAAAGAAACCGAAAACTTTTAAAAAATCTTGATTTAAAAACAAACAATACACGCAAATACTTTTTGCTTGTAAAAGGATGAATTTCGGGAAGTGATTAATTTTCACTGCCCCACCTAAATAAAGGAGTTAATTTAGGCAAAAGACGAATACCGATAGGAAGACAAGGGCTTCCGGTTGGCGCTTGGGAAAACTTATTGTCTGACTTGTTCTGTCTCTTACATTTCCACAACTGACGTTTTCGGTTGACATTTGTAAAAAATTATTATATGTGTAAAATCTCAGAGATATTGAAATGAGTATTTTATTTTTTTTTATTTTTTATTTACAGCTTGATTCTACACTGTATTTTTGGGACAAGTATGAATTTTCAGCATGGATATCGGTAGCCCAAATTTTGCAGGCCGACCATAGATATCAGATGTGCGCCGGCGTGGGCTCGAACCCCGGACCATGTGCATGGTCGCCGAGAGTCCTAACTACTGTGACACCGACGCACATAATTTCAACATTTCCACTGTTTGGCAATCTCGTCCCAACTCCTTCAGGGAAATTAATCAAAACTAACATGACAGAGGTTTATATATAAAAAGGGGGACATCTCTTATTTTTTAAAAACTTTGTCCAATCATGAGTCATAAAAACAGGCATCAACATGTACAATAAACAAAATTGTATGGGCTCTGATCAAAATTTGACCCCAGACTTACAAATATTGATCTACCTTTGTTAAACACTTTAAACACAGTGTGTATGTGTGCGGATAAACAGTTGTAAAACAATATCTTAACGTCTCCATAAGTAGATATAGACAGTTAGGAACTTTGATCAATTATTATTAGTTAGTGATACATATCCATACTTATTTATTAATCAGGATTTCCTATGAGTCACACCTTCATGTCTGTTCAAACTGTTAGTATCTAGAATTTTATGATTATTAGACGTATTTTCAAGATTATGGTGTCTAGGATTAGAGTTTAGTTGAAGCACCCTGTCAAACTTATAACTTTGTCTTCTTTCCGAAAATTGAGCTGATTTATTCGACCTACTGGAGTTGTCAGGTGAGACTGGACAGCTACAGATTTAGGATACGCATTATTCTGTTGCAGACAACAGCGAGTGGAAACACGATGATTGTGCCAATAACATATAGTTTCTTTGTTAATTTAATTCGATTGAATATAATATATATATAATATATATATATATATAATATATATATAATAGAATATAATCACATAAAATAAAAAAATAACATTTTGTTTAGTATTTCGATATAATTCAAGCCATTTACAGGGAATACTTGATCTTTAGTGAATTTAATTGTCTACAAGGGGTTTAGTTGGTGTTAACTGCTAATTGTTCTAAATAGGTGGCTCTTTTGTCCAATACCAAGGGCTTTATCGTTTGAGACACTTTTTACTAGGTTCAGGCATCAGTGAGAACGCCGATTGATTGGCGTGCAGACTTGTTTGAATTACCGAAAACTATGTAAACCCTGCTCCTGACCCTCTTTTGTGAGTCAGCCTTCAAATTAAAGACTTGGGGAGTGTCCCCTTGAGACAAACACATGCTCTCCGATTTGGACATCCAAACAGTATCTTCATCCTAGCAACAGTCAGTGAGAAATGCTACTCGCATGTACCCTAGCACAGATTGCTTCTTCAAATATATGTATTCAACGACCTGGTGCTTTTTGATTTTTTTTCTACCCTTATCAGTGGTTAGGACTCTCGCCGACCATGCACATGGTCCGGGGTTCGAGTCCACGCCGACGCACACCTGATATCTATGGTCGGCCTGCGAATTTTGGGCTACCGATATCCACGCTGAAAATTCCATACTTGTCCCAAAAATACAGTGTGGAATCAAGCTGTAATCAAAAATAAAATAAAAAAATAAAAAAACTTTTTATAATCTTTACTTTAGTCACTCGTTTGCTATTGTTTGTAATCCCATCCTATCTGTACCGTTTTGTGTCGCTAGTCAGTGGTTCAATGACAGAATACTCGTCAAACACATACACACAGCGAGGGATACGATTCCCATCCGATGCACTCCTGAACTTCATCTACTGCACTACCTGTTATGATGCTGGATCTTTGTCTCGAGGTAACTGCTTAACTACTGACCAGTGCCCACTTAACTGGTACAGCAGAACACACGATAATCAGCGATAAAACCAGAATCATTTATTTATGACAATAGTGACTGTTTTACGGGTTGATAACGGATTGATATCAGTTAGAGAACCACTGGGAATCCCAGTGAGTGCGTACTGCCGATGATTCCCAAACTAGGATGAAACAGCAGCTATCCAGTACTCCCTGGTTTTCAATGGTTCTCTAACTGATATCAATCCGTGATCAACCCGTAAAACATAACTAATCCTTACAAACCAAACTATAGAAAAGGTGACTGTATTTATACAGAAAATGATGTAGACTGGAAATCAGCCAATCCGGTTGAGAGTTTGGAATTGTGCAAGCGTTCAATCAGAAAGCAGAAACAAATGCATGTCAACGACATGATAATAACTTGATAATTGCATGTGTTTCGCCTCTTCCTAACACTACCTCGTAGTAAGACTGGGAAAGAGAGAAGGTTGGGCACGGTGCTAGCACCTTCACCCAGTAAAAGCGGAACACCAACGCTAGTGAGACCACAGGGTTTGAAAACCCATTTTTAAACAGTAACGCCAAGGAATAGAAAAGTAGTTTAGTTACCCTTTAAAATATTAGTCTCCCGTTTAATATCTAACACGATTATTCTCAAATGGTAGGAAATGTTTTTGGCTAAATTAAACTTTAAGCACTGAAGGAGTTTGACCGCATTCATGACGTTGGAGAGCTCAATCATTAAGTTAGTGAAACCAGATTGGTAACAATATAACCATGAATAAAATACGCCTAATGCAATGTTATGATATTAAATGGGATATCTGTTTAGTTTCTCATTAGGTTTCGGAGAGAATAAGTTAGGTTTAAGCTAAGTACAGGTTAGAGTTGGTTCGAGTTAGAAGAATATATGTATATGATATAGTTTGATAACTCCAATGTAAAACTGTGAGGTGTTCCTTCCATTCATCAGAGGAAGAAATCCTGTGTAACGGTCTCATGCCTTTTTTTGGTAATCTTTTCATGTGATTGGTGCGTTAAGGAACATTTCCGCGTGTGTTGTTTTGTGGTTTAACTTAAGGTTTAACTTCATCGCATTTTCAAGCTTGCGACTTACAAGTTCTCACACCGATAAAAATCTAACCCTGAAAAGCCTCAATAATGATGTCTGTCTCATCACACAGGGGAGTATACATGACTCCGGTGAATTGCTTCGAATATCTTCTCCACCTTTCAGTTCGAATAGGTATTTCTCCTGTGGCATCGACATTTGGCCTATCTAGTGTTGTACTGAGTACTGTAACCGAGGCTGTATTATTTGACTGTCAACCTCATTAACTGTCGTCCAAGTTCTATGAGGCTAGATTGTGCTAGAGTGAAAAGCAAGTGGTCGAAGAAGCTTTGTCTATTTGTCATCTCTACCTGTGCGGCTAAGAGATTACAGCCCAGATGAAACTAGAGATGACTTCTACCAGTAGCCAAGTGGGCGACTGAAGCATGCGTGTACAAAAGATATTGCACTGCTAAGAGAGGTCCAAAGGAATCATTTAAGTGATCACTGGGAGCTAGATGGGCACAGATCATATAAAGAGAACTGTCTTTTGCTGCTTTAAGTAGCACAAAATTCCGGTACAGCCACGGACCTAATGCTACCTGCCATTCGTAGCCTTGGCTCGAACACATAACATTGCTGTCAACTACCGATTCTGTCTGTCTGTCTGGATTCAGCACAGAACTTGGCACCGAAGTGCACCAGTTCGAGTTGCCACGTTCCAAATAGCACACAGGGGTAGACAAGAAGATGAGTGAAGAGAATCAATAGAGTTTGACAAGTATAAGAGTGAAACAGAATGGGTAATGGTAGAAAGGAATATGAAACATTACAGAGACTGAATACTTCTGCGCTGGCCATTGACAACGATTTTGAGCCATGTCACCTATTGTCTTCAGCCATTGATTCCTAGAGTCCCGACGGCCCCAACCCGGGAGTCTGCATCTCCCCACCTACCGACTCAGTTTAACTGTCAAGGATTTCATGGATTGATGAGGCCATGTTTTTGTTTGGCCACCACTTACTCTTTTCCAACCTGCACCTATATCAGCTAGCAATGCCCGTCGGGGGAGACGGTGGTTAGGCATGCGCAGCACGTGACCTAGCCATCTCTATTCTATGTAACTTTATAGCCTCGTCGATTGATTTTCCCTCTTTGCCCAACACTCTACGCCTAACGTCAACATTACTTACCTTGTGAAACCACCTAACGTGAGACAGAGATCGCAGACATCTATGATCGAAAGCAGTCAACCTTTTCATTTCTTCAACTCGTATTGGCCATGTTTCGGAGCCATAGAGAAGGATGGAGCGAACTGATGAGCAGTACACACGTCCCTTGGTTGATAGCCAGCCGGATGTCACGCCTACGCTACAGATGGTGTAAGTCAGCGAAAGCAACTCGAGCTTTTTGGATCCGTGCTGAGATTTCGTCGCCAATCAGCCCGTTGGTGCTAATACAACTTCCCAAATAGGTGAAGTGGTCAACATGTTCTATCACTTCACTCCCTATCACCAAGTTAGGAGTTGACGTGGTCCAGTCCTGTAGCGGCATCTTACATTTTGTAGGGGCGAATCGCATGCCAAACATACGAAGATTGCTGCTTAAGGTGTTCAGAAGACTCTGCTGGATTTTGTCAGCATCCTCCCCTAACAGGACTATGTCATCTGCATATTCTAAGTCCATAAGACTATTCCCTGGTAACAAGTCGATTCCTAAGTGATTACGTTCAGCTAAGGATACTTCCATCAGCATATCTATGATGAAGTTGGACAGAAATGGGGAAAGTGAACATCCCTGTCGGACACCACTGGTTGTTACCAATTCAGATGACAATTCCCCATAAGCCCTTACACGACTACGTGAGTTTGAATAGAGTGCCTTGATTAGTGCAATGTACTTTCTTGGCACTCCCTTCACAGTCAAACATTGCCATAGTACCTTTCGATCCACGGAGTCGAAGGCCGCCTTCAAGTCAAGAAATATGACAATTGTTGAACGCCGAAAAGTGTGTCTATGTTCTAGAATCTGTCGAAGAGTGAAGATATGATCTATGCACCCTCTACCTGGTCTAATGCCTGCTTGATTTTCCCTTGTCTGTTCCTCCCGAGTTCTGCTTAGTCTATGCATGATTACTGAGCCTAGGGTTTTAGAGACTATGTTCGTTAGGCTGATCCCCCTATGATTATCACACGAGGACTTGTTTCCCTTCTTGGATATCGGTATAATAAGTGACTTACCCCAGTCTGATGGCACTACCGATTGCGTGGTTGTAAAGAGGACTGCCACACCTTCTGGAGCACTAGTTTGAATTCTGGTCATTCTTTAGAATCTGTCAGGTTTATCTTGCTAACTGGTGGTGATCATAAGCGTAGTACTCAAATGGTAGCACTTGATACCGCTTCCAAGTATCCGACCGAGTTAGAATCAAGACTAGCCACTAGGCACACAAATATTATACACGAACACTGGTTGTATTTAAAAGGAAGTCATAAAAAATCCAAGTGAAGCCGCTTGCAGGTTAAAAGGACGTTTTGCTGAAAGGAAATAGGTTTCTATGAGTTCACTGCAACCTTCTGATCTCCGATTGTCTATTTAGGCGGATGGTGAGGTGAGTATAACGACCAGCGTAAGAATTTTACGTATAGCAACAAAAGCAATGCCTATGTAAGGACGCCAAAGCCTACGGGGTTAGAATGTGAGCGTGAGATGAAATCAACAGATGCATCTGATAACAGTAGGCGGCTTTCCAGCTTATCTATCCAAACTACTGGTAGCAAGAAGCGTGGTGTGTTAGCTAAGTGGATTGTCGAATAGACATAACGCCGATTAACAACTAAAAGAGACCACCGAAACGTCGGGCAGAGAACTCTTTGAAGCAAGAGTAAACAACCAACAACAAAGTGTAAGTGACCTTGATTCGACCAATCAGATAGCTCAGCATTACAACCGGGTTGCTAGTCATAATCCTCGTTGAAAATATCTCCTCGATTTGATTTTTGACTTCTCTGCGGAAAATGTGTTGATAGCGAGGAATAAAATATGCAAATGTATTGGAGGGATAATGACTCTGCAAAAGTACTGCGGGGCTGCTGATGGTTATACATTCAGATCCAACCCCTTTATATGAGGAAGTCTGTATAAGTTGACAAGTCGTGCATAAGGGGGACCAGTTTTTGCGGCATATTAGAGATATGTATACCCTATATAATTCATTTTTATTACATATATATCGTAGATAAACCTCTTTGTAAATTAAGTACCACTTTTCGCCTATAAGAATCTGATTGGCTGTTTCAAGGTCGTCTGAAGTTTGTGTCTGTTCTTTACTATCACCCTCTCCTTGAAGAGCAGTTAAGTTGGTTCATAGCACCGCTACCCAGCATTACACCAGCCCCCATGTTGTACTTTTAGTTAATACCGATCAACCTTGTGAATTGAAGTTTCGAAAGGAACTCCAAATGTTGAAACGCTTTAAGCCACCACTCACTCAACACAAACGACCCTGCCACCGGCCCGTTTTTAAAGATGGTCGTGAGAGATCCTAGTCATAGAAGTGATTGGATTTTTGAGTATGAAGTATGGTAAATGGAGAATGCGGAATGAAATCTTTGTTGTGCTCATCTTTATTAAAAAGAGGCTCAGTTTACTGCCCAGTCCTAAGCACGAAAAAAAAGAGATGGTTGGATGTTGTGCTAACAGCCATGCTCCCAGAAAACCTAACCATTCGTTATAGAAACTTGAACGCACAGAGAAAAAAATTAAAAATCAACTTATTTTCTGCGAGAATCGAAGAGAGCAAAATGGCACAGGCCAGTGAAAGTCTTCGAAAAAAAGCCAACCAGCCAATGAAAGCAAAAATAATTACGAAATATCTACACAATGTACAAGTGTGGTGAGAGCAGGCTGCTAGCCAATTGGTTGACATTAATCTACGTCAATGTCTAGGTCACTAATATGGGCCGTGTGAAAATATGAACCAGGCTGATTCATTAACCAATCACAGCAGACTTAAACGTCGGCAAATATGATTCCCATATAGATGACTCCATTTTCCGAGGTTACCCGGAACAACCAATCAGAAGACTGCGTTTGTCAACTTGCATAGGTTATGATAATGTACATGAAATATATATAAATACGTGCTAATTTCTGTAATAAAACGATCTGTTGCCGGCCCTTGTCTTCTGTTGTTACATTTGGTGTCGCTGCCATCGACAAATGGAAAACCTATGCCCTGCTGTTTTGATGGAGACATATGGATCTTCGGGCAGGACTTCAAGGCTTCTGCGCAGTTGAGTGGCGTTCAAGATCTGTCAGCGATGGAGCTGCTGCTTGGAACGCTGCTGGGAAGTCGGGCGAAAGCAGCATATAAAGTGTCAGCCGAAATATTGACGAATGTTCAACAGGATCAGGAAAACAGTTTCCAAAGTGGGAGGGACCACATATGGTCACGTCGAGGTGGGGTTACGCAGACATAGTCGCAATGGCGAACAATGAGAGCGCGTAAACGTCAGCGAGCTCCAGAAATGGATACAGCGAGTCAAGCCAACGATGACGCCTACACAAAGAAGATTAAGCCAACTTCAGTTGCAAGTCTTTGACGGGGGAACGAGTGTGGTGAGAGCAGGCTGCTAGCCAATTGGTTGACATTAATCTACGTCAATGTCTAGGTCACTAATATGGGCCGTGTGAAAATATGAACCAGGCTGATTCATTAACCAATCACAGCAGACTTAAACGTCGGCAAATATGATTCCCATATAGATGACTCCATTTTCCGAGGTTACCCGGAACAACCAATCAGAAGACTGCGTTTGTCAACTTGCATAGGTTATGATAATGTACATGAAATATATATAAATACGTGCTAATTTCTGTAATAAAACGATCTGTTGCCGGCCCTTGTCTTCTGTTGTTACACAAGAAGCTGAGAAGCACAATGTTTCAAATTTTGCTTAACACACACACACAAAAAAAAGAGTAGCTGCTTACTCTTCTTAAAAGGGCACGATGAACCTCTGGCAGTTCTCCAAATACAAGTGAAATATAGTCTGAAAAATGAGGAATCCCTTTGTGACCAGACGAATCCTCCAAGGCATTCCAAAGTAAATTCAAATTTTCCGCCTAAGAAAAACAGACAATAAAAGCTTCTTGAAACAATCAACCATCAACTGTGCCTTTTATTAGTGAAACAAAATATTATAGGGAAAAATAAAATAAATTAGACAGGATATATTCACAGAAAGATAGAATAATTTATCAAATAATTCATTTCTTGAACAAAGCAAGAACAACACACAGCGTTTTGTGCAGATTAAGAGACGGTATCATCATTCATTTCGTCAGCTTGTCATCACCTGTTCACTTCCTAGAGAAATTATTAGGTTTATGTACACACAGCAGTTTTCTCTTCCTCGTCTGTTTTCGTTCTTGCTTTTCACTTTAGAGCATTTTTCGTTCGCTGTGTGTCTGATTCTTAGTCCCTCAATCTTCGTTTAATCCACCTAATTCTTTTTTTTCAGTTATAAAAATAGTTATTTTAAGTTTGTTTCCATGCTTTTCCCTGTTCACATTTATAATTTGTTTGAAATAACTATGTTTGCAATTATATCTTAATCCTGTGCAATTTTTGTGTTTCTAAGGCTTTTGTAATCTATATTCACACGTCCTAACTTTCATTTCAGGCTCAAATTATTTTTTCAGTTATAAAACTAGTTGATTTAATTTTGTTTCCATGCTCCTCCTGATCACACTTGTAATCCGTTTCTAATATCCATTTTACAATTATATTCTAATCCTGTGTAATTTTTTGTTTCTATGCCTCTTGTAATCTATATTCACACACACACACCTAACTAACATTTCAAGTTGAAAATTTTTGATTTCAATTTGTTTCCATGCTCATTTTTGTTCACACCTGTAGCTCGTTCTATCCCTGTGTCTCCAAGCCTCTTGTAATTCATATCAAGTTGAAAACAATTATCACCTTTGATTCGCCTTTAAAATTATTATTTCTCCAGTTATCAAATATTAATTTTTTTTGCATAGGTTGTAACTATTTTCTAATCCTATGAATTCTTGTCACTAAGCTCACTGTAATCTATAATCTACATTCGTACCTTCAAACTTTCATATCAAGTTGAAAATTATTATCACCTTCATAGCAGTTTTAGCATAATTGCAACTGTTACATGGTTTCAGTTGACGGGAGGCTCCAAACTTAATATAAACAGTGCTCAGAAAATTATACTCACATAGGTGTTACCCAGAGTGTTCAAGTCTAAACAAGAATCAGTGTATGCATACAATGGTAAAGGGATTATTTAATAAAGTTTTCAGGAGTTTGATGGATATTGCTTCGGTAGACTTGAGGAGAACTGAACTGTACCGTCTGTTGATAATTTTAGAGGATTTCGCGATGATAGGCGTTGATGAGATATCCGTCATTGACACTGTTATAAGCATTTATTCTCTTGAGGCGAAGTCTTTTTGGTACGTGTTCAGAAAATCGGAGGTGTTTCCTTCTTTCTGTTGTCATCCCAATATAAATGTCACTGCAGATACATGTAAATTTGCATACACAGTTAGAGTTAACATGAGAAGGGTATCTATCGACTTTTGGCTCCACCAACTAGTATGATAGGTTCTGGTCGACTATTACTGCAATACTGTGACATTTAAAGTCGAGTTTTTGTAGAGGTGAGCATTTTCCTCACTGTGATTTATTCGGCACTTGAGCCTTCATATCCTTCGTACCTGTTAATTAAATTGCAAAGGTAACCGTTGTTTTTCAACATCATTTTGAAGGTCAGAAATTCTTCTAGTCTCTCTGCAGAATATATTCTCCTGACTCTTTAAAACAGAGTTTCGACCAATGCTCACATTAGGTAATGTCCCCATTCACACATTAAGCTGAAGAGATGACAGACAGTTAGACAATTTTTTTTTAATTTGCGACTGGGCATCATCACCTTTCAAAGATTACTGAGGGGTGAAAGAGATACATAGAACACCTGTACCACACAGTTTCACTTGTTGTAAGTGCAAAAACAAAAAACCATAAGAGGACATTTAAAATCATATTGCCTGTCATATTTCAACGTCGGCGGCCTGCTTGAACATAGGGCTACCAAAAATTCCACCTTACAACATTTTGCAAAATTGCTTTGGTTTGCTCTTTTAATTTTGTTTTAATTTATCAATAATGTGTCCTAATCGTATTATATATAATCGCGCATTTTTAAAATCATTACAACCTACCGCGTTGTGTCATCCACAAAAATTGAGAAAAAAGCATCACTGTGGCTGGCAGCGTGCACTGAAACGTACACAAATTAATCAAATGACTGTTCCTGAACTCGTTAGCACTAATTGTAGATCCCTGTCCAACAAAATGGATTACCTTCAATCCCTAATGTATTCCAATGTTTATCGAAATGCTGGCGTTTTAGCAATACAAGAGACTTGGCTGCACCAGCATTATGATGATAATCTAATTTCAATAAATGGATATAAAGTTTTTCGCCAAGATAGAAATAGTTCCAAGAAAAAATATGGAGGAGGGGTAGCCACATATATAAACACAAATTGGTCTACATCAAATCACGTTTGCTTCAATTATTCTAATGACAGTATAGATTGCATAACCGTCAGGTGTCGCCCAAAACACTTAAGTAAATATTCTTATATATACATAACAAATATTTACATAACACCCAATTGTAGCCTTTCTAATATAGTTATGTTTGCAGATGAGTTTACTGAATTCGCTGCTCCTGCATTCGGAAACTCGTTGTCTATAGTCTGTGGTGATTTTAATTTATGTGATCACAGCTTTCTTACTTCGCTTGGTCATGAGAATCTAGTCAAGTTTAATACACGTCTGGACAAATCACTAGACCTGGTTTTCATAAATGACCGTGATGTATATGAAACCCGAAGGAGAGCTCCTTTGCTAAATTCTGACCACTGCATTATTCGTATTTTACCGAAAGTGTACGGCAAGTCACAACGAAAATTGTTTAGTCATTTAACAAAGAAGATACATGAACGTTCATATTCCCATGACAACATTCTAGCATTAAGAAGCATGTTGCATGATACCAACTGGGAACTGTTTACTGACGATAAGTTGGATGCTACTGTCTCTAATATAACCGATTATCTGAAGTTTTGTTTGGATATTTGCTGTCCTTATGAAACACTGTTTTCGAGATTTGACAGAATCTCTTCTTTGCAACTGAAAAAACTTAGAAGACAAAAAGAGAAGTTGTATAAGAATTGTGATAATACTGGTGTCCGTAAAATAAACACCCTTATAAAAATTGAAATAGAAAGGTTGAACAGACTATATAATGAAAAATTTTTATCATGTAAAAATCCTTCAAACATTTGGAAACTTTTCAATAAACTAACAAGTAAAAAACAAATGTCCGTTGATGCTTATTCTGATGTAAATGCTTTAAACAAATCATTTATCAAGAAACAAATTAATATGGTTGTACCTGATGTACCTAGTCAAGAAAATGGTCATTTTCAGGGTTTTGAAGAAAAGGATGTACTATTATGTTTGAAGTCATTAAATCCAACACACAGCCTTGGTCCAGATGGTGTACCAAGCATTCTTCTCCAAAAGTGTGCAGACATCTTGTGTCATCCTCTTACTCAAATCTTTAACGCATCATTTAAGAGGGAAACGGTACCTGCTGACTGGAAAGAAATCAAGGTTGTACCTGTACAGAAATCATCTTCTGGAGCAGGTATAAAGTTTAGACCAGTCGCTATAACATCTCCTTTTTTGAAAACTATGGAGAAACTTCTTTTGAATATTCTTAAACCTTCTTTAAAAGCTTTTAGTGACCCTAAGCAGTTTGCTTATAAGTGTGGAAGAAGTACATTAGATGCAGCCATTGTACTACACCACAATATTGTTTCCTGCCTTGATAAGGGCGCTAAGTTCGTTCGAACAGCTTTCTTAGACTATACTGCAGCTTTCGACTCTGTTCCTAGGACACTTTTATTAGGAAAGATGATTTCAGCACAAACAGAGTCCTGGGCAACTAGATGGCTGTCTTCTTATTTTAAGGATAGGAAACAGCATACTGTTTTGGCTGGAAAGCGCTCCACTTCCCAGCTAACTGAAAGTGGTGTGCCTCAAGGTGCAGTACTTTCTCCATTTCTTTTCTCTTTCTTTCTGCATGACCTTCCGAACTCACCCAAAGTTAACTTCATTAAGTATGCTGATGACCTGACCGTTTCTGTCCCTGTAGTTGCCACATCGGATTGTTCCTATATGAATGGCTTCCTAGCTGAAGTTAAGGATTGGTCTCGCTCAAATGGTCTTAAACTAAATCCAACTAAATGTAACACTGTTGATTTCAGCTTGAGAAGTGAAAAAGACATGCATGGATTGATTCAATCTCATGATTGTTGTAATATTGATGGTACCATGATTGAGAGTAAGTCAAGTGTTTCTTTTTTTTTTTTTTTTTTTTCGTCAAATCTTTGCTGGTCGTCTCATATTCTTATAGTTTCTAAGAAAGTTTTCCGTCTGACTTATTACATAAAGAAGTTGAGACACTCAGGTATAACTCAATCTCTTATCATACAATTTATTAATTCATGTGTTTTGCCCATCATTCTTTATTGTTCTCCATTATTCTTCCCTGGGCTACTCAAGAAAGATCATATAATACTACGAAGAACATTGAGGGCTGTAAGTAGGGTCAGTGCTATCCCTTTGACTGAACTAAATGACACTGTTGTCAATAGGCATATGAATTCTTGTAAACACTTAGCTAAAGTTATCTTATCTGATAGTGAACATCCTCTTTATTCACAATTGTTTCCTTGTATCTCTTCGGGTAAGACCAGAAGAAATTTTATAAACATTTATGCTCGTACTACAAAATATAAAAATTCGACCGTTCCATATTTGGCACGAGTATTGTGTGAAGAGACAAATATCAGAAAAGAACTTTTACAACTTTTGAATCATTAACTAAACTATAAAATAAAATGATGCATATTAATGCAAGTGTTATTTGTTATATTATTTATTTATTATTCACTATGACCTAGAAATGGTATGATTTTGTTGGGTTTTTTATTTTTATTTATTTTTTTATTATTTTTTCCTATTAACTATCAATATTTTAACATTTTATATATTTATATAATTATAAACAGAGCTAAACCATTGCAATATGTAAAAGAAACGCTGAAAATTCCATGCTGTAAATTTTTATTGTTGTGGAATAAAGTGATTATTATTATTATTATTATTAAGTCATCGATAATGATATCATTTACGTAAATGAGGTAACCCATGATGGGCTGTAGCCCCCCCCCCCCGGTTGCTGTTGTCAAATGTGTCAAAGAGATGAACACGACTGTTGATGAAATAGCAAAGATTACTGAGGGGTGAAAGAGATACATAGAACACCTATACCACACAGTTTCACTTGTTGTAAGTGCAAAAACAAAAAACCATAAGAGGACATTTAAAATCATATTGCCTGTCATATTTCATAAAATTCAAATAACTAACACACGTTGAAGGCATTTCAGACCTCCATTTTTGTTTTACCCACTTTGTTTTTTTTTCAGTCAGTTGAAGCAAAAATAACTGTCAGAAGGCTTGTTAGTGTGTATGTATGTGTGTTTGTACGTTGGTGACTACTCAGTGTGGTAGAACATTGGCCGACTACACGCCAGCCAGAGCTCTAACTTGAAGTCCTGTGTTCCACTGGGAACGCGAATGAAATATATAATATATTTATTCGTTTAAGTTTCTGTAGCGATTTGGTTGAGTTTTTGGGGGGTGGAGTTGCTAGCACCACGCCCCAACCCTCCCTCTTTACCTGGGCTTGGGACCGGCTAGAAAACTAGTAAGCTGGTAGGTATGGAAGGGAAGTCAACTAATAAGAGGTTGTTGTGAAGTGGCATCGGTTGAAATGCTTAGAACATATATTACGCATGCCCCCAGCTATTGTCAGCCTTCCTCGATTTTCATTGTTAGCTCACATAAGATTAGGTTATAAAAAGAAAAAAGTTGACGTTGGTCAGACGAAAGGTTGGCGAGTCAGTAACATGAAATCTCTAACAGTTAATTTGAATCAACCACATAGGGTAGTGCAGATTTCCTGGTTGAAGAAGTCTTTAAAATTCAAAGAACCAATCACTTGAGAATATATTGTTGACATGGCTGAAAATCCTTCTCAATGGTGGGTGCACATATTCATTAACTCTTCGTGATCCTCCATATGTATCGACATCACATTCGTGTTCATTATAGCTGGCTCCTTTGAATCACTGTGTTTCTTTCCTTTGTCTTCTTCCTTTGTGTGGTATGTAGAACTGCTACACTTCTGTGCAAAGTTCTATGTTGAAAATCAGTCAGTCAGTCAGTTAGTTAGTTGGTGTCAGTCAGTGGCAGGCATGTGATTGGATAAGATTATGTAAGCACAATCTAAAAGAAATGAAATTTTTAATGTTATTTACGTATACATACATACAAATCAAAAGAAACTAACTTCGTTTATTTCAGGTAGTCTGAACCATATTAAACCATCTTCTAGTATTTTACGAACTATCTGTTTACATACGCATAGTTCTTCTTCACTTAAAATAACATTATTTATATTATTGGCAGTAGTAGTAGCAGCAGTCGCAGTATTGGTGTTAGAGCATTCCTGAGTTTGTTTCAACTTCTCCACAAGTTGTTTATTATCCTTCAAAGCATTGCGATAGTATAAGTGTAGATTTAAAAAAGCTTCAATAGGTCTGGTACGTTTACGTAATTCTCGACGCCATACACCTGTATTAAGTGGACACAAACATGCATACATGTTACTTTAAAATAAAATGTCAGTATATCGTTAAACAGAAAGAAAAAATAATATACAATTTGTTAATGGTGACTAGCAATGGAATCCAGGATAAAGTGCATTTCGTCCTATTTGGGACTCGTCAACTGGATGTACCTGCATTTCTCAGTCAGTGATGCAGGTACATCCAGATGACGAGTCCCAAATAGGACGAAATGCGCTTTATCCTGGATTCCATTGCTAGCCACCACCCACCAATACTAATTAAATGCCCAGACATTGTCGAAGCATCTGCACAAGAAGCCGACATGTCAACCTGAGACCGAGCACTTCGGTTCAATCAATCGACGGGAAAATCAAAAAAAATTCAAGAAAAAATAATAATAAAGGAACATGAAATCAACTGCATGACAATCTAAAGAAACATGGAGAGAGAAAGAAAAAATAACTCCTAAAATCAACGGAAACCGTAACAACTTCTAAAGTAAACATGAGCATCAAAACAACTTACTTATTCATGTGAATAATCAAAAATGGTTTGAAAGCAATGACAGGAATAAACAGAAAAATGTGTTAATTTCACATATTAACTTTGACTTTGTCATACAATTGGTGGATGGTGACTAGCACTACAATCCAGGATGCGCATTTCGTCCTATTTGGGACTCGTCAGCCAAGGGATGTACCTGCATTTCTCAGTGAGTGATGATGATGTTCTCACCGAGGCTCGAACCCAGTGCCCATAGTTTCGAACGCCAAAGCGTTATCCACTAGACCACTGGGGCCACGAGAGCTGGCCACCTCTTGTGCAACGGGTCATATTAATTATTGAATTGGATTTTATCAGTCTATATTACTAACTGCCTAGCTGATTCACATCTTAACCTGACTTATCCATTCGCAGGGCCAGTCAAGGTTGAGGGCGTGAGGCTGGCTGGCTAGATTACAGATTGATTCCATACTGTATTTTTGGTACAAGTATGGAATTTTCAGCATATGATATCGGTGGCCCAAATTTTGCAGGTCGACCTTAGATATCAGGTGTGCATTGGCAGGGGATGGAACCCCGGAGGATGTGCATGATCGACAAGAGTCCTAAACACTGTGGCACCGACGGCGAAGTTAAACTTTCGACACCACTAACTACCAACCAGCGAATTATCCAATGAGATTCACGTACGATGTCGAATTATCCAATGAGGCTCACGAACGTAGTTCAATGTTGTATAGCGCTTGATTCATTTCAAATGCGTGCCCTTACAAGGTTACGGTTGCAATTCGAGGAGGATAGTGTTTTCCAGTATTGCCTGGATCTAGGGTTGCTCCGGAAGGAGTAAACTTGTTCGTGTGGTGGTATCATGACTTTAAAAAGCTAAGCAGATCAACTGATGGATATGTTGATCGTTGTGCTATATATTTGAAGCGTGTTAGCATTAGAGAGGGTAAGCTGATAATTTTAATATTTCGTAGGAACCTTTTTCGCTAGGTCTCATCTCTCTCTAACCCAGATTTTGCATATCTGCAACTACTGGGTGTTGAAACAGCCGGTGAGAGCAGCAGCAGCCGAGACGGAGAATAGCCTCGTCTCAACAGTTCAGTGGTACCAGCATTGCACAGACATTGCATCATGGAAAATGGAGAAAATCACTTGTTTGCTGGGTGGAGAAGACGTTATCATGCATGTCGATGAAACAGTGCTGGTAAAAAAGAAAGGATTTTGGGGCAGGTCGAAAAATAGGATAAGGGCTATAAATGGATCTCAAAATGATCTCATTTATAGTCATTTAGATGAATATATTTACAGGATATGGTGTAACTTCTCCATTGACAGTCCCATTCTAAACTGGGAGATGTTTTTCTCACATGTTCGAGGAAGATATACCATGTAACTTTTTAATTATCTATTTTATGCTTTTTTCTATAAATATAAATTTCCGTTCGAGGTCGTTTGCTGATTGGTTGTTAGTGGTGTCTAAAGTTTAACTTTGCCCCACCGACACAGCTTGAGGCCCTGTGTTTCATTCAGAACACAAAGGAATACAATAAATAATATTACATTACTAAGTGGTATAGTAAAGTTTGTTAAGCCTATCAGTGTTGCAAAAGAAAGTGGAGATTTATTGGGCGCACGCTGTGAATGAGACCATCGAATGAAACCGTGCGTTGGCTAGGCTATCATTCGAGTGATACCCGAATGGAAAACAAAGAGTTGGGCCCGGATCCAAGGGAGACATGGAGGAGATGGCAGCTTCTGGGCAACCGTTGAGCCAGATAAACAGGACGGCAGAAAATAGAACAAACAAGGAGATGTGCTGATGAATACCCATGTTCCCTTCGGAACCCTAGAGGAAGATAATAGTAATAAGGTTGTGACGGAGTGTTAGTGATTTGTTGGTTGTTATTGTCTATTTTTCCTAGAATGAGTCTTCAGACAACCGATCACTTGAAAATATTTCTCACACTGAGGATGTCGCAGAAGTCAGGTGTATCTACGATAACCACGACAAAAAACTCTACTATTCACAATACGGAGTATAAATCGTGCTTGCTTATCAGCGGGAATTTTTAAACTATACGTAAATAGCCAATATCTGATTCATTGCATCAATGATGACTTTACGGCTGACAATCGTAGTTACTCTGTCCTAACTATCTGTTAGAGTTTATACTGTTATTTCGTCTTGGTAGTCGTTTCATATTTGACTATCGTAACACGTAATCATCTCACATTCATTTTAGGTAATGACTGTTCTTCACGAAGTTCTGTCAATCCAGACATAACTTGTTTAACAAGAATAAGGACAACAAACTGCTAGTTTCACATGAGGATGAGGGGGAATTCAGAAGGCTATGTTAGACTGTGAAAGTTGTACAGTAATTTTGAAACTGGACTGACTCCAAGTTGGCTTGAAAATGTGCTTCTATTATAAGTGTTACAAACTCTCAGTGCCTAACCAGCATCCAGATCTTATCATAAAAGCTTCTAATCAAATACTTTCTGGAAAACAAATACACACAGATATATGTGAATGGCTTATAGAAGAAATCAGACCAACGGGCACGTATACGCCAAGATTGTATGGCCTACCTAAAGTGCATAAACCAGGCGTACCATTAAGACCAATACTTGATATGCAAAATTCACTCTACCATGCTCTAGCTAGATGGTTAGTAAATATTCTCAAACCTTTGCATGAGAAGATAGTGAAATATAGCGCGTCAAAGATGTATTTGAATTCGTAGACAAAATAAAAGATATTAACATCAAGGACAAAACCATGATATCTCTGGACATAACATCATTATTAACAAATGTACCTTTAATAGAAACAGTTAATTACATAGGCGAACAAGTGGACAAGCTGTCGATAAACATTGGCATACATATTGAGATCCTAAAATAATTGATATTAAGATGTACCATGAATGTAAATTTCAAATTTAACGGCATGCCTTACAGACAAGTGGATGGGGTGGCGATGGGCCCTCCATTGGGTCCCATTCTGGCTGATTTCTTTCTAAGTAAGCTAGAAAATGGACCTCTGAACAACCTTATCAGTAAGTTCTCATTTTATTGCCGATATATGGATGATACCTTTATTCTTTGTGATAATGGTTCTGATAAGAGTACAATAATCACTGAATTCAATTAAGTACATTCGACTATGAAATTCACATGCGCAGAGAAATCCCAAGACAGAATTGCCTTCCTGGATGTCCTACTTACCAGAAAACCAGATGATAGCATAAAAAGAAATTTGCGTAGAAACAAAACGTGGACAGGACAATATACACACACACATTTTCACAGCTTCGTTCCTGTCAAGTACAAAAGAAATTCAGTGGAGCCCTAACTCAGCCACAGAGTTAATTAGAGCTATATGCTCAGAAGAAGTAATTGAAGATGAATTAATTAAGCATTGTACATGATACTTTGATCGAAAATGGCTATCCCGAAAAATTTATCAAGAAACATTTGACAAAGAAAAAAGAAAAGGAGCACTCACTATCTGTAAAAAAGAAGCCTCTTTATATACGACTACAATTCATGGACGATATACCAAGCGAGATAGTTGCGAAGAAATTAAGAAAATCAGTTCAAAGAACATTTACTGCTGGCGAACTACACGTCTTATTCTCTCTCTACACGACCGATGGTGATTCCGCGACTGAAAGACGAAGTACCTAGACTTGCTAGCCACTTCTAATTGTATCTATGAATTCAACTGCGCTTGTGGAGCCAGTTATATCGGCCGTTGCTCTAGGAACTTGATTTTTTCCGTGCTCTCTCGAGAACATCTCCCAGCATGAATAACTAAGTAAAGGTGTAGTGAAAACTATTAACAGTTCGATATTGGAACATCTGGTGCAAACCAGCCGGCCACAAAGCCAGTCAGCGTAGATGAATCCTTGTCTATATTACACCGGGTGCCAAATAAATTACCAAAAACATCGAAGGACCGCAGGCTCCAAACAGCAGAGGCTATTGCAATTCGCCTGAAACAATCAGCACTCTGTGTCCAAAAGAAGCAAGTCCAGCTAGCCCCTACTATTGCCCTGGCCAGCCTTCAGTAGAAGCTATAAACTCATGAATTTGTACTATTATCTTTCTTAATGTTTCTGACATTCAGCTTATTCTATGTTGATGCGATTCAGGTGTAATTTATCAATATAATTGATTTGATGTTATTTAGACATTAATGTCGTTCATAACACTAACACATTCATTCACTATAATGGATGGATATATAACTGTAGAGCCTGATGATGAAGAGGTTATCGAAAAGAGTACTCTTTGTTCAGTATCCATTCTTTTGAAAATTTTAATGCGCATTTTTAATCAGTTAAAAGCAAAATAATTGTGAAACTAGTAATGATAACATCACTGCGAGTAGATAATCGCCTTTCCGTACGACCTATGTATTTGCTGCCACAAACACACTCAAATTGATATATGCAGTTTGAAATGTCGAGGATTGGCGACTGGTCTTTTCTAGATTGTTGAAGCACTCGCTTGGTGGTGTTAAGGATAACAAGTTTTGCAGCATAATAAGTTCTCTTGATGGCTTCGTCGAGTCTTCGGGAAAGACCAGCAGCAAATACATAGGTCGTAAGGAAAGGCGATTGTCTACTCGTATGATGTAGCATCTGCCAAAATGGTTGAAAACAGCTGAGTGCAAAGTCCCAAAATCCTAAATAATAAAACATCTTGTGGATTACGGACATGATATCGATGCGGTCAAGTCATTCACCATTGTCAGCAAACAAAGAAACAAGAAGATGCTTGCAATCGCAGAGGCTTGTGCAATTCGAATTTACAAACCAGCTCTCTGTATACAAAAGGAGATGGTAGTGACTCTGAATCTACCATGGTAATACGTTTTACTCATTATTCTCTACTTGTTATTACTATTATTCTACCTCTTCTTCTTACCATTATTGTTATTATTATTATTATCACTATTATTATTCTTGATTCATTTAAAACTATGCTTTATCAGTAAGATTATCTTAACTCACTTCAACACTATTATTATTATAACTATTGCTATTGATATTAGTCTGTTTACAATTCTCGTTATATTCCCTAATGACTAACTGTTTATCTAAGTGATGTAAACGAAGCGTAATGCAATTTATCTTAATTTTGATCTCTCATACTCTCTCCCCCTTATCTATGACCTGGAAAACGTTCACACTTGTATTTCTGCAAGACTAATTCAATGTAGTTTATTTGCTCGTTTATCAGTCTTATATCTCCCAATGTAATTTCAAAAGTATATATATCCGTGTATGTAGAGTATTCAGCTGACGAGTTCTACCGAAATTTGATGAATTCATTAAATCCTGCTTTATTAACCTTTATCGCTTGTTTTAGACTAGAATTTGAAGGATACAATAGACACATCATCATATAATTGTATTTTGTAGACTCCTAGACATCCTTTGTCTTCTACAGAGATAGTGCAATATCTTAATTTTGACATAAAACTGACTACACTTGGTATCATGCGCTCCTCTAATACATAGAAATTAAGACAGGCGTAATCTTACAGTTTGTGGTATACTAATTCTGTTAACATGATCAAGAAAACTTACACTGTAATTTATACAATTGCATCAAATTCCTTGGTCTGATCAATAAACGTGCAACATGGAGTTTAGCCATAACAGAATACCACTGGTCTTTAGGTACTCCTTGTCGGGATAATTCTGATTCACTAAATATTATATAGTGGAAAAGGAGAACAAATGATTTGGAGTGGAAACTTTACATACATAGATTTTCACATGAGATATAAAACAGTTTTTCTCCTAATCAATAATTTAAATAATCAATAAATTTGAAGACACATTAAGGAATAATTAAGCCATAATAGATAAGATTAACCTCGTCTAGATTACTAGCTTGATAGTTCACTAGCTTGCTAGTTTTCTAGCCGGTCCCAAGCCCGGGTAGAGAGCAAGGGTTGGGGTATGGTGCTAGCAACTTCACCCCCCAAAAACTCAACCAAATCGCTACAGAAACTTCAACGAATAAATATATTAAAAATTCTAAAAACATAAACAATAGCCTTATTTTTCGCTGGAATCGGGGAAGTGAAATGACGAAGGCTGGTGAAAGCTAGCCTTCGGGAAGCCAGTCAGCCGATGTGCCTTCTTTCGATGAAAGCAAAAGTAAGGATGGGTACCTGGAATGTTCGTACAATGTACAAAGCTGGAAAGGCTGACCAGATAGCCTCTGAAATGAGAAGGTATAGAATAGAAGTTGGGAATCTGCGAATGCAGATGGAACGGAACTGGAAGGTGCCAACTACCTACTGGAGAGACAGTAATCTTTTCCGGTCATCCAGAGGACAACCACGAGCACACCGAGGGAGTGGCCATCATGATGTCACCAATAGCAACCGAAGCTCTCATGCAGTGGGAACCAATCTCCTCCAAGATAATGACAGCTAGGTTCAACTTAAAAGGAAGGAAGCTTACAATCATTCAGTGCTATGCGCCTACAAACGTCTCAGAACAAGAGAAGAAGGAGGCGTTCTACAGACAACTACAAGCAATAATGGACAACGTCCCAAATGGCGATATCAAAATTATCATGGGCAACATGAATGCGGAGCTGGGAGGAGACAACACAGGGAGAGAACTCACCATGGGTCGAGAGGCCCTTGGTGAAATTAACGACAACAGTCAACTCTTTTCAGACTTCTGCGCCTTCAATGATTTGGTGATTGGTGGCAGTGTGTTCAAACACAAGGATATACACAAGACGACATGGATTTCACCAGATGGAAACACCAAAAACCAGATAGACTTCATCTCAATTTCAAGAAAGTGGAGACGGAGTCTACTGGACACAAGATCGAGGAGAGGAGCAGATGTGGGTTCAGATCACTATCTAGTACAAGGGACTTTCAAGGTGAAACTAAACGCCTCGAGGATAGCTATGGACAGGCCAAAATGCAAGTTCAACACTCAATTACTGAAGGACACAACCACAAAGGACACTTTCACTGCAAGTGTCAGAGCAAAGCAGGAAACACTACGCGACATCACTGAAGAATCATGCGTGGAAGAACATTGGAACTCTCTGAAGGTGATTTCCAACGAAACGTGTTCAACGGTTCTAGGAAGAAAGAAGAGACAAGACAAGGAATGGCTCTCAACGGACACTTGGAAATTAATAGAAGAGAGGAGAATGGTGAAAGAGAAAATGATTCAATGCAAGGACGGATAGGAGAAGGAGACGCTGAGCTCAACTTACACAGCGCACTGGACAAAGAAGTGAAGAAGAGTGCTAGGAAGGACAAAAGACGATTCTACCACAATCTGGCCACTGAAGCTGAGAAGGCAGCAGGCAAAACGGACCTGAGGACATTATATCAGATAGCCAAATCTCTATCCGGGAAGAGACCAACACAAGTGAAATCAATAAAAGACAGCCAAATGAACTCAATTACCAAGGAAGGAAAACAGATTGAACAATGGGCGGATCACTTCAAAGGACTCTTGAACCGACCATCACCTGCAACCCGTTCAGAAATACCAACAACAGCGCGCACACAACTGCAAGTTGACACCAATCGTCCAACGAGAGCTGAAGTTTTGAACGCAACCAAACATCTGAAAGCTGGAAAAACAGCCGGACCAGATGGAATACCCCCTGAAGCACTAAAAGCAGACCCAGAGACGACAGCAGACATGCTGACTCCATTACTGCAAAAGGTCTGAAAGGAGGGAAAGGTGCTTACTGACTGGAGGAAAGGTTACCTCGTGAAACTACCAAAGAAGGGCGACTTACGTCTCACTCTACAAGAACTGGCGAGGAATCATGCTCCTGTCAACGCCAAGTATAATCCTGAGTCGCATCATCCTGGAGAGAATAAAGGACGCACTGGATACACAACTCCGACCAGAACAAGCTGGATTCAGGAAAGTCAGTCAAATCATGTACTGACCAAATTGCAACTCTACGCATCATCATCATCGAACAAAGCATGGAATGGCAATCAAACCTCTACCTCAACCCTATAGACTTTGAGAAGGCCTTCGACAGACAGCGTTGACCGTGAAGTGATTTGAAAACTACTCGAGTACTACGGCGTGCAGCGCCCAAATATTCATCAACCTTATTCAACAGCTGTACGACAACGGAACATGTCAAGTGATCCACAACGGAAAACCCACTCAGCGAGGCGTTCGGAGTAAAGACAGGAGTCAGACAAGGGTGCTGGCTTATTATCACTAATGAATGATATTCCTAATTGTGTATGACTGACGGAATTATGCGTCAGACAGTGAGTGGGAAACGAGAAGACAGCGAGAGAAATTCTGGACTGACCGACGTGAAGAACCTAGAAGACCTGGATTTCGCGCGTCGATGATTTAGGTTTGATGTCACTGTCACAAAATCGAAGACTTAGAGATAAGCGAAAACCGACAAACTGGTCGATCGAAGAAGCAGTCGGCGAAGACAGGACTCCAGATGAACATAGACAAGACGGAGGTTATGGAAATAACCAACCAACAACAACAGCGGCAACATCCAGCCAACAGCCAATCACCATCAACGGGAGGGATTTGAAAGAGGTTACTTCATTCGCTCACTTATTTAGGGAGGGAGCATTGTCTCAACTACAACCAGTCGGAAAGGACGAGGATGTCAAATCGAGCGAGAATCGGGAAGGCGAGAAACACATTCACTCATCAACCTGAAACAACCAATCTGGAAATCTTCGTCACTCAGCCAGAATCACCAACAAAATTCGGTCGACCGGATTTTCAATACAAACGTCAAGTCAGTCAGTTCTCCTATACGGAACAGAAATTTGGCGGGTGGGTCACAAAGAATATTTCCAACAGCTTGTTGCAGACCAGACCTTTATCAACAACTGTCTTCACTGGCTCTATACTGAAGATCAGATGGCCGGGCCGGAAAGAATCACCAACAAGAAACTATGGGAACAAACAAAGCAAGAACCAATCGCCAACCAACAACAAATATGCAGGAGAAAGGGGATTGAGATGGATTGGACACTCATAGAGGAGACCGCTGGGTGACATCACGCGTCAAGCCCTCGAGTGGAACCCGAAAAGGAAGCGGCGAGTGGGACGTCAGTGCAAGGGTGACATGGAGGAGATCGTGTGAAGAGGAGTTGAAAGAATATGGACTAACATTGATGCAAGCGAAAAGTACAGCAGAAGGAAGACAGAAGTGACAAGTGGAGACGTGCAGTTGAAGCCCTATGTTCCACTAGGAACGCAAGGGAGCAGTAATAATAATAGATAAGAAAGTCATGTGGACTGGAAAACAATTCAATAAATTGTAATGTTGTGCCTTTAAAACAGTGGGAATATTCATTCTTTAGTCTTTTGAATACTGAGATGAATGGAGAGTGAGCCCAGTGTATAGGTGCTTTTTTCAAAGAGATGTAATATGCATGAATTCAATATCACGTCATGCCCTACCTTCGGCACAGCCATTTATTAGAGTATCGTTGTCTAGTCTTCCCCTTCCATTACCCCTGTTTTCAATACAGTTCTTTTTTCCTAAGGCCAAAGCTATGCAGTTCACACATGCGATCTTTTGAAGTTTGACCACAACAATGATATCATTTTGACGGCTGTTTCTGCCAATTCTAGTAGTACTCTTCATCAGCACACACACACACTCGTGACACTGTAGGGGTTCCAATCAAGTATCTTTAGAGTTCCAAGCTGAGCCAGTTTATCATTCATTCGCTATCGTGGAATCCAACGACTGATGAATTCTAACTTTGAAAAGCTGTCCTTTTTGTTGTTAATGGTGGTTAATGAGAGAGAGAAAGGCAAAGGGGAATACGCTTACATCCTGTGCTTTCATAAGCTTTCAGTGAGAATTACCTCTCGTGCGTCGGTGGCACAGTGGTTAGGACTCTCGCCGACCATGCACATGGTCCGAGGTTCGAGCCCACGTCGACGCACACCTGATATCTATGGTCGGCCTGCGAATTTTGGGCTACCGATATCCACGCTGAGAATTCCATACTTGTACCAAAAATACGGTGTGGAATCAAGCTGTAATCAAAAATAAAAAAAATATCTAGTCTGCATCCAACAATGATATATTTATCGAGAGTAGTGCTAACTTCCACATGAATAGTATCAGGCTTTCTCTGACATAAACTAAGTCCTGAGCTGTTAACCGGTTGCATTCTTATTTATCTAAGAGAATGCAGTATGCACTGCTGTATATAAAGGCAAATCTTCATCTGCCTTGCTAACTGACTTAAGTTGGAGTCCCTCAAAGTGTTGTTCTCTCTCTTTTTCTTTTTCCTTTCTTCTTAAATGATTTGGCCTCCTTCAGTGGAAATCAACTTCGTTAAATAGCAGTTATACTCCAGTCTAACTGTTCCAAACTTAATACCTTTTTGTCCGACATAAGCTAGTAGTCTAAACTAAATGGTCTTACCTTAAATCCTTCTAAATTTCAGCCTATTAACTTCACCTTCAGACATAGACGTGATCTACACGAACTGATCCGTTCACAAGATGGTTGTGGTCTAGAGGGCAGTGAAATAGGAAAATAAGTCAAGAGTAAAATACTTTGGAGGAATAATTTTCTTCCCTTTGACGTTTCTTCATCATCCCATATTTTGTCAATTTCTAAGAAATCATTCCATCTAACCTACTACACTTGAAGAAGTTAAGACACTCTGAAATCACTCAACTTATACTTTTACAATTTGTTAACTCTCTCTCTCTCTCTCATCTAACCTGTTGTATTTTACTGCTTCCCCCCACCCTTAGTCTTTCCTGATCTGTTCAAAAGGGACTATGTCATATTTGAGCAGAGTATTTGGAGTTGTCACAGTAGGGGTAAGTTGTGTGTGTGTACCATCATTTAGTCAGCATATTACTACAGTGGTTGATAGACACCTGAACAACTCATGTGAGAGAAATTGTCTAAATCCATATTGTCCGATCGCCTCAACACTCCCTCTGTTCTCAACTCTCCCCAGCTTGTATTTCATCATCAGATAGGACTAGTAGTCATTTTAAAAAGATTATATACTTGCCTGTACAACCAAGTATTGAAGTAACTCAAAGATGTGCCCTATTTGGCACCTGTTGGCGGCGTCGTCCTGTGATAGAGGCAATGTTAAGGGTCAAGCAGCCTACACCTTACTATGTGTGTGTGTTATTGGCAAAATAATAATTGGCTCTTTTATTCTTTTCCTGTTTGTTATAATCTATGGTTATACTGTTTCAATTAACTTTTAATTTTTAGCTACCAACATTATCATTGTTTTAAACTTTTTGTATATTTTTGACTTTATTGTCACTGCAAATACCAAAATAAGAGCTGCCATAATCAATCCTATAGAAATACCATTTTTCAAATATTTTTTTACTGTGATAGAGACGATTTGTAGCTCAGGTGGATGATTTTGATGTAGTTTTGTTCTCTGAGCTGGATGGTTAGTTTGCGAAGCTTTCATCACCCTACTGGGTGACATCTTCCTTCAGCGCATACTTCAATTCGAAATGAAGTGAGCTTTTAGATTTCTCCATGAGTTTATTAATCATCTCTCCTGGTCGGTGACCACTTTGGACGTGACTGGTTGTTTATATGTGTTTTCACACATTCTAGCCTACTTGTATTCGAACTGATTGTTTCTTTGACTTGAACTTTTGCTCTTTGTGTGTGAAGTTTCTTTCTTATCGGTTGATAAATTTTGTCTATCTCTATGTGTGTATTGATTGATGATTCACTGGAATGTCAGCCAAGCTTCTAAAAGTTCTCTAGCATTCTCTGTGTTGTTTCCTTTATCTAATATTTGAACGTTGGTTGTCCCAGTCAAATTGATGTACGTGGTTGTCTGTGTGTCGCGATAAGAGGGAGTGGATATCATGTCTTTTGACGGCCACCTTATGTTCGTGGATACGAAGACGAAGGGGACGTCCACTTTGGCCAATGTAGTGTTCTTCGCAGTTGTTACAATTTATTTTGTAGATGATGTTGGTTTTGTCTTCTTTCGCCGTTGAGTCTTTTGGTTGACATAGAATTGAGTGAAGCGACTTTGTTGGTTAGTGTACGACGTCAATTCCTCATCAAGGTTTTGAGAGTCTTGTAGTGATTTCTGAGATATCCTTCATGTATGGTAAGGCGATTTTCTTTGTGTTTTCCTTGGTGGCTTTTGCTTTGGTAGGTTGGCTTGGGGGTATATGTCTTTTGATGAAATTCCGTGGATATCCATTCTTTTGGAAGACGTCCATGAGATACTTTTCTTCAATTTTCCTTAAGGTGGGAGTGCTGCAGTGAGTCCTTGCTCTCCTGAATAGTGTTTTTATGCAATTCCTTTTGTGTGTTATTGGGTTGTTGCTGTTGTAATTCAGTATTTGGTCTGTGTGAGTTGATTTCCTATAAACTTGAGTTTCTAATTCTCCTGTAGTTGTTCGCCTGACTAAGACGTCCAAAAATGGTATTTTGTTCTCGGATTCCTCTTCTCTTGTGAATTTTATGTCGTTGAAGACGTTGTTTATTAAGTTGTGAGTTTTATCTAATTCGTTTCTTTTGATTATTACAAATGTGTCGTCGACGTAGCGTAGCGTATCCAAATCTTCGGTTTGATCTTTGGTAGAATTATGTTTTCGAGTCTTTGCATCACTGCAATGCTACTGCAATCAAACCTGATATTGGCGATCCATCCATCCCATGGGTGTTCCTTTGACTTGTTCATATATTTGGCCGTTGAATTGGAAGTATGTTGTTAGGCATAGATTTATGCATTCCATCCAGCTTGTGTGTTGCATTTTAGATTGTTGTGGAAGTTGTTCGTCGTTGCTAAGTAATTGCTCCATGGTTTCTTTTGCTAGTTTTTGTCCCATGGAGGTATATACTGCTGTCACGTCGAAGGATACCATTATTTCTTGTTCATCTATTTGGATGCTCCTGATTTTCTCTAGGAATTGGATAGCAGAGTTGACTCTGCTATCATCACATCAAAATTTTTTTACTGTTGTCGAGTAAATTACATGCAATGTTGTAACAAATGCTGAAAAAAACATTCCAGACACGGTATCATAAGTACTGTTTAGGAATAAATGTTATTGTTATGTCGAAAAAAAAGAAGTGAACTTACAGTGCTTTGCGTTTAGCCGGTCGATCCACTCCAGTTATAAGAATACGAAGGATACTTCCAGTACGATTAAAATACTGTTTCAACGAATTAGGTGTTTTGAATTCATTTGAATAGTGAATAAATAATACTGCCCCAGGAAAAAGGTCAACTTCTGGTAGATAAGTTTGACCACGCCTAGAACCCCAGGCACAATGATAAACTGACCTCCGAAGAAATGGTAGTGGCTTAGAACTTAATTTGACAATGATGGAAAAAAAGGGTAGGTGCGTGAAAAAATATTTTCATAATTTACTAAGCGTTTCTTTTTCTTTAATCTGATAAACAGACAAAACAGAAATAAACAGTATAAAACATATGAACAGCTTTCAAGAATGTTAGTTTCTAGGGATTTTATTTGTTTCAAGTTTATTATTATTATTGCTCCCTTAGGTTCCTAGTGGAACATAGGGCTTCAACTGCACGTCTCCACTTGTCACTTCTGTCTTCCTTCTGCTGTACTTTTCGCTTGCATCAATGTTAGTCCATATTCTTTCAACTCCTCTTCACACGATCTCCTCCATGTCACCCTTGCACTGACGTCCCACTCGCCGCTTCCTTTTCGGGTTCCACTCGAGGGCTTGACGCGTGACGTCACCCAGCGGTCTCCTCTATGAGTGTCCAATCCATCTCAATCCCCTTTCTCCTGCATATTTGTTGTTGGTTGGCGATTGGTTCTTGCTTTGTTTGTTCCCATAGTTTCTTGTTGGTGATTCTTTCCGGCCCGGCCATCTGATCTTCAGTATAGAGCCAGTGAAGACAGTTGTTGATAAAGGTCTGGTCTGCAACAAGCTGTTGGAAATATTCTTTGTGACCCACCCGCCAAATTTCTGTTCCGTATAGGAGAACTGACTGACTTGACGTTTGTATTGAAAATCCGGTCGACCGAATTTTGTTGGTGATTCTGGCTGAGTGACGAAGATTTCCAGATTGGTTGTTTCAGGTTGATGAGTGAATGTGTTTCTCGCCTTCCCGATTCTCGCTCGATTTGACATCCTCGTCCTTTCCGACTGGTTGTAGTTGAGACAATGCTCCCTCCCTCCGTTGTCGTACAGCTGTTGAATAAGGTTGATGAATATTTGGGCGCTGCACGCCATAGTACTCGAGTAGTTTTCAAATTACTTCACAGTCAACGCTGTCTGTCGAAGGCCTTCTCAAAGTCTGTAGGGTTGAGGTAGAGGTTTGATTGCCATTCCATGCTTTGTTCGATGATGATGATGCGTAGAGTTGCAATTTGGTCAGAAGATGATTTGACTGACTTTCCTGAATCCAGCTTGTTCTGGTCGGAGTTCTGTTTTAAGTTTGCCCCCACCCCTTCGAAATGACTTTAGCTAGAGAAGTAATGAAAACTAGGAAGTACCGGACGGACAGAGCTATAATTCATTCTAATCTTGGACTCCTTGACAGTACACACCCAACAAGATTCCAACCCAGGATCTTTCGGTTAGACGTCAAGTTTGTATATCATTTTTAGCTGTTGAGACCTAATCTAATGGTTCAAAAAATTCAAGCTTCTAACAGTTTGTGATTTTTAGCGCGACGGCAAGACAATGTTTTCCTCCCCCCGCCCCCCGTCCCCCAACCCGACAGGATGAAACCCTTCGGTCACAACTTCTCTCACTAAAACTCCTTCAATACAACTTCGTCATGTAGCCAGTTTACTAGTAAGCGTTGAATTCTTACTCAAGAGTTAGTTTGTAAGTTGTCTTTTAGTTTACCTGTTTCCAGAATAGATTATTGGAAACGATTTGGTACACACCTCAACTGCACAATGAAGTATAAGAAAGAATAAAATAAACAACGTTTTAGAACTGCTTAAATTAAAGACAAAACGAAAACAATGAAGCAAATGAAGGTGAGGATAAGCCAGTCATTGGTTGTGTAAAGGCTAGAGCTGCACTCTCAAACAAAAGGCCAATCGATACTGGGGGGACATCACTCGTACCTAATTCCCATGAAACTTCATGAACTCTCGTTGCTACAACATCAACCAAATTCCAGTACTGGTCGAACAACGTCGCCTTCGGTGGTTTGGCCATGTTCTGCGCTGACCAGATGACGATTTGGTCAAATCAGTTCTAAATCCCTCCTCGCCATTTCCATCTTGGCGATGTCGCATGGGGGAGGGGGGGACAGCTGAAAACACATGGCTTGGTACAGTCAGTCAAGGCTGATATGGAGTGCCATGGGCTGGGGCTACAAACCGTTTACGGACTCCGTCTGTGGAACAAGAATTGGATAACCCTGTCGTGGAAAAACCTTGCATCAGATCGCCGCGCCTGGCCAGCGATGATTTGAGATGTTCATGAAGCCAGGTCATCCTCCCATAGGAGATAGGTGAAGTAAAGTAAAGTAAAGTAAGTATAAACCAGTCATGATTTATAAAACCGAGCTAAACCACTGGGAATCAGTCATTCTCAGATAAATACACTTTCAAAAAAAAACGGAATAAAATAAGAATTTAAAAAAAAAAATAGTTACCTTACTCCAGTTTTATGATCTTCATATAATGCTATTGTAGAGTCGTGTGGAAAGCCTATCCCAATGAAATTACGTAGTGCAAATGAGGATATAGAATTTGTCCATTCCATGTCACTTGTATATTTCGATTGCCTTTTACTCTGTACAATATCACTACTGTCAAATACAAGTAGACGTGCAGTAAACCATATGCGACTGCTATTCAGATTAGTTTGTATATCGTTACCAACAATTAAATGATCCATAGTTTGTTTACTTGGTCTGTGAATAAAAAGGAAAGGCAATACAGTTTAGTGTGAACCTCTCGCATTTCGGAAGCGAACATTTTCTTGTATCATTCATTGCATTATATGTATTACACTTTGCACAAATATTCACTAGTTCAAGTCGCCACACTCCCTCCATGTACCACCACACAAAGCAAGAGAAGAAAGTACAAGAAAGGCATAATAGGGAGACAGTAAGTAGAGGTGTGAGACAAAGGAGGAGGAGTAATAACGAAGAACAAAACAGTTTCATTGGAGATCATAAGTCACAGGGAGTGGATGCATCTGCGCTAGCCACTTAGAACGATTTTGAGTCATGTCCCGAGGACCCCAAACTGCAAGTCTACACCTTCATACGTGGCTTAAACTAACTGTTGTAGATTTCATTGACTGGTGCCAACTTTTCGTTTGACCACCGCTAGCTTTTTTCCAGCCCGACCCTATATCCGCTAACATTGCCCATTAGTCGAGGGAGGCGATGAATAGGTATACGTAACACATGTCCTAACCATCTCAGTCTTTGTAACTTCACGACTTCGTCGATTGATTTCCCCTGTTTACCTAGAACTCGACCAACGCCTAACCTCAATATTGCTCACCTTATTATGCCACTTCACACACACGGGAAATAGAACGCAGGCACCTATGATCAAAGACAGCTAGTCTTTTCATGTCTTCCACTCTCAGTGGCCAGGTCTCACAACCATAAAGGAGGACGGAGCGGACTGATGAGCAGTACACCCGCCCTTTGGTCGATAGTCGAACATCTCGTCTACGCCAGAGTCGGCGTAAACTAACAAATGCGAAACGAGCCCCTTGTATTCGTGCTGAGATTTCGTCAGAGATCAGCCCGTTGTGGCTGATAGTACTTCCCAAATAAGTGAAGCGGTCAACGTGCTCTACCACTTCACTTCCTATTTTTAAACTAGGCGTCGATGTAGTCCAGTCCTGTAACATCATCTTGCATTTGGCGGGAGCGAATCGCATGCCAAACATTCGTAGATTGCGGCTCAAGGTGTTTAGAAGACTCTGCATTTCGTCAGCGTCTTCGCCTAGAAGGACTATATCGTCTGCATATTCCAAGTCAACGAGATTATTCCCTCCCCGGTGGCAAGTCAATCCCTGAGTCGCTGAAGTCACTTAGGGTTAAGTCCATTAACACATCTATGATGAAGTTGAATAGAAAAGGGGATAATGGGCATCTTTGACGGACACCACTGGTCGTCATCAGTTCAGATGACAGCTCGCCGTAAGCCCTCACCTGGCTGATGGCATGAGTACGAGTAGAGTGCCTTAATCAGTGCAATATATTTTCTCGGAATTCCCTTTACAGCCAAGCATCTCCAGAGAACTTCTCGATCGACAGAGTCGAATGCTGCCTTTAGGTCAAGAAATATAATGACTGTTGGACGCCGGTAGGAATTCCTATGTTCTAGAATCTGTCGGAGGGTGAAGATATGATCAATACACCCTCTTCCTGGTCTAAAGCCTGCCTAGCTCTCTCGTGTTTGTTCCTCCCGAGCACCACTCAGTCTACGCATGATTATAGAGCCTAAGACTTTAGATACTATATGGATACTATAGCATGCCTTTGCCTCCATAAACGACCTAGCACAGCCGAGGGTGTTTTCATGTGGCTACGTGTTCACATATTTTTTTAGGTACATCCTGTTCACTCCCTTCTCATGGTGGATAAGAACGTCCACCGCTTACAATCGGATTTATGGACATGCCGGTTTACCTATAAGAGATAGTCAGTCCCTGATTCCAAACCCATGGTGTATATGGGCTCCAGAATCCAAGTGGATCAAATGGCGTATGAACTTTTCTTGGACGCTGGTAACCATGAGAACTCATCTCCTAACATTGATTTACTACCTTGTGGATCAGACTTCAAATCTAAGGCTCTTGGGGTGGCTCCTTCGGTTTCGACGTCCGAGTAGTATCTCAGCCACAACACACGAACGATGTAATTTTGTATGGCGCATCTCTCGGCGTCCATAATGTACCAAATTTGTGTTTTATTGGATTAATAAAAAAAATAAACAGAGAATTCTTAACTGTACTCAGTTGATGAGCTCTAAACTTTGGAAGACTTGTGTCTTAGTCTTTATTCTCAAGAATTAACAAGTAGTGTAACAAAGAATTTCACTTCATTCCACTTATAGCTTGGTATTTTATAAATACATTGGGCTCAGGAAGTAAACAGAAAAGGTGTACTGTTATTCCACGAATAAAAGCCGCCTGTAAGTAGTAACTTCAAAATACGGAGGTTATGTATATACTGTCTCTACAAAGTTATCAATGGGAAGTCAAGACCACTTTTTGCTGATTTATTCTTTGCCAGGCTTAGAAGCTGTCTGCATTTTGAGACTGCATATAAAACAAATTGAATTATACCTAAAATATAGTGATAATACTTTTATTGTATGTGAAAGCAAATAAAAAAAAGCTGAAGATCTATTTGAATAAGGCATTAAGAAGACAAATTTCGCGAGATGATTCCGTCATTTCGTAGTTTCTTTACAACCGCTTCACACAACTAACATGGTTAACAGTGATAAAATAAAGTTCATGAAAATTACTCAGTTAAATAAAAACAAAAGTACATACTAATGACCAATCACATTAAGATAGGTCATGCAGTTCAGGGTAGGCGAAGATTGAAGTCTATTGATTTTTGTATACACAGTTTAGGCTGTATGTGATTAATCCCAGAAGAGTGCTTCCATCACCTTTAATAATCTTGAATTAGAGTTATGCGTAATAATTGTGAAACAGTCATTAATATTGATTGATTTTGTGACCAGACATTAATAAGTGTTTTGCAATGGATGATGATGCTGGATTTCTACTAAGATTAATCGCGTTAGGATTTTCGATATGATTAAGTAGCCATTTGACTAATCATATTTAGATGGGTCATGTAGTCCAAGGTAGGCGGAGATTGAAGTCTCTTGACTTTGGTACACACAGTTTAGGCTGTATGTGATTAATCAGGATACAATTGGTGGATGGTGACTAGCAGTGGAATCCAGGATGCGCATTTCGTCCTATTTGCGACTCGTCAGTTGGATGTACCTGCATTTCTCACTAATAAGTGTTTTGCAATGGATGATGCTGGATTTCTATTAAGATTAGTCACGTTTGGATTTTCGATATGATTTACTAGCCATTTTGGAATATGTTCTTTTCGACCGCGACATTGGAACATTCTGTTAGTTCTACCTATATAGGTGTCACCGCAGCTGCAGGTGAACTTGTAGATACAGTTTGAGGAGAGTAGAGTCCACAGAATTTCGTCCTTTAATCGTAGGAACAGGGATCGAAAATTTTCGGCAAGTGAGAAAAAGAGATTCGGCGGCGTAGAATGCGCGTTTGATGGCTGATCGAAGTGGCTTTCAGCTATCTGTCAACTGCATAATCTGGTCGCCCTTGAATAGTGGTAGATTAATAAAGATGGCTTTCTTTGGTACAGAAGCTGTCTTTTCGAGATGTGATTTTTCTTTGCTGTGACAAGTGATAAAGCTCTCCGGATAACCATTAGCTTATAAAACTGAATGTACATGTCGAAGCTCATCCATCAGTGTGTCACTCGTGCATATTTTTCGGACCCTTGAGAACAAACATTTCACTAGGGAACGTTTATACTGGATAAGAACAAAACTGGTAAAATGAAGATATTGTCCAGTCCATGTTTGTTTACGAAAAATAGAGCGCTGAATCGTTTCATCATTTCTCCTAATCATAGTAATATCCAGGAAACCGAGTTTGTTATTCGATTCTAGTTCGGAAGTCACTCGAATATTTGGATGAATATGATTAAATAGAGTAATGAAGTACCCTGGACTGCATGACCTATCTTAATGTGATTGGTCATTAGTATGTACTTTTGTTTTTATTTAACTGAGTAATTTTCATGAACTTTATTTTATCACTGTTAACCATGTTAGTTGTGTGAAGCGGTTGTAAAGAAACTACGAAATGACGGAATCATCTCGCGAAATTTGTCTTCTTAATGCCTTATTCAAATTTATCAAAGAGACTAATTATTTTAATGAAGATCTATTGACAAATTTCAACTCATACCATCCGAATCTTAACTTCACAGTTAGAACACGAGGAAAATGATTCCTTTAAATTCTTAGATGTTCGAATACTTATGTTACTCAGTATTCTTATAATTCTCCCAATCTGTCTAGTAAAATGGAGTCAATGTGTCTTTCAACTTTTCAAAATACTCAATCTCATCCAATGAAAACCTCCACTACAAGTTCAGTAACTCAACTGCTTTCAAAAATGAGGTAGCCGAGTTACAATTCGAACTGTCGAAAACGCCAAAAAAACTGAATGAGATGAGAGAGCAACTGATTAAAATGGAGGAATTGCTGCATATGCATAGACTGCGTCTGTTGAATACAGAACATACAAGTACCCATGAAAGTCCTGTATAACTATTCAAATCTCGAATTCGCAAAAGGCATCTGATGTCCGCGACTTCTAATGTACATTATTACAAAGGGAATGACTATAGACCTTCTGTTGGAATCATACTACAAAAAATGGGAAATCGAGTGGTGAGGATATTAGACATCAAAGATCATTCAGTTCATAACAGACACCTGGACAAAGTGACAATAAATGAAGTAGGTCGTTTCAATTATTATTTTAATGATTCCGTTAATAATCCTGATTTTGTAGATAATTCAGAAATAAGTCCAGATAATACTGTTGAAAATAATATCACAGAATCAGTTAGAAGGTCGCAGCTACCTGCAGGCAAACCGAGACATCGTTATAAATACCCAAGGAGATATTCGACGTGTGGCGGATGTGGTGATTGACAATTTCTATCTCTGTATAGTTTTAAATACTTACTGTTGATTGTTAATATATTTCTTATATGAATTGAATAATAATTCCGCCCTCTCTGTGTTTTGGTTGGATTCTTGTAATTCGGTCATCTCGAAAATACTAATACTACGATTACAAATAATGACAACAGAAGAGGTCTGCTGAAATTCGATGAACATTCACTAAATCCTGCTTTATTGCCCTCTTGTTGGTTGTGTTTTAAATTCGTATCAGGAAATAAATGCTGCAAATGCAAAAAAGAAATATACTCACCTAGAAAGACCTGGTATCTGACGAAGAGAGTAATCAACTAGCTGTTTGGGTGTGATTGTATTGCCAACATCTCGAGTAGTAGTAGTAGTAGTAGTAGTCTGATTTCTTAGATTTTCCTACCATTGAAACTAAATTATTTAATACTGAATAGTTTACCTTGTAATCAGATACATTTTTTGCATGTTCGCTCCTCCACATGTTTTCTAGATCAGAACATATGCGATGAGTGATATCACCATGTGTTGAAGACATTTGTCCACCATCATCCTAAGCAGACACAGTCATAATTATAGCCAGTCGACTTACCTGTAAGTTTTCAGGTTTATTATCTTCTATATGACTTAGCATTGAGTCCTAAAAGTAAACATTGGATATCAGTACTTACCAAAGGTAAATGTGTCGCCCAAGGTGGATAAACAGCAGGACGTATGGAAAAATTGCGACTGGAATCACTTAGTGATTCTGTACCCCAGCTAACTGTTGAATCTGAACGTGGTGAATAGTTTTTATCATTGGTGATTGTGTATAATGGCTCGTCTTCAGAGGTGGATGAACTATCCACCAGGCATAGTTTCGGTACACTTTTGAAAATATATATATATTTGATAAACTACTATCACCTACCCAGAGTTAATTATCTTCTCACCACGCATACTTTAATTTCAGAATACACGTCAATGTCTAGATAAAAGTAGTAGCAAAAACACTAGCAGTGCATTAAACGTAATAATCAACTCTGTTTAACTGATCCCCATTAAACATGAATACCTGAAGTGAACTGAAGTGTCATATGTAAATCCATATCTCTTGTTATGTGACACCGTAAATGAATATTTCAGCTGTTAACCGTATTTCTTTTTATTGGAAATATCAACGTTAGTGATACTGATTTTTAGTGTAAAAGCCCCTTGAGGAATAAACCAACGAAGTGTACAAGTCACAGAAGCAAATGTTTCAGGTAGGTTTTCCCTATAATCAGACAAATAAAACTGACCCTTACCATATGAAAGAAAATAACATCGGTAATGATCCACAAAGACTAACAAGGTGACTAGGTTATCTTTCTGGCATGAAGAATATCTATCTATTCATGCAGAAGCACTGGACGTCCTACTTTGATGACTGCTCTAACAACATAAGACCACACAAAAGTCTAGAAGTTGCAACATTTAAGAAAAGAAAGATAATGAAACTACACTGGACCAAGGTGATGACTAGGGGAATAGTTAGGTGGTAAATAAAATGGAGATAAGAAATCTGTACCATTGAAAGTGATTAAGAGGCATGTTATTAGCAGCCTGGCATACATTTTAAGCAACTCGAAGACTCTCATCGAAAGGTACATTTCCCCAGGTGTCTGGGATAAACAGTAAAAAATTTAAAAGACTGATGCTATGTTTTGGCCTGACTACTCGCAAATCTTTTCCAACCTGCTCCAATACTAATAGTAATAATAATAATTTTTGCTTTATTTTAAAAACAGTACTAATGATAAAGCAAGGAATTTTCAGCATTCACTACAATGCTGCATCTAATTTACTCAAAAACGACAAAACAAAAAATTATAAATACACATTACATAATAGTAATAGAACGATTGTTATAGCAGCTACATAGCAAAATACTGTATGCAATACGGTGAAAAATATGCATAAAGTATAAAATTGCAGTAATAATAGTAATACCAACTAAAATAAAATAGCAGAGTAATAATAATTAAACGATAGAAAGTGTGACACCATAAAATACAGAAAGATGAACGATGAAAGGGTCGATTCACTGGGCTAAATACATAGTAACTTATAAGTTTCACGTCTAACAGAGTCTTCATCACATAAAGTACGGGCTAAATAGGGTATTGTAGAATTTCTATACTTAGTAATACGAGCATATAACTTCTTCTTGTATTGACTCCTCGTCCTACCCGATGAGATACAAGGGGACAGGTGTGGATAAAGGGGGTGCATAGAGTCTGACAGTATAGCCTTTGCCCATTTTGTACAGGAATTAATATGCCTCTCGACTATTGTATTAGCGAGCTCATGCAGTGGCAGACCACATGCCCTACTCACAGCATTTAATACTCTTCGTAATATGATATAATCTTTTTTGAGAAGCCCAGGAAAGATTAATGGAGAGCAATAGAGTACAATAGGTAAGATACAGGATTTTAAAAATTGCAAGACTAAAGGTTGGTTGATACCTGATTGTCTTAACTTTTTAATGTAGAAGGTAAGACGAAACATTTTCTTAGAGATAGATAAGATGTGTGATGACCGTGAAAGGTCAGAGGAAAGAACTAATCCAAGGTATTTAATGCTTGACTTAGTTTCGATTTCCGTGCCGTCTATGCTACTGGCCAACTCTAACATAAGAAGTTGAAGGCAGACGCTTATGCTTAAAAACCACCACCACCACTTCGCGTATATTCCAACTTCACCGGTAATATTTCATAGCCTTAAGGTAATATAGAGATAACTGCTAAACATACGTCAGCTAATTGATAGCTGAATACCACACCTGTACCAAAAAAGCAATACAATTTGGTGGATGCTAACAGAGCCTGTCACGTCCACAATGAGACATTTTAGTCATCAGTTCATCATTACTGATGCTTGAGGATTGTTCGTTGTAAGAAAAACATTGGCTGCAGGTAGACAAGATGGTATTATTAATACAAAAAATTCGCATTTTATCAGCCAACACAAAGTGACACCATGCTGTACCCAGCGTAGGTATTGATCTCTTAATTATGGTTGATCGATGAAAAGCCAGTGAGCGCCAGCTATAGTTCTAGTGTGCTCAGGAGTGATTGATCGGAAGGATGACTTACCACCTAGTTTCCATAAAAAATTCTTCTGTTTATTCGTAGGTTTTAATATTTTAAGTCAACCAAAGCATTTTGTCAATTATTTAAATAATATGAAGAATGTTCTAACTAAATTCGTAGGCACCTTTAAGTCAGTATGAGTTGAAAACTATGTCATGTACAACGCTGATAGTTTGCTTTACTTGTGATGTTAGAAACCATTAGACTGGATTTCTTTTACTCCTTTCCCGTTGAGTTTCAAGTCAGTGTCCTTCAAAACCTGGTGATAGGTCTCAACAAACTTAAATTCGAAGTAGGTAGACCCACAAAACAGAGGTGGTTAACAGAAGTTAAATCCCTAGAAAAGGTATGACAGCTTACCTTTTAGCCAGCATTGCGAAGCAAACGGTTAAGGTTAGGCTGAGACTAAGTGGATCCTAGTGGACAGTTCTATGTGTGGTGTCCCGATGAATCAAGAAGGAAAGATTGTAACACCTATCTTGTCTTTTCGTAATCGCTAATTACACTCCAGTTAAAATGAATTTCAGGTGGAGTAAAGGATTAGTTCTATCAAAAGCTCTCTAGTTTACTGCTGAAGGCGAAATGACCAGGTATATTTGTTCCAGAAGGTGATATCGGCCCTCAAGTGGGGAAGCTGTGTCAGTCAAAGAGATATATTGGCCTTAACTTTGGATTGCCATGCCGGCAAACCATTAGCGGTGATAGTACTCTACAGTTCTGCTTAGATAATCATCTCTGTACCTCATCAGCACTGACTTCAAGCATGAGTGCAGATATTTTCTAACCTGGGGATTCCTATCATCATTAAATCAACAGTTGAGTCATACACATCACGTAGTCAAAAGCTGTCGAAGAGAATAGAACTCACGCTGCCTCTTGAACATCCATGGAGACTAAGACTATCCATTCACACATGTGCCTACTAATGAACGGACATAAAAACAGGCAACTTTGAATTTTACCCATCCTCAACATCAATTCATGAAGTCTTTGACAGTCTGTTTGAGCCGCTTTGGGTCTGCAGACTTCCTGGTTGGATACCTCGGGGATCCAGATGCATTAAACACTCATGTTTTTCCATAATAATATTCTTTATCGAGTACATTTCTGCTTATTACAATTCCTTTGATTCTGTTTTTTCCTTTTGTTAATCTGTCTTTGGATGCCACATGGAATCTGGCAACTTAAACTGCTGTACCACTGTGCTAAGTTTATGTTGAAACTCTGTGAGTAATAAGACTAAAATGTACAGTTTCTTCGTACAAAGGACAATATTATTATTCACTAGAGTCTTCAAGTGCTGTATACAGTTTTCAAAAGTACGTTGGTAGCTTTAAAGCTACTGTACATAAAACAAAAACATGCATTAAGTTGTAGTTTCGTAGAAGTCATGATAGGTTGAAGACACAAAGCATAGAAGCATTGAGATTTCAATTTTTACTTGGTATATTTTCGAACAATCGTTAGTTTCGAGATGAACAGTATGAATGTATGGTAAGAATGTGGTTACCTACATCTGATTCAGTTATCACCTAATTGTTGACAGTGTTTGGAGATTGTGCGCAATATCGTATTATGGTTTTCGTCTAAAGTTAGGACTGTTGCGTGTATTATACAGTAGTTTCGTAAGGAGTTGGCGGTATATGCTAGATTAACACTACCCAGTTGGAGAAATTGGTAAAAAATGATTAAATAATGGTTGAATGAACTTAGTTTTTGCAACTGGTAAGACTGTTAAAAACATTTTACTGATGCCACATTCCATATAATGAAGCAGAAGTTTTTGATCTGTCCTGGAAACAATGCCAGAGTAATTTACATGTAAACCAAAATAAATAACAAATGTATTTTAGTTTATGCTTCGAAGACTGGTTCTTAGATCATATCAACGAAAAATAATATAAAGAATTGACATTATTCTATAGCCATTGACGAAGCGAGTTAGATCAAGCCACTATGTAAAATATATCCTATCAAAGAAGTAAAGACTCATGAAGAATTTAACAACAAATATAAGCCTCAAATACATATACATACTACCCTTTGAAATAACCCACCGATGTTTGAATAAAGCGGGTAGACGTTTCCATGACAATAAGCACAAAAGTGTAATAGCATCATTAATTTCATCTAAAATATCCCAACTATAATTTGTCTTTGATTAAAATGAACAATGGTCCCACTGATTAGTTTGTTTCTACAGAAACATTTGTTTAAACTTGTGAAATATTAACTTGTAGTCATAGCAACATTGCGTTTTTTCAAAAATATATTTGCACTGACCTATAATATACACTTAAACTTTAATAAGTTACTTCAATAATATACAGAAAAGACGATGTCCGAACTTGCCTTAGAAGATAAAAGGGCGGAGTTCATTGCAGAATATGTTTTGACTTCTCATAAACTGAAAAGTGACAAATGGATGAAACTATGGAATTCCGAAGAAATGAAGCAAAGAATCATCAATTTTTTTGAGAAATCTGACATAACTCAATTATTCATAAATTTGACTGCGGCTGGAACATTGACAGCTGAAAATGATTTTCCTGTTGGTTTTAAATCTAAGACATGTTTTTTCATGAAAAAGTCGAAAGAAGCCATACCCAAAGATGGACTTCTTAATAAATACATCTTTTATGGGGATCTTTCATATAGTCCTTTGGACCATTTTTCTGCATTTGTTGATGAAGTGAGTCATAATTCTCTGAAACTATTGAGTCATCTAGGTCCTTATCCCCGTGCTCTCGAACAAGAAAAATTATAGTTCTTGGCCATCAGTTGTGTACGAAGATGTGATTAAGTATGCTCACGGCCTAAAAAGACAGACCGATATTGTTGTTGGACAGTCGAAGGGGAAGACGCTTTTGCCTCTTCCTGTAGAACAAGACCGAATTAAGGAACATTTTAAAGAAGGGTAAGTGTAATTCTTTTTATTTTATTTTTGATTACAGCTTGATTTCACACTGTATTTTTGGTAAAAGTATGGAATTTGCATTATGGATATCGGTAGCCCAAATTTTTTAGGCCGACCATAGATATCATGTGTGCGTCGGCAAGGGATCGAACCTCGGACCATGTGCATGGTCGGCGATAGTCCTAACCACTGTGCCACCGACGCAATACGTCGTTTTTACTCAGCATACCCTTCTGTACATAACATCTATTTGCAAAAAATGCGGCGTGAAAATGTGTTATTTGCTGACATATTCCAAATATTTTTTTCATTGAAATGCTAGGGCCACATGTGAGCGAAAATCAAGGTAACACAGATTCAGGTTTATTAGCTGAGTATAAAAGGCTTGGATCCTATGTTAGTCATTTTGTAGTAAATTTCTGTTCTTTTCCAAACCCTTCTTGAATGAATCAGTTGAGGTTGCAGACACCATTTCTTCTTCGTTCCAAGAGTTCATGGCTCGTAGTGAGAATCAGTGCTCAATAGCAATATGATTTCTATTTGACTTTTGAACTCTCCTACTATGTCCTTTAAGTTGTTCCAACCTAGAGGGAAGGAAAAGAGGGAATTAGTCAGGTCCGTAGTCATTATTTAGAATTTTAAACATTGTGGTTAAATCTTCTCTCTGCCTACGGTATGACAGGGAGAAGAGATTTAAACTCTTCAGGCTTTCGTCGTGTGATAAGTTAGTCATGCACAGTGGTTAGGACTCTCGCCAAACATGCACATGGTCCTAGGTTCCATTCCCTGCCGACGCACACCTAATATCTTTGGTCGGCCTGCAAAATTTGGGCTACCGATATCATATGCTGAAAATTCCATACGTGTACCAAAAATATGGTGTGGAATCAAAAATTAAATCATACGTGTTACCTTTTTTCAGACCCTTTCTAGAATATATGAGTCCACTTTAAGACAACAGCTGGCTGCCTGGATGCAGTTTTCCAGTCTTGACCTCATCAGAGATGTATATAAGGAGGTGAGCACATCTTTAGTGATTATAGTAAAGGCTCTGCGACTTGCCCGTAAGGATGTGAAACTATGTGCAGTGTGTGCAGCAGTTTTTAAATCATGGCCAACTATGACACCTACGTCCAAGTGAGTCTGAACTGATGGAAGTGTTATTTCCTCTAGCTCGTAGGAGCTGATGCTTTCGTGTGCGATGCGCATGATTGCACATTTCGCTACATTGATGGGGAGCATCCATTCTCTTGACCTCTCTGACATTTGTTGGGGTCCTCTTGCGACGTGAGTCAATCACTGTTGCCCTTCAGCTCTTTCCAAATTTTTAAGTCATCCGCGTATAGGATTACAGGGGAATCAGTGGGCAGAGATAACTCATTGATATACAAAATAAATAATAGAGGTTCGAGTACCGTTCCTTGTGACACTTCACTACGCACTTCTGTCCTGGAGGAGGGTCTCGAGTTTGTCAAAACCCTCCGCCTCCTATCTGTGAAGAGTTCCTTAATCCAGTTTAGTAAGCTGCCTTTGATACTAAAACTTTCCAGCTTCGTGAGTGGTCTTTTGTGGGGGACGTTATCGAAGGCTTTGCTCTATGAAGACGACGTCAACGGGTCTGCTGTTGTCTCTTCATTCGATCCAGTTTTGTCTTGCATTGAGAAGATTAAACAGGCATGAGAGGTTTCCTCGGAAGCCATGCTGTGCTTTGGATAACAAATTGTTGATTTCCAGATATACCATGATACTTTTCTTGATGATTCCTTCCAGTGTCTTGACTAAAGTGCTGGTATGAATAATAGGCCTTTGTTTTGAATAGCTTTGTCTTGATCCTCCTTTAGGGATGGTGTCTTTCCAGTCATGTGGTAAAACTCCATTTAGGGTAGATAGCTTGAAGATCCTGGTCGGCTATGTGAGCTGATAGCTCCTTGAGAAGCCTTGGATGATGATTATCAGGACCCATTGATTTCCTAGCATCTAGTTTCATTAGGCACTTGAGCACGGTGTCTTGGTCGGCGTGAATGGAATCTACCCCGTGTTCCTCTGATGCGTCCACATAATGGTACACCCGTTGACTGGGTATTCGTTTTCAGGAAAACCAAACACACCTATGCCTGCCTCCTGAGAGACAAGACCGTCATGCAGTATCATCCTGCGGCGCAACTACTCGAGAGCCCTCTCTCTCTTCATCTGGTGTTTGGGGAAAGACCTAATTAGAAGCACTGTTTTTCACTTTTGTTGTTTTAGCACTACCCAGTCGGACCAAAAATGGGTAATGAGGGATTAAGTAGTAGTTGATATAGCCAGGTAAGGTAACCATGGTAAAATAATGGGCAAAAAGCCGCTATGATGTGTCAAATGGTTGGAATGATTAAATTTTGGTAGAATATTCGGTTAAGTTATGGTCAGATGTTACTTTTAATGTTTTGAGTGCGTATAACTAAATGCTACAGATTCTTGGAAGTGGCATGTAGTATTTCTGTTGGGGAATACTATACACATATATGCAAATGAAAGTTCTTTTTAATTTATTAATAACCGCACTACGGAACGTCGTTTCATAAACCTGTTTTGTAACCGTGATAGTCAGTGCATACGAACTATACAGTTCTTAGCCATTTAAGGCTATTATTATTATTATTTAAGTTTTACTTCCTCGTTCACTCCATGTTTTAGCGTATTAGATATCACTTGATCAGAAATTAAGTATCTTGGACTCATTCTCTCTTCTGATCTCTCCTGGTCTTCCCATGTCTTAGCAGTCTCCAGTAAAATATTCCGCCTGACATTTTACATTAAGAAGTTAAGACACTCGGGTATAACTCAACCCCTCCTCTTACAGTTCATAAACTCTTGCATCCTACCTATTCTTATTCTCTATTGTTCACCCCTGCTTATTCTTTCCTGGTTTGCTTAAAAAGGACTATGTCACAATTTGTAGAATGCTGAAGACAGTCAGTAGGGTGAGTGGTGTCCCAGTGGACCACACAGTTAACGTCGTTGTCGATAGGCACTTGACTTCGTGAAATAAATTTGCTAAAGGGATTTTGTCTGACTTGGAGCATCCACCACAGCACGCTCAGCTTTCACCTTGCATCTCCTCAGGTGAACAAGGAGTAACTTCAGAAAACTGTGTGCTCACACGTCTAAGTATAAAAATTCTATGATACCATACTTGGCACGTATTTTATGTGATAAGGAAAATAGCGTCAGTCAAGAATTAACTAACCTTTCTCCTTCATCTAGTAAATAAACAGTATCCTCCATCCATCCATCCATCCATCCTTAGATACCTTGAAGTTTTACTTTTATTACTTCCATTATATTTATGGTCCTGTTACTTCTCTGTTTTCTTACTCTCAGAATTGCAAACACCAACTTATCTCAGTGACTGCTGTAATCTTTGTTTTTCCCCTCACCATATCATGTAAAGAGAACATTATATTCAATATTTTAAACATGTTAGGATTTCTATACCACATTGCCAATACTGTGTGACACAAGCAGCCACGGCAATTTTCACTTGTATTATTATTATTATTACCCTAGCTGTTATCATTATTATTGCTATTTCCATTTTATATGCTGCATGTTTTTGACACTACCTCTATTGTGAATGTGGAAAATTTTCTGTGTGATTAATTTTATTTATAATTTGGGGAAATTAGATGCAGTAATATTGTGATTAATGCTGAAAATTCCATTCTGTATCACAAGTACTGTTTTTGGAATAAAGTAAATCATTATTATTATTATTATTATGAAGTTCCAGTCGTTGCCCACTCTGTGATAGAATCTGAATTCCACACCTATTGTATTCATCCACGGTTTGAGTACCTTTTTGTAGTCACCTCGCAAGGGTATTCTAGAAATAAGTTAAAAGACTAGGAAGGTCAATGCCCAAATCATCCTGCAGTGTATATGAAATGTCGAAGTCTAGTCGCCTCTCCTTCTTCATTATGAGATAATTGAAAAAGGATTTAAATATTCCCTTCTCTTCTCATAAAAACGGTGTGAGATTACAACTAAGCAACTTGGTTTGTACCTTTTATAATCTTTCTAAGATATATGCCTCTTTCCTAAAGTATATAAAAGTTGCCTATGTAGAGTGTTCTAGATGAAGCCTCACATAAGTTGCATAGAATGCTTTAAATATAGACTTGTTCAATTGTTTGAAAGCCTTTCGCAGTGCCCATAACATTCGAAAGGCCTTATCTGCAGTTGTATGCAGTTCTTTTATTCTATTTTTCAAGTTATTAAGCGTTCGGAAATACCTGATGTTTATCTTTGCATTTTACCACGGCTGATGATTAGTTTACTTTTATCTCAGGTACTTTCCCCGTGTTCATTGGCGCTTTTGAATGTTACCTTATTTTCAGTAATATTATTTACAGTAAATAATACTGTTTCACTAAGTCATACATTTAATAAACCAATTAATATGGTATTGAAATCAAAACAAGATTTTGAGCGAACACAATTGTTTTCGATAACTTCTTCTTTCAGGCTCTACAGTTATAAATCCATGAATAATAGAGTACATATAGCCAGTAAAGGCAAATGAAAATAATATCAGAAACTGTATTGGGGTGCATGTGTAAGTTGAGGTGATAGTCCATTAGTTAGCATAGTCAATTAAATGTGTATAGGGTGTTTAGTCAGAAAAATGTGATGAAGTGTGAATGAACAATTAGGTGATATAGTGTAGTTTTATAGTTAACAGAATACAAGTGTCCTTGGGGTGAGAAAATGCGATAACCACAAAATACATGTAAAGACACGTTAAAAAATGAGGCACTGGATATGAGGGCTGACCGATAATGTCTAATGATAAAATAAAGGGGCTAAATTGTAAATTGTAATAAAATGCTACAGAATTGGTAGGTTTAGTATAAAATCATAAAGGTTGACAAAGTAAGGGTAACAATGAGGTGAAATAAACTGGGTGGAGAAATGGATAATAAAGACATGATATCACAAAATAATAATAATGATAATAATAGTACGAAAAGATTATGATCCTGGTGACCTTATAGTGGGCCAGGGTAGACAAAGAGAGTGAATAAGTTTTTTCTGTACACATAGATCTGGTCTTTCTCTATTAATCTCTAAAGCCTCAGCTATGGCTAGGAGGCGTAATCGTGTGCCTTTGGGGAGATTGTTCGGTACCCGATACGCAACTGTAAATGACTCATCTACTTTGATGCTGTGTTCGCTATCCACTAGATGAGACAGAATTGCACTATTAATTGATTTGGTTGTTCTTTTCCCAAGCCAAACAGGAATATGTTCACGAGTGCGTAGAGATAAATTCCTCTGGGTACGACCTATATAACTAGCTCCACAGGAGCAGTTAAATTTATATACACACATTGATGTCGCCATTTTGGGCAATCTATCTTTAATGCACGGTGTCAATATCGGTTTGGTTGAGAAACTGACATACAGTTTTGCGGCACTAAAAGTTCTTTCAATTGATCTTGTTAATCTACGGTTTAATATATCACTGGCTATATCACCTTTGAATTGTACATTTAAGTAAAGCTTTTTCTTACTTACTGTGTCTCGCTTGGTATTATGTGTAGTTTCGTAGATATACTTCTTTACAAAGTTGGTAGGGTAGTCATTTTGTAGCAAGGCGTTTGTAAGATTTTTTATTTCATCTTCAATACAATCCTCGGTACATATGCGTCTAATTCTATGACTAAGACAGCGAATTAGGTTGCGCTTATATTGTATAGGTATGAAGCTATGGAAGTGGGTGTATTGTCCGTTCCACGTCGCTTTCCTATAGATGTTTCTTTTCAAGGTACCGTCTGATCTTTTTGTGAGAAGAACATCGAGAAATGGAATACTACCTTGTAGTTCCTCTTCACAAGTGAATTTAATAGCTGGGTGTACCTTATTGAAGACTTGCAGCAGATGTTGTCTATCCAAATTATTGTTACAAATGATAAAGGTGTCGTCAACATATCGACAATAATAATCGAGTTGGTTTAGTATCTCTTTTAAAGGACCATTTTCCAATTTGGATAGAAATATGTCGGCTAATAAGGAACCAAGGGGAGAGCCCATAGCAACCCCATCTATTTGGCGGTAGTACTCCTTATTAAATACAAATTGGACATTCATAGTGCATTTTAGTAATAACTCTTTCAATTTTCTTGGTGTGATTCCAATTTCTATATTCTTTTCTACGAGTTGTTCACATATGTAGTCGACAGTTTCTACAAGGGGGACGTTGGTAAATAGTGATGTTACGTCCAGCGATAACATGGTTTTTCTGCTATTTTCATATCTTTAATATTTTCAACAAAGTTAAAGACATCTTTTACACTATATTTGACCAACTGGCGGTGTAACGGTTCTAACAGTTTTACCAACCATTTGGCAGTTAAATGGAAGGGTGAGTTCGACATGTCTAGGATTGGTCGTAGGGGGATTCCCTGCTTATGTATCTTGGGTAAGCCATAAAGTCTAGGCGTGTATGAGTTCCGGTGGTATTACATGCCTGTACAGTGTTCAAGTCTTTCCACATATTAATTTGACTTATAATCTTCCTGTTCAAAGACTCATCAATAGTCTTACATGACTATCACAAACTGAAGCAACAGATACAAGAATCACAGTATCCAGTAAATAATACTATTTCACTGTGCAATATACTACACAAAAAATAAAATTAATATGTTGAAATTTTGTTTTCACAGTAAAGTAAGTCGAAGCTTTGTCTATGCAATCGAATCACTCGTTATTGACTGGTCTCATCAAATTCATAAAGTATTGCTCAAAGACTCTTCTCAGCCTCTTTTAAATGGTTTACATCCTACTCCACTGGTGGAATTGGACTTTTGGAAAGCAAAAGTAACAAACCTAGAAAACATCTATGCCCAGTTAAGTACACTGAAAGTTAAACAAATGGCACAGATACTAGAACAAGCCAACAGTAGTTACTTTATCCCATTTAAAGAAATGTTTAAATCTGTTGTAACAGGTGAGTAGTTTTTTTGTTTTTGTTTTATCTAATCTGTAGCAGTGTAACTTGACTTTGTATAACAGACTGATTACTTAACATTTTGCTTTAGTTCGAGATTTGGGTAAATAGGTAAGATATTTTTAGTTAACTAAGTTTTTCTTGAAATGTCGACTTTTCAGCTTTTGGTTTCGTTTTTTTTTGCTTACAGTGTCATTTTGCATATTTTACTAACTCATCAACTTCAAGAACTAGTGTCTACTAGCCATAGATCCTCTATGTTTTTTTTCTTTCCTTCACGTTTCCCAATGGAACATAGGGCACCTTCAAGCCAGTGGCTTGAAGTTTACGTAACAGTGTTTATTTTACAGGATGAGGTTGTCAGCTCCATTTCCAACCATTCCTCCTTACCAGGATTACTTCTTCTGGCTAAGCGAGGTAAAGGAGTGCGTCGGTGGCCGGGGATCGAACCTCGGACCATGTGCATGGTCAGCGAGCGTCCAAGCCGCTATTGCCACCGACGCACAGATCCTCTATTGGTTTATTATAACTCCATCAGGAAGCAAAAAGCTTTCTTCATCTGTTTATTATTATTATTTTATCCTTTAATTCCTAGAGGAACATGGGGCTTCAGCTGTGCACCTCCATTGTCTTCAGATTTCCGCCAACTTTTTCACCCGCTCCAAGTCTGCCCACACTCTTTCATCTCCTCCTTACATGACCTCCTCCAAGTCACCCTTGGACGACCAACTCGCCGCCTCCGTTTCGGCCGGGTTCCACTCGAGCGATGGCTTGTCCAGTGATGTCACTCACTTGATGGTTAGTTTTCTCAGAGTATGGCCAGCCAATCCATCTCCATTTCTTCCTGCCTATTTGTTTCACAATCGGTTCCTGCTGGGTTGGTTCGCTCATTGCCAGAGATCTTTGTTGCTGATTTTTTCTGGCCGGCTGGCCATCTGATCTTGAGTATTGAGCGAAGACAACTGTTGATGAAGGTCTGAAGTTTGTTTGAGATGCTCTTTATGACGCGCTGGCCAAGTCTCTGATCCGTATAGTGAGTAGCACTGACTGACTTCACATTGGAGTTGAAAATCCGGATCTTGTTTTTGAAGCTGAGTGATGTTGATCTCCACACAGACTTAAGGGTAATGAAAGCCTGTCTTGCTTTTCCGATCCTCGCTGCCTTGATATTCTCGTCAGTTTCGTCGGCCTGTAGTTGAAATGATGCCTCCTAGGTAGGTAGGTAGGTGGGTAGGTGAAGGAGGTTGTTTCTTTCAGGTTCCTCTCATTTATGCAGGCTGATTGTCGTCTGTTGTTGTTGTTGCTGTTGATGTTGGCCAAGAATCTTCATCACCTCTGTTTTCTCTATGTCCACATGAAGTCCTTCCTATCTTTGATGCTTATTCTGCCAGCTGGTTGCTTTTCACTTGCATATCTTCCAGTTTGTGGGAAATCAGACATATACACCACATCGGCGAAGTCGAGATCCTCCAAGTCTCCTTTTGTGTGAGTCCATCTGATAAATTATCTTTAAACTTCAACTCAAAAAAAACTCCCGTATTATTTCTGAATTAACTTGTCATTAACTTGTACAGTTTTGATTACTATGTGTAACAGTGAACATGATCTCTACAGATTGATTATAGTTTAGAATTATTTGATTGTATGGAGGATTTCATCATGAGTTGACATTGGTTAGACAACTATTGGAAAATATGGGAGTACTGAACGGAAAGCAGCCCTATTCAGGTAGGTAGTTACCTGGGTTCCAGTGGGAAGTCGTGACCAGTAGGGTGCAGCGGGTTGGGTTTGATGACAAATACTCGCCAGCGAAGACATTGGCTAGCGGTCGCGATATGTCGTGAATTGGCAGAAGTTAGAATTCATGCACTGGCTATTGGATCGGTTCCCAGTGGCTTAATGTTCTACATGCTGGTTCACCTTGTAACTAGAAGGTCCTGGGTTCCAACCCCGGGCGGGTGCTTCATGATGAAGAGTCTCAGATTAGATTGAAACAGCTGCCTTTTGTACTCCTAAGGTTCTCTAACTAATGTCAGCCTCATGATGAAATCCTGTAACCAATCGATCAAATCCCTACAAACCAACACTTGGATAATCTTTTTTGATTTACAAATGTTTACCTCGAAATCATTTTGATAAGCTACATGAAATGTTGTTGAGTTCTGCTCCGCTGAAAAACGCCAGGACAAATTGTGCAGTCAGCTAACGAATCTACTGCGTTTGGCTTTGAATATTCAGATGTATGCCTTGTGGACGTACTGTGTGAAGTACACAGTTGCTTTGCCATAAGAGCAGTTACAGTTACTACCACCAAATGGGTGACAACTTTAAATCCTCACTTTTAATATTCCCATGAGTGAATTCACCAGTTAAAATAACCGCCTATTAAAAATACAATATTATGTTGTTGTTTAATTGTAACTCACGTGAATATTTTGTTGAGTATTTACAGTCAGTTAGTATGCGGCAGAGAACTTAGGGCTTTCTATTCATCCGCATCTATAACCAAAGCAAGCTTGTCTTTTCGACTTTCAAGCTTATATCTCTCAGTACTAGGGACGGAGACTTTAACAAAACATTTTTCAGATCGTAGTGTGGTAAGAGCAGGCTGCTAGCCAATTGGTTGACATTAATCTACGTCAATGTCTAGATCACTAATATGGGCCGTGAGAAAATATGAACAAGGCTGTTTCAACAACCAATCACAGAAAACTTAAACGTGGGCAAATATCATTCGCAGATAGATGGCTCCACTCCACTTTCCGTCCGAGGAACTCGAAAACAAAACAACCAATGAGAAGACTGCGTTTGGTTACTTGACTAGGCTATAATAATGTATGTGAAATTTATATAAATACCTGTTGATTTCCGTAATAAAACGATCTGTTGCCTGGCCCTTGTCTTCTGTTGTTACAGTAGTTGATTGTGATTAAGGTAAATGAGGCTCATAAGAAAGAAAGCCGAAAGTTGGTCACCAGTATACCCCTGTATTCCTAAGTTGTAGCTTTAATTATGATAAATAAGAATACAAAGTTGAGTGACATGCAGGATTGTAGCATAGCACTGCACTCTTGCTTTGGTGCTTAGTGTTATAAGCTAGTTCGTAGAAAATCTGATATAGGTTCAAACAATGAAAATAATTTAGATCGCAGAAAAGGATTTAACACTAAATTATTGATGACTGGAGGCAATCACCAGGAATCTTAGGACCTAGCTGGGTTTCATACTGACCAGTCGGCAAGGCCTATCTGCAACCTAGAAAAAACTCATGTCTCTCCTGAGACTCGAATCCGTATAATCTAACAACGAAAATTCAGAGTGCATCGTAATATTGAGTCAGTCACCTAGAATGGTGGTAAGTGATGTGTGTCAATCGACGGAGATTCCAGAGACATGAATTTTGATTACTGCATTTACCAATTTCATGGATGTTTCAATTCAGATTAAAACATGCCTCCAATCACGAGGTTTATATAAGGTAGCTCAAACTGATGAGAGTAGCATAAATTTATTCTTTCCGTTTACAATTGGTGGATGGTGGCTAGCAGTGAAATCCAGGATAAATCGCATTTCGTCCTATTTGGGACTCGTAAGCCACTGGATGTACTTGCATTTCTCAGTGAGTGATGATGTTCCCACCGAGGCTCGAACCCAGTGCACATAGTTTCAAACGCCAAAGCGTTATCCACTAGACAACTTGGGCCACGAGAGCCACTTGAATAGTAGAATCGCTGTCTTTCATGAGATGCTGTACACCTTTTGATAATTGAAAATTTTCATCTTTTATCATTTCAGCTTTACGAGAAGCCCAAGATATTGACATGCATTTAAGTATTATGCGTACTCAACTGGAAGATATGGAGCAGGCTGAATTCGATCAAGTATCACAACATATTGAACCTATTTTCCATGTTATTTGTTTAATATGGGCAAGTTCTAAAGGCTATCGACAGCCTGCAAGAATATTGGTTCTTTTGCAAGAATTATGTAATCTTATGATTAATCAAGTAAGATTATTGAGATAATTAAGAGAACTTTAGACTTTTCTTTTCATTCTGTCCAGTTTTATGTTCAAATAAATTAAAAACTGAGCTGCCCTTAATTGCTGTATTACCTCCTTCGAAGAAGGGCTATAAGCTTTAGAGTTTTGTCTGAATGAACTATACGTACGAATATGGAGGGGTCAACTTGTAACACTAAAGCGAAATTGTATTTCATTATTCATACCGCTTTGAAAATAGACCCAGAGACAACAGCGGACTTGATGACGCCATTACTGGAGAAGGTGTGGAAAGAGGGCAAAGTACCTGAGGATTGGAAGAAAGGATACTTATTCAAACTACCAAGGAAAGGAGACTTAAGTCAATGTAAAAACTGGCGTGGAATTATGCTCCTGTCTATTCCAAGCAAAATACTAAGCCGCATCATCGTCGAGATAATCAAACAAGCCCTAGATGAAAAACTTCGACCGGAACAAGCTGGATTCAGGAGAAACAAGTCATGTATTGATCAAATTGCCACACTACAGATCATCATTGAACAAAGCTTGGAATGGCAGTCACCTCTCCATCTCACTCAACTTCATCGACTTTGAAAAGGCTTTCGACAGCGTCGATCGAGAAGTTATTTGCCAACTACTTCGCTACTACCAAAGGGGGGCCATCGACAGTTATACATCTAATCCAACAGTTATACGACAATGCTGCCTGTATGACAAGTAATCCACAACAGGGAACTTACGGAGACCTTCGAAGTGAGGGCGGAAGTGAGACAAGGCTGTCTACTATCACCAATGATCTTCCTGATTGCAGTAGATTGGATAATGCGACAGGCAGACAGCGGCCAATGAGGAAACAGCCATAAACTGTACTCACACAAAAAAGTACTTGGCGGATCTCGACTTCGCCGATGATGACATATGTCTGATTTCCCGCAAACTGGAAGATATGCAAGTGAAAAGCAACAAGCTGGCAGAATAAGCATCAAAGATAGGAAGGACTTCAGGTGGACATAGAGAAAACAGAGGTGATGAAGATTCTTGGCCAACATCAACAGCAACAACAACAACAGACGACAATCAGCCTGCATAAATGAGAGGAACCTGAAAGAAACAACCTCCTTCACCTACCCACCTACCTACCTTAGAAGGCATCGTTTCAACTACAGGCCAACAGAACTGACGAGGATATCAAAGCCAGAATCGGAAAAGCAAGACAGGCTTTCATTACCCTTAAGTCTGTGTGGAGATCAACATCACTCAGCTTCAAAAACAAGATCCGGATTTTCAACTCCAATGTGAAGTCAGTCAGTGCTACTCACATACGGATCAGAGACTTGGCCAGCGCGTCATAAAGAGCATCTCCAACAAACTTCAGACCTTCATCAACAGTTGTCTTCGCTCAATACTCAAGATCAGATGGCCAGCCGGAGAAAAAATCAGCAACAAAGATCTCTGGCAATGAGCGAACCAACCCAGCAGGAACCGATTGTGAAACAAATAGACAGGAAGAAATGGAGATGGATTGGCTGGCCATACTCTGAGAAAACTAACCGCCAAGTGAGTGACATCACTGGACAAGCCATCGCTCGAGTGGAACCCGGCCGAAAGGGAAGCGGGTGGCGAGTCGGTCGTCAGTGTCTACATCCCATTGTAGACACAAAAGTGGTATATCGATTTTATGCAACAGTGTTTCGCTACTGCTTCATATCTGTTTAAACCTTCCGTCGGTGCAAATAAACACTTATTTCACACTGAGACATGATAATAGCGGGTAAATTAAACCTTTTAGACTGAAACAAGTCGTTCATTACTGTTGTAATTCAAAACTCACTGATACGCTATGCTCGGTCGTATATGTGAACTGCCACTAATCTACATTACCACCTTAATCGACAGAGGATAGAAAAAGACTTGTTTTAGATTGCTTGAAAAAAATATACCCAATACAGTCCTACAGGAGATCAATCACGAGACTGAGTGGTAACGTCTCTGTCTGACTGCAGTGCTCACTGGATGACGCGGGCTCAAATCTCAGAAGGGACATGAGTTCCTTCGAGGTTGCAGATACGCATTGCTGACCAGTGAGTGCCAACTAGCACGAAACCTACCTAGGTCCAACCGAAGCTTCCTGCCAATTGCATCAAACAGTCGTATGTCAAAAATATTATTAATCAGCCTAAAATCTGATTACTTGGTAGGCGAAAGCGTTAAGTGAACGCTCTGGAGCGAATCACATAATAACTGATAGAAAAAAAACCGCATTAATCTTAAACGTTTATCGGAAACGCAATTGCTCTGGTCAAAATGTGTGTGTGTGTATATGTTTTTAGCTTTCCACTAATCTGAGAACTTATCTCCCCTACTGATTGTTAATCCAGTGACTAATCCACTTTATTATCATACTTGCATTTTGGATACTATGACGTCTACTTATCTTAATTTACATCAGTATCTCTAAGCTATACTCACTCTGTTTCATTACATTCCATATTTTCCATTACTCTGGAATAGTCTTATCATCTTCAGGATGTCACTTTGTGAACTCCAAAATGTGCACATTGCTGGTACACTTTGGCACCATTCCTATCACCAAATATTAAGTTAACTTATAAGTTTCACCCTATTTCAAAGTCATTTTTATAGGTCCCCAGTGTTCCTTTTTTCTTCTTGAACTTTGTTAAGGAGATTTGGTCATTAATATACCAAAATGGAAAGAATTAATGCTAACATCAATAAAGTATACAAAACAAACCCATCACCTCTTTATTTACTTACTTACTTTACTTTACTTCAGCTATCTCCTACGGGAGGATGAGCCGGCTTCATGAACATCCCGAATCATCGCGCCCAGGTGCGGCGATCTGATCCAAGGTTTTTCCACGACAGGGTTATCCAATTCTTGTTCCATAAACGGAGTCCGTAAACGGTTTGTAGCCCCAGCCCATGGCACTCCATATCAGCCTTGACTGACTGTACCAAGCCATGTGTTTTCACCCTGTCCACCCATGTGACATCGCCAAGATGGAAGTGGCGAGGAGGGATTTAGAACTGATTTGACCAGATCGTCATCTGGTCGGCGCAGAACATGACCAAACCACCGAAGCCGACGTTGTTCGACCAGTACTGGTTGATGTTGGTTGATGTTGTAGCAACGAGAGTTCATGAAGTTTCATGGGAATTAGGTACGAGTGATGTCCCCCCCAGAATCGCTCGGCCTTTTGTTTAAAAGTGCAGCTCTAGCCTTTAAACAACCAACCAAGTGTGACCTACAAGGCAGTAGGAGTGGAGTAGGGTGGAGTCGACTATCCATTGCAAGCCAGCCGGTGACCGGAGTCCGGTTCATACGACTTTTTGAATGGGGCCAGACATGCACCAGGCATCCAATAAGCCCTTTGTCCATACGTCTGCCTACCGGTGAGCTCCATACGCCAGTCGTTGTAGGTTTGGAATCAGGCAGGGTTTAGCCATCTCCCCTAGACTGTGTCATCTAATGGACAGTCAGTTAACCCGGTGAATAGCGCCGGTCATCCGCTTTTGCCCTCTCACTTCGGTGGTGAAAAACACCTTCGTCACGTGAAGGCAGTGAGTAGGACTTCTTGAAGAGAGGCTATGTAAGACTCCCGGTCATATGGGAGCATTTCGAGAGGTGTACGGTGGGAGGGGTGGCCAACCCGCATCGCAAGGCACCCACCCGAGACCATCCTGAGGCTTTGGAGGCTTTATTTACTGGTCAGTTTGGTAATCATCATGCTAACTGCTTCAGGACTTATTAACTGTAATCTTCTCCTCTGACAAGGGAGATATGTAACTGCTGCTCACACTTAGTAGAAATCAGAAAGCCGTTTAAATAGACCTGATCTTAAAGGTGCCTCCTATCACCGATGATGTTCCTCACTATGGTGGGCTACATCATGAAGCAGGCAGGCTCTGAGAAATGAAAAGGCAGGCATATATATTGAACTGACAAAAGATTCTTCAAGATATAGACTTTGTAGAGGATTTATGTTTAATTGTTATGGCTGAACGGAAATGAATAAATCCGTTGCTATTTTGTTATGTCTGCACCTGTTAACTACTCTAACGGTAATGAACTCGACTGATACTCGAATGCGGTTGCGGTTATTTGTCCGTTTTTCGCCTTCCAATTCACTGAGCTATGCAAATATCAAAAGACAAAGACTGGTCTGTGACTATGACTGTATGATAGTGTAGTTTACATCTATTAGGAGACAAAACATCCTATTCATATATTTAATTTATCACAACAATACAATTGGCTCACAACCGTGGGAATGGACTGATCTTATTGCCCCCGAAATGTCTATTCTGATTGGTTGGTGCTGCGACAATGACCAAAGTGAGACAAAAGACGATGAAAATTGATCACACTTTGAATCACAATATGCATGAGAAATGATACACTCACACATAGTAACTCCATCACAGGATAAATCACATGATTCGTGAGGAAAGATACTATACTATTTTATGGTAGTCTCTTATCACTAATGTCACACAAACTTGAAGAGGTACAAACAAAAGCTACGAATTTAGCAGAAACGGAAACAAAGACAAGACATTAAGCGAACAAGGAAAAGACAGTGATGACAAAGTTACCCCCCCACCAGCCAAGATCAGTAGGAGTCATCTCCTTCACTTAGTCACCTGGGTGTCATTGTTCCACCTACAGTCAGGAGGCATCGGTCAGGGTATCAAAGCTCCAACCAGTCATAATCGTATGAGGAGATCGAGACAGGCTTTTGTTACTCTGAATTCAGTATGGAGATCTGTAGGACACTCAGAGCAATGAAGAAGATTTTAATCTCCAAAAGCTAATGTCCAGTTTATCCCTTTATGATGTATTCAGAGACTTAGCACTCGTATTCCCAAAAAGTATTTCCAACAGCTTACCGACTTTCATCAACACCTGCCTTCTCTGGCCTAATACCGAAAATCAGGCATTCAATCAAAAAGTATGAGTGATAACGAACGCTAAGGATGCGGTGAACTAGCCAAGAACCTTACTGCCAAGCCAACAAATATATAGAAGGAAGTGGAGATCGACTGGACAAATATGCTAAGGAGACCAATGAGGGAAATCACATGCCAGACAGGCTTTGGGTAGCTGGTTATTTATTTAGCCTAGTGTGTTTTGGCAGAGAACTGAGTGGAACGGAAACGTGCCGATGAAACCGTATGTTCTATTTGGAACACAAAAGGTGAATAATAAGTAATAATAGTCTCAAACGTCTACCATTTTTTCAGATGCACAGATTACCTGATGTTTATCGAAAATAGAAAAAAACAGTATATGCTATTCAGCGTTAGAAAAATAGCACCCAAGATCTTCAATATATAGCTGAAACATGGGGTTCTTTAGTGTAGCAGACTTTAGATCTCATTCGTTTAGCCCTGTATGTCTGAAATACTTTATGAATGAAACAGAACTCGTAATATTTGGCATGAAGATTGTGTTGTAATTATTTGTAATCATAGTATTAGTATTTCGAGATGACAAAATTACAAGAATCCAACCAAAACACAGAGAGGGCGGAATTCAGGAATTTGTATTTAGCGGAATTATTATTCAATTCATATCAGAAACATATTAACAATCAACAGTAAGTATTTAAACAATACAGAGATAGAAATAGTCAGTCACCACAGATTGACTCATCAGACAAGGTTGTAAGATTTTTTTCTTTAGGGCGACTGAACGGTGTATTTAACAAATATCCAAACCAATAACACGAGACACTAAACATTAGAAGAAATAATAATGTCTCATGTTATACTTATGGTTTGGATTGAAATAAAGTGATTGTTTTTCACTGCGATTGACTTTCACTTTTCAAATCACCAGTTCCTCCTTGGACTGATGATTCTACTTTAAAACTTCATAAACTCGCTTTAATCATGCACAGTTCACTGGCTTCTTATCCGTAAGCCCGTTTCTCCTCGTGTTTTTGGTAATTATGGCCACGCCGGAGCTTTCCATCACCAAATCCATGAAGCCCTGAAACACTAAAACCACCAGTACATTCTACTCCTAAGAGAATTTTGTATTTGAAGTAACAACCCAATGGAAACTTAACAGTGGAAATGTGGTGAGAGCAGCCTGCTAGCCAATTGGTTGACGTCAATGTCTAGGTCACTAATATGAGCCGTGAGAAAATATGAACAAGGCTGTTTCAACAACCAATCACAGAAAACTTAAACGTGGGCAAATATCATTCGCAGATAGATGGCTCCACTCCACTTTCCGTCCGAGGAACTCGAAAACAAAACAACCAATGAGAAGACTGCGTTTGGTTACTTGACTAGGCTATAATAATGTATGTGAAATTTATATATAAATACGTGTTGATTTCCGTAATAAAATGATCTGTTGCCTGGCCCTTGTCTTCTGTTGTTACAGAAATAGTGAGAAACCTGATGCTCCTTTCATTGAAGAAAACCTTCGCAGCTGAACTTCGACTAACTTTCCCTACAAAACCAATGATTCTCACAAAAGTGAAGGATATAAGCTACGACTGATGGTCTCGTCAGTGTGTATCCTACGATTATCGGTCGTACCCAGACTTTTCTCTCCAAACATATTATCGAACACTTACCATAATGGTTTTGTAGAGAAGTAAAAAATGTCCCATCCCGCCCCCCCTCCAGCGCAGCTTGCTCCTGGAACAACTGACTGAATCTAGAGACTAAGCTAACCCACAAAAAACCAACTTCAAAGTCATTTACAGAATATGTGGAAATCTTTCTTAAAGAAATACAAATCGAACGTTTTTCAAACCTCAGAATCAGTGGTAAATTACATGGGAAATTCTGAACTCAGCAAACAAAATAAAGTGTTATTAAGTCATTAAGTTTACAATGATTCTGTTCTGCTTAACACTGGATAAGCAATCTTTTTTGTTTTGCGAGTATTGGTTTTGTAGGGATTTTTGTTTGATTGTATGGAGGATTTCACCATGAGCTGACATCAGTTAGAGAACCACTGGAAAACCAGCTAGGAGTACTGGACAGCCAGCAGTTTCGTCCTAGTTTGGGACTCTTCAGCAGTACGCACCCGCCGGGGTTCGAACCCAGGACCTTCTGGTTACAAGGCGAGTATTAATTGTTGCACTATTTTCTCCCCTCACTCCTTCCTATATTAAATTTCTAACCCCTTATTAGCACTACTGTTAACTTGACCCTCGTTCACTTTTAATTGAATCCTACTCCATTCTCTTCAGTTGTATATTACGCCACTCAGTTCACTCAATTTTATTTTATTTTGTACTGACTACCCGAGATTAACGCTCTTTATATCTCAAGTAACCTTTTATGTCTAATTTTCATGATTCTAATGACATGCTTCTTTGAAAATATTCCTTTTTCGTTTAAGTGAGAATATGTCCTGCATGTGTGTATGCGATTGTCAAGCTTCAGAATAAGATACTACTACAAAAGAGACTTACTCCCCATTGAACACTCTTCTTCTTTTTATATGACTCACTGGAGACTTTTAAGCTGAATTATGCCCTCAAAGTTCACTTAATTTACAAAGTAACTGTCTAACAACAGAAGACCAAGGGCCGGAAACAGATCATTTTATTACGGAAATCAACACGTATTTATATAAATTTCACATACATTATTATAGCCTAGTCGAGTAGACAAACGCAGTCTTCTGATTGGTTGTTTTCGAGTTCCTCAGACGGAAAGTGGAGTGGAGCCATCTATCTGCGAATGATATTTGCCCACATTTAAGTCTGCTGTGATTGGTTGTTGAAACAGCATTGTTCATATTTTCTCACGGCCCGTATTAGTGACCTAGACATTGACGTAGATTACTGTCAACCAATCGGCTAGCAGCTTGCTCTCACCATAACTGGATATCCACGCAATTTCATCAAGAGACATATACCTCCAAGCCAACCTACCAAAGTAAAAGCCACCAAGGAAAGCACAAAGAAAATCGCCTTACCATACATAAAGGATATCTCAGAAATCACTACAAGACTCTTCAAACCCTGAGGAATTGACGTCGTGCACAAACCAACAAAGTCGCTTCACTTAATTCTATGTCAACCAAAAGAGTCAACAGCGAAAGAAGACAAAACCAACATCATCTACAAAATAAACTGTAACAACTGCGAAAAACACTAACTAAATTGGCCAAAGTGGACGTCCCATACTCTTCGTCTTCGTATCCACGAACATAAGCTAGCCGTCAAAAGACATGATATCCACTCCCTCATTTCACTACACACAGACAACCACGGACATCAATTCGACTGGGACAACCAACGTTCAAATATTAGACAAAGGAAACAACACAGAGAATGCTAGAGAACTTTTAGAAGCTTGGCTGACATTCCAGTGAATCATCAATCAATGGACACATCGAGATAGACAAAATTTATCAACCAATAAGAAAGAAACTTCACACACGCAAAGGGTCAAAGTTCAAGTCAAAGAAACAATCAGTTCGAATACAAGTAGGCTAGAAGGTGTGAAAACACATATAAACAACCAGTCACGTCCAAAGTGGTCACCGACCAGGAGAGATGATTAATAAACTCGTGGAGAAATCGAAAAGCTCACTTCAATTCGAATTGAAGTATACGCTGAAGATGTCACCCAGTAGGGTGATGAAAGCTTCGCAAACTAACCATCCAGCCAGCTCAGAGAACAAAGCCACATCAAAAACCACTATTCTACTCTCCCCCTTCTCCTCTCTCCTCCACCGCCTTAACAATAATTTATTTTTTTTTTTGTTCTTTTCATTCAAATTAGTGTCGAACCCACTTAGATCCCTATGAAATACTGAAAGGTGAAGCAGAGGAAATTTATCCAAAAGTCGAAGAGGCATTAAAAGTTTTGCATAAATTTAAAAACACTTATGAACAACATCGTCAAAATTTACCAGTATATTTTGAAAAAGTAGCCAAAAAATTAAACACTTCAAATGAAATAGTTTTATGGGAATTTAAAAATGAATTAGCATTTAGTCGTTTTGATTCATTTGTTCAACGCGTTGAAGAAGTCCATGTAAGTAATCTTTCTACACCATATTGTTTGTTTTTTTTTATTTTTAGTATTGGTTTTGTTGGGAGTGAGTTTGGTTGGTTGGTGGATTTCGTCAATGAGCTGGCACCGGTTAGAGAACCATTGGAAGGAAAACCAGCCACAGGGAGTACTGCCAGACAGCTGCTGTTTCATCATCCTAGTTTCGGAATCATCGTCAGTACTCACCCCCCCACTGCCAGGGTTCGAACCCAGGACCTTCCGGTTTCAAGGCAACCTCGGATATCGTTCACCGACTCACTGGGACCCGATTCCTCAATGGTCAACCCATGAATTCTAACTTCTACCAATTCGTGATTTAGCGCGACCCCAACCATTATCGTTGGTGGGACATCCATCCACACACGTGACATCTAATTGGACCTCACTAGTCACGAATTCTCACTAGAACTCAGGAAACTCTAACCTGTAGTATGTTACCAGCGAGTATCAGATTAATTTTCTATAGTTTGGTTTGTAAGGATTACTTATGAAACAGCAGCTGTCCAGTACTCCAATGCTGGTTTTCAATGGTTCTCTAACTGATTGACATCAATCCGTGATCAACTCGTAAAAACATAACAAACCCTTACAAACAAAACTATAGAAAGATAATGGAAATAGACTATTTCTTGTTATATAGGACGAATTAGTTTTGTGAAAACAGTAAAACAAGCCTGATGTCAAGTTAACTTACACACACTCTCTCTCTCTCTCTCTCTCTGTACATTTGAAATCAACAAAGGATATACAATACGCGTACTATTAGAAAAAATAGAAGTTAATTAAATTGTGAATCTTCATTTTTTGGGGGTATTCAAAAACGCTTCTCTCTTTTTAGGGCTACTGGTTTATGTTGTGTAACCAGAATTGGCTAATCAAAAGAACGCAATATAGCGTACACGTACGCATCGAATGTGTTAGTTGAAGAATTTCATCAGCTAAGGATTTCAAAGAGCAAAATGTTTTTTTTTGTTTTTGTAGAAAAGTGTATTTTCTTCAGCTTGCCTACATTTTTTACACCAATGTCTGTTAATGTTAATAATTACTGTGTTCCAGGAAGCTATCCAATCGATACCTGTATCAAATATTTGTGGTGTTCAGAGTCATTTGAAGCATATAGCAAAGCACATACAGAAATATATTTTGTATAGTTTGGTTTGTAAGGGTTAGTTATGTTTTACGGGTTGATCACGGATTGATAATCAGTTAGAGAACCATTGAAAACCAGGGAGTACTGGATAGCTGCTGTTTCATCCTAGTTTGGGAATCATCGTCAGTACGCACCCACTGAGATATCAATCCGTGATCAACTCGTAAAAACATAACAAACCCTTACAAACAAAACTATAGACAACTAAAGTATTCTATGAAACAAGTGTGAAGCTCAATAATTCTGTAGTTAATTGGAAATTGATGTAATTTGCAAGTCTTTTATTGTAATATAAGTTTGTCAATCAAGTCTAGAATATAATTCATATGTAAAACGCCACTAAACAGTAGGAGATCCAAAGATATGTCGAAACTCCATGTTTTTGAGAACTATAAATTTTCTCTAAAATGATTGATTCATAAAAATGACTGAATTCCAGTTCAGTGTGTGTGTGTGTGACTGAGACAATCTTAACCCCTTTTCGTTAAAACACTACAATAGTGTTCGTCTGTTTTATTGTCCACCTGGACACAATAATCCATCCTGTCGACATCTTTTTAGTTCCGCAATCCCTGTTGGTGAAATATGCAACAGTTTTAATATATGTGTAAAACTTGGGCACTGTGGTAGTAGGATTAGTGGAATGTTTAAATGACAGAGCACAAAAACTAAGTAGTACCAAGGAAAATCTAAGACAGGAAGTGATACACATAAAAGAAGCCTTGAAACTTAATAATTACCCGGATAAATTAGTCAAGAAATATGTAAGTAAGTGTAAAAATAAAATAAGTAATGATAATAGTGATAGCGATAATAATAATAGTGGTAACAATAATAATAATAATGGTAATAATAATAGTGATAATAATAATATTAATAACGACACCAACAATAAGGAATCTAAATCATCAACAATAATTCCATACAAAGAAGGAACCTCGGAAGCCTTACGCAGAATTCTTAACAAGGCAGGAATAAAAGTGGCTGGCATTCAAACCAACCACAAACTCAATTAGAAAGATGCTTTGTCGGTTAAAGGATCAATCCTGTGGAGCCATTAAAACAAAACAATTCAGTTTATCTAATACCCTGTTGGAATGACTGTGAGGTCAAATACTTAGGTCAAACTAGGAGAACAGGGGCAGTCAGACTAGCCAAACATAAAAACCTAGCTAAATCTAGATTGGTTGACCCAAATAAGATAAGAAATCTAGAGAGTAGTTCAGCTATCACAAGCACTACATGCAGTTACACACAACCATACAACAGGCTGGATGGGATAGGATGACAGTTTTAAAATTTAATGTCACAGGGTGTATGGAGGGAGAGATTGATAACAGAAGCTTTGTTTATCGAATCAACTGCAAATACATGTAATAGGAATGATTTAACACCTGTCCAACCGGATATCTGGAAAATTCTACTGCCCATACAACAAATAGGAGAAGACAGAAAAAACTATAAAACTCAAATCTCGAAGTCGTGTGACCAAAATTGATATGATTATGAACAGCAATAATGAATTGTGTTCGAAACCTCGTCATCCAGTATACAATACTGTTTCACTCACTCACTGTGTGATACATTAGTTTTAAGCCCCTTGGCTACTGTCCAGAGTTAGATATATTGTTTCTTTAATCCCCATTGTTAGATTATTTTGCACAAACGAAAATGAGTTAGACACATCATTGGAAACCATGTCAAAGTAAAGCGAATGCTCGTCGAAGGCATTTGTGAGGGTAGCGTTATATAACGAGTTGACGGGTTAATGAATTTCGGCTCAAATAGCGGAATGGTGAACAAGCTTCGTCTCGTAATCTCAAGCTTACGATTTCAACCCCTGGTGGCTTCTTGGATGTGCATTACTGATGAGTCCATATGTAGGACGAAACAGTTATCCAGAGCATCCTAGTTTCCAATTATCTCTGTGTGACTGATGTTAGTCATTAGGGAAATATAACAGTGGATATTAAGTGAATCGCGATCCTGATAAATCTCACAGTCTAAATTTTTTATCTTACATCATCACTAATCTTTAAAGTCATTTTCGCTATTTAATTAAAGCGTAACTTCCGTCGAAACACACTAGGTCTTTAAATCATCTTTAGTGTGCGATAGTATTGTAACAACAGAAGACAAGGGCTGGCAACAGATCATTTTATTACGGAAATCAACACGTATTTATATATATTCTATGTACATTTTTATAGCCTAGTCAAGTAGACAAACCCAGTCTTCTGATTGGTTGTTTTCGAGTTCCTCGGACGGAAATTGGAGTGGAGCCATCTATCTGCGAATGATATTTGCCCACGTTTAAGTTTACTGTGATTGGTTGTTGAAACAGCCTTGTTCATATTTTCTCACGGCCCATATTAGTGACCTAGACATTGACGTAGATTAATGTCAACCAATTGGCTAGCAGGCTGCTCTCACCACAGTATTAGTAGATCGAAACACATAAAATGACAAAAAGTAATATGGCGAATAGAATGATGTATCAGTTAGTTCAATTGGTTTATTGTTTGATTTCCCCTCTCTCAATTTACTTATCCTCTTTTTTTGTGTGTGTTTGTGTATGTGTGTTTGTAATTTTCCATGCTACAGTATTTAATGACAACAGCTATTGAATTTCTGAAATTGGAGAAACTTGTATTCGGTGGGATTGATGGTGGTTCATTGAATCAACGTGTCACTGAAATCTACGAATCATTCTGTAGTAGTTATAAGGTAAGCATAATAATAATAATAATTATATATATATATATATATATATATATATATATATATATATATTTCACATAAATTAAGCATTTACATGATTCACATACCATTTGTACAGGCATGATCATATTAGACAAGTGCAGTCTGAAATGGAACACTGTTTTATGACATTAAAAATTGGAAAATGACCTCTAGAAACTTTATAAGAATAGAATATAAGATTTTGGTTAAAGTCTAAATTATAATATTTAATATACTCATAGTGAGTCAAATTCAAGCGGGAAATATGAAATTTTGCCTTAATGGAAGGTAAGAAAAGAGGTGATATACAGGTGCTAGAGTAAACCACACTGGATGCAGACCGTTATTATTATTATTTTATCAATCAATAAGGGTTCGAAAATTTATAAAACTTCACAGTAGATGGTAAGTACAGCATTATTTTGGTATTAGCAGATACAAGTTGGTCGCAAATTTGCGATGTTAAACAGAATTCAGATTGGAATTTGTTCCGTTGTTCATGGTAAGTGCTAACAATATTCTGTATACAGTTCAAGTAATACAAATGTAGATAGCAGCATTACTGTTCATTTGCAGTGCTTTAACGCAATACCTTCGAGAAGTGAAGAAAACAGGAGAGATGCAGAGGCAGCCAGCAGATAATAATAATTTAAGTAAACAATATGCGATAACCGTAGGGTTTATTCTCCTTTTTTTATTACTAGGAATTTCTAGTCATTGAGTTTTATAGTTTAAGTTTATAGTAGTAAACAACACTGTGCGTCGGTGGCACAGTGGTTAGGACTCTCGCCGACCATGCACATGGTCCAGGGTTCGAGCCCACGCCGACGCACACTTGATATCTATGGTCGGCCTGCGAATTTTGGGCTACCGATATCCATGCTGAAAATTCCACACTTGTACCAAAAATACGGTGTCGAATCAAGCTGTAATCAAAAATTTAAAAAAAATAAATAAAGTAAAGGATAACAAAATAAAAAAATAAAAATCAGGGCGAAACGAATGATGGTACTCACTCTTATATAGGGTAATGTCGGGAATAGAAACTGAAGAAGTTAAATCCAAACGCAAAAGTACATAATATTTGTATAAAAAAAGAGGAAGTATAATAATACTTATTTATGCTGTTGTTCTGATTGATACAGTTTGCAAAAAGTTTGTACACAGGCTGTGGCGTACAGGCAGCTTTTATTTTATTTATTATTATTATTATTTTTTTGAAGTAATTCATCTTCAGGAGCCTTAGGAGTAGAGTGCATTCCCACACATAAAGGTGGTTCTCTTAAGTCCCCACCATCATATCCGCTAAATAGCAGCCACCACCCTCCCACCTTTATGGTATTAACACAGACAGACAATTCTTCACTTCACTTTGACCTAATTTTCTATTTTATACATTCTAGTTAAAACTAATGACTACAATGGTTACATAAATAGATGATAATAACATACTTTAATGTTTAAGTGGTAGTAGAGAAGAACCACTGCAAAATGTGAGCAGCATTACAATCTTTAGTTTAAGTTTTCATCATCAATTTATACGCTTTCAAAGTAGAAAAGAGGGTGGGGTTAGGGGTGACAGAAAACAGAAAAAATTGTTAAAGAGAACAGTGTTAGCTTTTAGGTTCGCATAGAAACTCAAAAAAACAAAATAAAAAACAGTTACCACCAATTGTATACCAATTAAATGCCCGGACATCGTCGAATCATCTGCACAAAAAGCCGACATGTCAACCTGAGACCGATCACTTCAGTCCAATCAATCGACGAGAAAATCAAAAAATAAATTCAATTCAATAAAAACATTTACAGTTTATAAGATTGAGATGTTGAACAAAACAATAACTACAGTGATTTTAGCATAATAAAATGGCACCATTGTAACAACAGAAGACAAGGGCCAGGCAACAGATCGTTTTATTATGAAAATCAACACGTATTTATACATATTTCACATACATTATTATAGCTTATGCAAGTAGACAAGCGCAGTCATCTGATTGGTTGTTTGTCAGAAGTTAGGCAGCCAAACGCAGGCTTCTGATTGGTTGTTTCGGGATTCCTCAAAAAATAGAGTTCTCTATCTGCGAATCATATTCTGCCACGTTAACTTTGCTGTGATTGGTTGTTGAATCAGCCTTGTACATATTTTCTCACAGCCTGCTCTCACCACACCATCACTGTTTATTTCGTTGCCTCCTCGTCAGCTGGCTGCTTACATGGCAAAGACATTATTAAATATATCTACAAAAACAATTTTGACATACTTGCCCACACAGAGTTCATTTTAAACAAAAATCAACTAATCGATCAATATGCGCATACACTAAAAATATATACATATATAAATATGCAATATTAAACACTATTCCGAACAACAATAATAATCATACACAATGGAAACTTTTAGCATTTCACATTCGGAGGAAAGAGAGGTGAAATTATCCAGTTACCAGGCAGGGCAAAGAAAGGCTGATAACCGCTTCTTTCTTCTGAACGCATAAATCAGGTTTCAGGCGCTTGATGGAAATGGCTTCAGCAAACTTAAGTAGAATTGAGCTCTTTTGCCTGTTGATAATTTTGAACGACTTTTCGACGTCCACCTCATGCATGACCCGTGTCGAGGAGATACCTGGCGATGGATGGCACTGTTTAAAGCATTTGTTCCCCGCTGGAAACGTAAGCTTTTTGGTACATGTTCAGAAAATCGTAGATATGCCCTTCTGCTTTCTGTCCTTTCAATGTAACTGCTCCCGCAGATACATGTAAATTTGTATACACAGTTGGAGTGGTTAACATGAGAAGGATATCTATCGATTTTTGATTGCACCAGAGAAGAGCAAGTTGTTCGATAGACGGGAACGAGCTTAGCTGCAGGATAAGCTATAGCTAGTGATGTACTCAGCCTTCTGTTGATCATCGCTGCAATGTTCTCCCTTTTATAATCAAGCTGAATGTAGACTGGCTCTTTCTCCACTGTGATTTGTTTTACATTTGTGACTTCAGATCTTCCATACTTGTTGATGAACTTTTGAGGATACCCATTTCTCTTCAATATATTTTCAAGGAACTCAAACTCCTCCTCTAGTTTCTCTATAGAGCATATTCTCCTCGCTCTAGGGTACAAAGTCTTGACTAGACCACGTTTAAAGCTATGTGGACAAAAGCCATTAAAATGCAAGTATTGTCCTTTCCATGTGGGCTTTCGATAAATTGACTTTTGAATACTACCGTCTTCTAGGCGTTCCATGGCTATGTCGAGGAAGTGAAACTTCCTGTCACTTTCATGCTCCATAGTGAAGTCAATATTGGTGTGTGCACCATTGAATAATCTTATTAAGTGTGACGCATGACTTTTATTTTTGCACACTATGAATGTGTCATCAACATAACGACAGTTGGAAGATGTTTCGTCGATTGCATACTTCAGCTTTGTTCTTTCAAGGTTTGACATGAATATATCTGCTAGAACATGGATAAGTGGACTAACCATAGCTACACTATTTATTTTGCGGTAAAAGGTGTTGTCAAATTGGAATTGCACATCCATGATGCACATAAGCAGTAGGCGCTTGAATTCCAACTCTGGGAGTGGGAGAAGATCGGACTGCTGACAAATGATCTCACTCAATAATTTCATTGATTGGAATCACTGTGAATAGGGAGGTTACATCAAATGACACCATGAGGTTATTTAGAACGTTCATGTGGTTCACACTTTCAGAGAAATGAAATGAGTCTTTCACCGTATGCACGCCTAGTCGTTGACGAATAGGTTCCAACTTCTCCGCAAGCCAACGTTGAGATTTGTCCAGTGAGTTAAGATCACTGAATTATATGACTAATTAAATGTAATCAAAATCAAAATTCATTTGCCAAGGGAGTGAGAGAGGTTAATCACACTCTCTTTCCGTATGCATAAGCCTGGTTGGTGTGAATCGCTTGATTGCGATCGCCTCGTCAAATCGTAGTAAATTTGCTGTCCTTTGTCTATTTAATATTTTGAAGGACTTAGAAATCTCTACGAGATGTCCGGTATCAGCAGTGTGTCTGGTGATTGCACTTTGAGAATATTTGCTTCCTTTCAGACACAAGTTTCTTAGCTAAACTAAAAATTGTAATGCTGCTTACATTTTAGATGCGTCAGTTTTATAGTATTTCGTCTATACTACCACTTAAACATTGAAGTATGTTATTATTATTGTCATCTTTATAACCATTATAATTTCAGGTAGGAGTGTGCAGTTAGTTGATGAGGGCAACCTGTGAAATAGAATGATGGCATCACTTTATACTGTAAATCTGATCTTTCTTTGTCTATAGAAATATGTCAAGGGAACCAAATTTATAAAATAAAGAAACTAATGATTATATAATACTTTGATAAAGCTATTAGCAACGGCGACAACACGATAACACACAAAAGGAATTGCATATAAACACTATTCAAGAGAGCAAGGACTCATTGCAGCACTCCCACCTTAAGGAAAATTGAAGAAAAGTATCTCATGGACGTATTCCAAAAGAATGGATATCCACGGAATTTCATCAAGAGACATATACCCCCAAGCCAACCTACCAAAGCAAAAACCACCAAGGAAAGCACAAAGAAAATCGCCTTACCATATATAAAAGATATCTCAGAAATCACTACAAGACTCTCAAAACCTTGATGAGGAATTGACGTCGTACACAAACCAACAAAGTCGCTTCACTCAATTCTATGTCAACCAAAAGACTCAACAGCGAAAGAAGACAAAACCAACATCACCTACAAAATAAACTGTAACAACTGCGAAAAACACTAACTAAATTGGCCAAAGTGGACGTCCCCTACTCTTCGTCTTCGTATCCACGAACATAAGCTAGCCGTCGTCAAAAGACATGATATCCACTCCCTCATTTCACCACACACACAGACACAGACAACCACGGACATCAATTCGACTGGGACAACCAACGTTCAAATATTAGACAAAGGAAAC